ATAGTGTACAAAGCGACATCTGGAGCTTGGGGCTGACGATCATTGAGTGCGCTCTGGGACGATACCCATATCCACCAGAGACGTACAACAACATCTTCAGTCAGCTCAGCGTAAGTCTATCAAATGGCTTTACACATCAATTACTAATCATCCCCAGGCTATTGTCGATGGTGAGCCACCGGATCTGCCCGCCGAAGGATACTCCGACGCGGCGCGGAACTTTGTACGCGGCTGCTTGAACAAGATTCCCAATCTTCGGCCAACATATGCCATGCTGCTTCAACATGCATGGCTTGCGCCTCTCGCTAAGCCAGACACGATCACCGAAGAAGAGGAGGAGGAAGTCGAGGCAGCAAACGAAACTGCCGGTGGCGAAGCTGCCGGTGACAAGGGACCCGCTGAAGCAATTGAACCTGTGGAAGATCAGGAGGTTGCAGACTGGGTCAAGGCCGCCATTGAAAAGAGGAGGAGCGGCAAGATGAAGGGTGTCGAGAAACCTGCACTCCACGCTGCGCCTCTAGATGCGGCTACGCAGAGTCCTTCGCCTAACGGCACGAATGGCTTAGAAGCGGCGGGTTCAGTAGAAGCCGCAGCATAAGATGACCCAATAATCTCGAATGAACAGAAGTACTTGGGTCATTCTCGAGGACATTAGGCCGCGTCCGCTGCAGCCTCGTGGGTTTACGGCGTTGTATAGGCGTATTGCAGGGAACGATTGCTATGAAGCATTGGAACCGGGGCATTGAGCGTAGAGGACACATGTACCTAGCATAGCATACAGCTGTCCAGCTGGACTGATATTGACACATTTGAGTCACAAAAGTTGCCATTACTCTGTGCAGTGTAACAATTGAGCTTTGTTCACCTTTCACTTTGATTAGGAGATGGCGTACCGACAGCACACAACTGTAGGCTGTTGTCGTTCTGTGGTTCGCGGTGACGTAAGCGGGAGAGCTCACTGGCACGTGATGGGAACCCCTGCTTAGCCAAGATTGCTCGCGGCGGCCATGTGTCGTGGTGCGGGAAAGAACACAGTGGTCGGAACAACTTCAATAAGTAGCCACGACTTTCTTTCGTACGCCCCCACCTTCTTTGTAATGCCACCGGCGTAGGACCAGTTTTACTTCTTTTCTTCTGGAATCCTTCTCGACAACAATCCCCAATCACTTTTAGTCGTTCTCTCGCATACCTCGCCTCGTCCACAGGGACACGTTCAAGATGTCCGGGACAGATTACAACTACGATGAGCAGGTACAACTTGGACGCGCGCCATGTGTAAAGCATTACTAACGACTTGCAGGGCCAGTTCTTCCCCTACTTCATCCTCACTGTCACAACACTCGTCACCGTCCCCACCACAATTTCCTTTCTAAGACCGAGTAAAGGTGCGCGCTTCCCACCACTACCGCCTGACACTATACTGATATACAATCAGAGCTCGAGAACACTGGAGCGCGGATAGAGTCCGACTTCACCCCAGAACATGCCGATCTTATCCAGGGACAGCGCAAGAAGCAGAAGCGGCTCGAGAGGAGGATAAAGCGGGGTCTTGTCATGTTGGGTGGATGGGCGCTTAATGCTGCTATGGTCTACCTCATACTGGTTACCGCGCGGACTACACCTGATATCTGGGATCCCTATGAGGTGTTGGGTGTTTCTAGGGTACGATGGCCGCCCTTAGCAACGCGCACTTTCGACAATGACGCTAACTCACAGATTAGAATGCGGACGAGAAGGCGATTAAGAAGCATTACCGACGACTCTCTCTTACTCTGCATCCCGACAAAGCCCGCGAGGACCCCGCAAAGAACATTACGACACAATCCATCAACGATAACTGGGTAGATGTCACAAAGGCGTTCAAAGCTCTTACCGACGAGGAGATTCGCAACAACTTCCTTCAATACGGTCACCCCGATGGCAAGCAGAGTTTCAGCATCGGTATTGCGCTGCCTCAATGGCTGGTGACTGAGGGGGCCGGCAAATACGTTTTGCTCATCTACGCGCTCGCGCTCGGTGTCATTCTCCCTTATACCGTCGGAAAATGGTGGTACGGAACACAGAGGCTGACCAAGGATAAAGTTCTGGTTGCCAGCGCTGGGAAGGTCTTCCGCGATTACGACAACGAGCAAGGCGAAGTGGGCGTCATTCATGCGCTGAGCAGTGGAGAGGAGTTCAACGAAGTTCTCACTGGACACAAAGCGGAAAACGGTCTGTCAAAGCTCGAACAAAAGGTCCTCTCCGAGAGTTCAGGATCTCTCGTCTCGCAAACACTTACAAAAAAGGATCGCCAAAAGCTGGACGATCTGGAAGACAGTCGGAGACGCAAGGTACTGACCTTGTTGTGGGCATACCTTGGCCGTGTCGAACTGGACGACGAGACTTTGAACGACGAGAAGTTCGAAGTTGCGCCCATTGCACTCCGACTCAACGAAGCTTATACCGCCATCGCACTCGCATACGGTACCACCAAAGCAGTACTCTCGGCTTACAGGACTTCCCAAAATCTCATCCAAGCTTTACGACCGGGCGCATCGCCTTTGGAGCAACTGCCACATTTTACACCTACTGTTGCTAGCGCGGCTGAGGCTGAGCAAGCAAGATCACACTTGACAATCCAAGAGTTCATGCAAATCCCCGACGATCAGCGCAAAGCCCGTGTTGTCAAGTCTGGTCTTCTGTCTCAAGACCAATACAGCACAGCTATGACCGTAGCTTCGCGCATCCCACTTTTCCATCTCGAGAAAGCCTTCTTCAAGGTTGTCGGTGAGCGTTTCGTTACACCTAGCAGCTTGGTCCAGTTCGTACTGAAAGGTCGTTTCATCCCATGTGGCGCCACCAACGTCCCCGATGTCAACCCGAAAGACCTGCTCGACATTGATCCCGCCGAGGGTGATGTTGCAGCGATTACTGGACGCAAGAATGACCGTTCCGGAGAGAAGCCCATCCAGCCACCTCTGGCATTTGCTCCATACTACGCTCGCGACCACGCGCCAAGATGGCATGTGTTCCTTGCGGACAGCAAGCAGGGACGTATCGCAGTACCACCGTTCACCTTCTCAACCTTCGACAAGCCTATCCTTGACGAGAGCGGTAACCCCACCTACAACGTACAGACCTTGAAGATGCAGTTTGGTGCACCACCGCAAGCCGGCAGCTATACTTTCGTCATGCACATGATTTGCGATAGCTACGTCGGTATGGACACCAAGATGGAGGTTACTCTTGTTGTCGAGGACGCCAGTAAAGCGGAAGAGGTAGAAGAGGAGGATGAAATCAGCGAGCCAGAAGAAGGTAATTCCCACTAACTCCAGTTTAATTATGACTAGTATGGCTAACATATCTACAGATTCGCTGGCAGGTCAAATGCACCAGATGAAGACCGGTGCTCCACCAAAGAAGCGAAGACAGGCAAACGACGATTCCAGCGGAAGTGACACTGAAGGTGACGTTGAGTCTGAGAGCGAGACAGACACCGACACCGACTCAGACGACGAGTAGAGTACTTCATCTTCTCTGCGAGGGGATTACTTGATCTCCTCATGTATAGGAGACGCAGCTTGTATTACAGAGGCCACAGGCCAACGCCGACGGTTGGCGTCGATTCTTCATACCATTTGGGCCATGGCCGCGGTAGGCATTTCCAGGCGTTCCGGAGACAAGGTGATTTGCGACTAGGGACTCCTCGATTCGTACTTTTTAGATGAAGCGTCAGTACTGGATAGGGCATTGGGAGTATGTGTAGATATCCACGTCAAATCACATTGAGCAGTTTTTGATTTCAACCTCATTCATGGCCGTCTTTATGCTCACAGTTTGGGACTTCACTAAATATAGACAGTATAAAGAATCAAGATTAAGCTCAAGTGATCTACTTACAGCATCATGCGAGTGCCTCAGGAACACATGGTATCCGAGATTGAAAGCATAGACTTAATGCATAGACATATAATAGCGCTGTGCGGATCTGCGACCTGGGTGGTTCGTCAAAGTTCGGATCCACAACCTGCGAGGTTTCAGGTGCGTCTCGCTTCGTCCTCACCACCACTGTGATATCTTGAACATCACCTTCCATCTTACACTGTCCATCAGGACCGGTATAGTAATCACGATCATTTAGGGGATTGTGATTTGCGATCCAGGAGTGCATACGGGGTAAGTGGTGTGGTGATGGAGGGGCTGATGGTCGCTGTGGCATTGTGGAAGGTGTTAACATGGTGATTACGGCTCATGATCGTCCACGCAAAGGATCTCGGTGCTACTAATACCCAATTCCATAACAGAGGTTCGCAGGGTGTCGTATCGCTGTTCCGAGCGACCGTGAGCAAAAGATCGGGTGAGCGATCTACCTCCATGCACTCGCCTCCGCATTCAGCACTGTCTCAAGGAAGACCGACGTCTATGTTCCGCCTATCTAAATCTCCGAAAATACTGCCTGAGAGCTCGCTAAGGCATAACGCAGACACCCCAGATGAGTGCCACACCTTGGCTACAGATCGGATACTACGGCTCCGCTATCCTGAGGCTCATACAATAGGCCTCAGTCTGCAAAGGCAAAACCGTCAAGCAAATCTTGGCAACGTTTTAGTTGCACATCTTCTTCTTGGCAAGATGCGGGTGTGTTCATCGCCGGTAACAAAGTGGCAAGTTCCCAAGGTTCGCGCTACATGTGTCACATCCAACGGCAATACAGGGGGCAAGTACCGACATATTGGCGTTTTTCTTGGGCATTGACGGGTCGTTGTACAGGTGAAGCGTTGGATAAAAGCTGATGGAGGGTCGCACATGGTTTACTTTCTCATCCCACACTCACTCTCCCAGTCTTCAGTCCTTTCTTCCTACCTTCCTTAATCCCTTTTCAATTCTTTAGCGACTTTGATAGTCTGCCGACCCACTTTCTTTGAACTTATAATACGTCTGTGACGTTTAATCTTTACCTTTTTAATCCATCGATTCCCTTGAAGGAGACTACCCTCTTTACCCACTCAACCATCATCAACATGTCTATTAAGGCTATTGCGACTATTGTGCTTGCGGCTGGTCTCGCTGGTAAGTTCACTACGCAATCTCAGCACCCAAACATATAGCATAGCGTACTAACCCAACACAGCTGCAAAGCCCATCAACACTCCTCGATCCCTTCCCGGCTCCACTAAGCGCCAGATCGACTTCAACTCCGTCGTCAATGGCTTCAACGGAAACGATGGCAACTTCAACTTCATCGACGGATTTAATAACTTCAACCAGCAACAGCAGGTCATCCAGATCCAGGAGCAGAACCTTCAGATTGTCGATAATGGTCGTCAACAAGCAATCGTCCAGCAGGTTCAGCAGGTCCTCATCGTCGACCAAGTCAACAACGGCTTCAACAATGACTTGAACAACCTCTTCCGCAAGAGCAATTTCCAGAACCAGTTCCGCGATGTCTCTACCGTCACGCTCGTCGTACAGGAGATCCAGATTGCCATCGATGACGGCAGAGGCAACCAAGTCCAGCAAAACATCTTCGCGCAATCTGCCGTTGTCGCCAACCGTGGCGCTCGCGAGACCCAGACCGTCATGGTCTTCGACAGCCGCACCCTCGTCGCCCAGGACATCCTCGGCAACAACGCCTTCGCGAACCTGGGTGGATTCGGCGGAATTGCTGGCGCTACTGCTGCTTTGGACAACAAGATGCCCACCAAGACCGCCGGCATCCAGCTGTTTGGTGCTAAGCCCACTTGGACGGCCGTTGCTGAGGATCCTGCTGCGACCCTTGGTGCTATCTGGCAAGGTGCTCTCCAGGACCTTCAGAATGCCGACAACGATGAACAAGACAACAAGCTCAACGAGCAGATTGCTGCTGAGGAGTTGAAGGCTATTCAGGAGGCACTTGGACAACAGGATGGTGCCGACAAGCAGAATGGCGAAGACCAGAAGAAGGCAGAAGAAGAGGCAGCAAAGCAGGAAGAGGAGCAACAGAAGGCCGAGGAGGAAGCTGCTAAGAAGGACGCTGAAGAACAGAAGAAGGCTGAGGAGCAGGCCGCTAAGCAAGATGCTGAGGAGCAGAAGAAGGCCGCAGAGGAGGAGCAGAAGAAAGCTGATGAAGAAGCAAAGGCGCAAGCTGAGAAGGACAAGAAGGCGGCGGAAGAGCAGAAGAAGGCTGAAGCTTGAGGCAGAGCGACACTTTAGCCCTCTGCAGTAGAGCAAAGTAGCCAATAAGTATACCCAGGGAACTTGTTAGTAGCCCCTTCAATAGGTGCATCGTCACTGAGTGGCAGTAAGATTCGACGCTTGAGTTCGCATGTAGGCATTATCATGATCTTGATAAGATTCATTGGTATCAGCGAGACTGATCCATGAAAAGTTAGTTACGAAATGGAATGAATGGTCTTTCTCTTTCACTTGTTGTGCGCCTTGACATACTCACCCTCGCCAACGATTACATATCGATTCTTATCTATCGCGCTCACTCTCATTCACTATCGATAGTACGAAGACCTTTTTCCTTCCAAGCTCGGTCTATCTGGGCAACTCATGACAGGCAACTCGCTGCACAACATAGGCGTCGCTTCTTCTCTCGACGTCGCATCCTCAAGCGCAAAGACTGCAAGGATGCCACCACCTAGCCGCTCAATACGTCGCTACCACCATACAGTTCGACAGAGTTTCGGTATCATAACGCTCATCGCTGGCTTTTGCGTATCCTTCGGCTCCGCAATATCCAATCTCATTTCGCCCAATGTATTTAGGTCAACCAGCTCTCCAAATCTCAAGTCCGAGTCAATAGCTTGGACACCTGCCAGGGAGCAAGCAGACTGGAGGATCTCAAAAGCGACGATTTTCTACGAGTCTAGCGAGAAGACATATAACGCACACATTCTTGCCCTTCACGACTTCCACGACGAGTATTTCAACTACAAGACACATGCCCTACGTACACCGCTTGTCCTCGGTGCTCTCAACAAATTCCTCTACCTCCAATCACTCATCACCAATGAACTTCAGAAACCAGTTGAGCAGCAAGTAGAATGGATCCTTTGCTTCAACGGCGCTGTCATTCTCGCGAATCCTCACACACCTCTACACCACTTCCTACCACCTATTACTGATGTCGAAACCTTTAAAAGCCTTTCCATCGTCGCTGCAAAGTCTGAAAGCGATTATCTAAACACTTCAGTCTTCTTCATCCGAGTTAGCGGCGGTTCATTACGTATCTTGACCGAAGCCATGGAAACGGTATACAATGCGCCAGATACCGAAGGATACGGGAATGAAGATACCGATAAAGGCCTTCCATCAACAGCTCTACAAGACATTTTATACAGAGAGCACCATAGAGAGGAAGTGATCTTCCAGCCGCGGGAATGGTACAACAGCACCACGTCCCTATTTTATCAACCGTATTTTCCCTCGCCAGCTCACCATCTCGTCCCCATCTCGGAAACCTTAGCAGTCGACGATGAACAAAGGCCAATGTTCCCAGATGCAGAGACAGTGCATGGTTTTTGGCATACCCTCAGTGAAGCGAGACGTGTGTTGGACGAAGCAAAAGAGAAGGGTCATACAAATGGACAGGGTAGGTGGTGGGACATGGTCGAGGAGGTGAAAGAGTGGGTTGAGTTGCGGGCTTGGGATACGGATGAACTGGAGAGCAGAGTCACGGTGTTGAAGGTCGGCTTGAATGACGCTGTACGAAAATCCCCAGCCAAGGGTGATTCTTGCCACCTTCCAATCATGTATCATGGATGATCTGGGCATCTCGGATAGCACGGCTTGATGTTGAGTAAGCGAGGCTGTATTACCGTGAGCTGCATAATCCCCATCTCTTGATATAGTAACAAGTCGCGTGCGCAAACACGACAGTTGAAGCATCTCTACATGCTTACACACTATCATGTCGCCATCACTTGAAATCATATCACTGCAAGACGTTGTCGCAACAAACGACAATTCGAAAAAAGACGCAGCACTCAAGACCAACCAGCCCACTTCACCGAGAAGAGATGAGGCGTACTCCACATTTCCAAAATCTACTCGCACCTACCTAGCCTACATTCTCGGCGTCATCCAACTAATTTCCACCTTAACAACAACGATTTACTTCCCGTTGATACCAACACTCAGTACCGAATTCTCTGTCTCCATCCAGGCCATTAACTTGACAGTGACTGTATATGCCATCTGCCAGGCCATATCACCAGGAATATTCGGTTCATTGGCAGACTCATATGGTCGACGGCCCGTACTATTGGCGCTCGTCACCACATACACTCTTGCGAGCCTAGGTCTAACGCTCAACAAGAGCAGCTATTCGGTACTAATGATACTGCGAGCATTGCAGAGTATCGGCGGATCGGCAACAGTACCAATTGCTTACGGAATCGTGGCTGACGTCGCGGTTGTGTCGGAGCGAGGAGGCATGTTGGGACCAATGTTATCGACTTGCAATGGTATATCTGCATTCGGGCCGGTTATCGGTGGAGCGCTGGCCATGAAGTCTACGGGGCATATGGGCGTATTTATGGCTTTGCTTGGGATCGCCATCTTGTGTCTTCTCCTTGTTGGATTTGTACTACCAGAGACGTCAAGGTATATCGTTGGGAATGGATCTAGGCCTGCGACTGGAATCTGGTGTACTTGGGTATCTTTTCTCATTCGAGAGCACAGGAATCAACCCGTAGCGACTGTTCAAGATCGACGTCCGACGCCAAAGCCTAGTCAGACTTTCCGGAGGATTTTCGATTCTATACGCATTATTTGGCATCCGGACGCCGCTGTGATTCTCTGGACGGTAGCTTCTTCCTACGGTATCTACTATACCTTCCAGGTCGCCCACTCTGTCATATTCAAAGAGCTGTATGACTACAACGAGTTGCAAATCGGGTTGAGTTTCCTCCCCGCGCTGGCCGGTATGACCATCGGCGGCACAATAGCTGGAAAGCTTATGGACATCAACTACGCGCATCATGCACCTCAGGCTGAGGTGGTTGACGAAGCGAATGTACTAGATTTTCCAATCGAAAGCGCCCGTTTCCGGAACATGATACCAATCATACTCGCCGAGATGGCACTTGTAACGGGCTATGGTTGGGCAGTGCAACACAACACACACCCTGCCGTTCTTCTCGTCTTGGAATTCTTCATTTCCGCCCTAGCTACAATGCTAAGCCATACTGCGAACGCGCTGCTCGTGGACGTTTTCCCCGAAGTACCGAGCACTGCGTATGCGTCAGGTCAGCTTGCGCGAGGCGGATTCAGCGCTGCTTCTGCGGCCATCATCGATCCACTAGTGCGTTCTGTGGGTCACGGATGGTATTTTACTATTTTCGCAGGATTTACTGGAGCTGGGTGTTTGGCGTCCGTAAGTTTGAGTCGGGGTGCTGGTATGCGATGGCGGCGGAAAAGGTATTTGAACACGGGCAGTAGGTCAAATGTGAGTGCGAGTAGCCAAGGGGTGTGAGGCGATTTCTCCGGTGTTGAAAAGTTGAATCGCAAAACCTAGCTATTTGGACTAGAACACACGACTAGTCGAGATTAACCAATCCACACATAATGCTTCTGTATGTCTGTTATTCAGATGCCCACTATCAATCTGTGCTATACTTAAAGCGATTGTGCTTAGATACGGAGCGACGGAAGTTGGGATTTGACCACAGCACGCGATCTGCCGCATTCCCGACCTTGACATGACCATACAGTAGTTATTCATGTGTTGGTGGCAGTAATGTTGGATGCTCACATCTTCGGTATCGTACCACAGGTTCTCGGCACAGCCTGCTGTCTGCATACGAATCACATTGATTACGTGGGCTGTGCATGTCTGTGGTCTTGTAGACACGCTGATGGCGATGTTCATGCTCCTCGCATGGCTGTTTGTGAGACAAGGTATGGAGAAGAAGTGTCGAGACGATACGTTGTGTGACAAGTATTCGCAAGGCGCAGTTCTTTCCGGTGAAAATCATAATAGATAAAGTCATCGAGCGCCGTCTTCAAGATGACAGCAAACGTGGATAGGGTATCCAATGTCGCTGACGTGTCGGTGATGCCTTAGGCTGTGAGCGTCCGCACTGAAGGTCAGGTCGGCAAGAAGGAGGAGTCATATCCCGCCACGCTGTTCGTAACCCCGCTCATGTCTCGAGTGAATCCCCTTAAACGATGATGATTGTAGGCCGAACGTTGGGTATACACTCGTGGTGATCTGATGTGGCACCAGTTGGGCTGACGCGGTTGATCTAGACTAGATCGGGAAAGACGCAGTCGAAGTGACGTAACCGTGATTGGCGGGCAACTTTGGACTGACCGGAAACCTGTACGAGGATCCAGAAGCTTCTACCGACAGGGCAGAAACCACGACTAGCTTCGAGATATGACGAGAAATCACACGATGCCACTGAGTGCTTCCTAAGTCTTCGCGAACAATTGTGTACAACTGCCTCCAAGCTATATATATATATCCATCGAGTCCTTGTACAACACTTCTTTTGTTCTTCAGAGATACCCAACACCAATTCATCGCACACACGAATTCTGAGTACGAGCTCACGATACACGCTATTACCTCTGGCTTCGGGCCATATACACAAGGCTATAGCCACAAATCACAATGACTTCATTTGACGCATACACCGATCGCGCAGCGAAAGCTCTAGCAGACAGCTTCGATTTAGCTAAGGGCTATGCGCACTCACAACTCACACCCATCCACCTCGCCGTATCGCTTATAGATCCACCCAAGGACCTGGCGAACCAAGTCGACGTACCACCGCCGCCGCTATTCAAGCAAGTCCTTGAACGCGCAAATGGCGACCCTCAACTCTTCGAGCGCAACCTCAAGAAGGCTATGGTACGGTTACCAAGCCAAGATCCTCCACCAGAGCGTACTTCACCTTCGCCCGCGATGGCCAAGGTGCTTCGCGCTGCAGAAGACTTAAGCAAAACACAAAAAGATAGCTTCATTGCTGTCGACCATCTCATCCAGTCTCTCTGCCAGGATGCTCAATTACAACGAATCCTCGCCGAGTCGAACGTGCCGAACGTCAAGCAGATCGACAATGCTATCCAAGCACTTCGAGGCACAAAGCGGGTGGACTCCAAGACGGCAGATGCCGAGGAGGAGAACGAGAACCTGAAGAAGTTCACTATCGATATGACAGCAATGGCACGAGAGGGCAAAATCGACCCAGTCATTGGTCGAGAAGACGAGACACGCAGAGTCATCCGCATCTTGACTCGACGAACCAAGAACAACCCAGTCCTCATCGGAGAACCTGGTGTTGGTAAGACTACAGTCGTCGAGGGTCTTGCCCGCCGTATTGTCGATGCGGATGTACCGGCCAACCTCGCAGCCTGCAAGCTGCTCTCTCTCGATGTCGGTGCTTTGGTTGCTGGCAGCAAGTACCGCGGAGAGTTCGAAGACCGCATGAAGGGCGTTTTGAAGGAGATCGAGGAGTCAAAAGAGATGATAGTATTGTTCGTTGACGAAATCCATCTTCTCATGGGCGCTGGCTCTTCCGGAGAGGGCGGCATGGACGCTGCCAACTTGCTGAAGCCTATGCTGGCTCGTGGACAGCTTCACTGTATTGGTGCGACCACCCTGGGCGAGTACCGGAAGTACATTGAGAAAGACGCTGCATTCGAGCGTCGTTTCCAACAGGTTCTCGTCAAGGAGCCATCGATTCCCGAGACCATCTCCATTCTTCGTGGTCTCAAGGAGCGTTACGAAACCCATCACGGTGTTACCATCATGGACGGTGCCATTGTTGCATCCGCTACCCTCGCAGCCCGCTACCTCACCCAACGTCGACTGCCCGATTCTGCTGTCGACCTCATCGATGAAGCTGCGGCCGCCGTCCGTGTCACCCGAGAGTCACAACCTGAAGCGCTTGATAATCTTGAGCGACGCCACCGACAACTACAAATCGAGATCCACGCGCTTTCCCGAGAGAAGGATGAGGCATCACAAGTCCGTCTGAAGGAGGCGCGAGCCGAGGCGGCCAACATCGAGGAAGAGTTGAAGCCGCTGCGTGAGATGTACGAGCGCGAGAAGGGCCGCAGCAAGGACATCCAAGAGCAGAAGCTTAAGCTCGAGGGCCTCAAGACGAAGCTTGCTGAAGCCGAGCGTATGCGCGACATTCAGACTGCTTCCGATCTCAAGTACTACGCCATTCCTGATGTCGAGCAGCGCATCAGCGAGCTGGAGCATGACAAGGCCCGCGCGGATGCTGAAATGTGGGCCCACCAAGCAAGTGGAGGTGGTGAGGCTCTCATGAGCGACTCTGTCGGTCCGGATCAGATTAATGAGATCGTCGCTCGCTGGACTGGTATTCCAGTCACTCGACTCAAGACTACAGAGAAGGACAAGCTGCTCAACATGGAGCGTCATCTCCAAGAGGTTGTCGTTGGTCAGAGGGAGGCTGTCGTCTCTGTCTCCAATGCCATCCGACTCCAGCGCTCTGGTCTGGCCAACCCTAACCAACCGCCCAGCTTCTTGTTCTGTGGTCCCTCTGGTACTGGTAAGACGCTCCTTACAAAGGCTCTTGCAGAATTCTTGTTCGACGATGCAAAGGCCATGATCCGATTCGACATGTCTGAGTATCAAGAGCGACACTCTCTTAGCAGAATGATCGGTGCACCACCTGGTTACGTCGGCCACGATGCAGGAGGTCAACTTACTGAAGCTCTTCGTCGCAAACCCTTCTCTATCCTCCTGTTCGATGAAGTTGAGAAGGCTGCTAAGGAAGTGCTTACTGTCCTTCTCCAACTTATGGATGACGGTCGTATCACCGACGGTCAAGGCAGAGTCGTCGATGCAAAGAACTGCATCGTCGTCATGACCTCCAACTTGGGTGCTGAGCACCTGTCTCGCCCCAACGCACCCGACGGCAAGATTGACCCCACCACCAAGGAGATGGTCATGGGTGCGTTGCGCAACTGGTTCCTCCCCGAGTTCCTGAACCGTATCTCTTCCATCGTCATCTTCAACCGTCTTACCAAGCGCGAGATCCGCAAGATCGTTGACGTGAGGCTGGGCGAGATTCAGAAGCGACTCAACCAGAACGGCCGCAACGTACGCATCGAGATGACACCAGAGGTACGGGATTACCTTGGTTCGGCAGGTTACTCGCCAGCCTATGGTGCCAGGCCGCTTGCACGACTCATCGAGAAGGAGGTGCTCAACCGTCTCGCTGTGCTCATTCTTCGCGGCTCTATCAAGGAAGGCGAGACCGCTAGGGTCGTGCTAGATGACGGACACATCATGGTACTACCCAACCACACTGACAGCGAGGATGACTCAGAGATGTACGATGAGTCCGATGCTGTGGCCGAACTGGATGACGCTGATGGCGATATGGACCTTTACGACTAGAGGAACTGGGTGAAACCGGAGAAGGAAGTTGAGGGAATTTCAGCATAGGCGTTTAGGGATTGGTTTTTTGGGAACAGGGGATGCTCTGATAAGAGGCATCACGATGGCTTACGAGTAACGGCTGATGATTGTTCATGAAAAGTAGTGGCACGGACTGGCGTTTTCCTGGGTAGCCGATTTGATGAACTGTCTTGTACATAGTTAATGAGACCAATACTTTAAATTTATTCACAGCAGGCATGCGATTTCACCGTGACAATGACTACTTCACGAACGGTTCGATCTCAATTAAGACATTGACACGTTGCATGTGCACATGATCGCACTCCCAACTGTAAGACAAAACCAGCTGGTGATGAAAATCACGTTTACGATAAAAGCTCACATCAAATGTACCACACTCAAACTTCTCAGTATCTCAGTCATGAACTTTTGTCATTTCTTCGTCTAAGGTTCCATGATGGACCTACTTGGTCAAATATATGCTTGCCCAAGTCCGGGTATATTGCATCCCACTCCACCACATATCCGAGTAACCTAGTAGAAGAAACCAAGAATCTTTCCGGCAACGTGCTTCCTGCGGGCCTCCTCGTGGTCCATGATACCAGCAGAGGTGGTAAGGACGATGTAACCGAATTGACGCGAGGGAAGTAGCTTGACAACCCACTTCTCCATGTCGCGGAGCTGGACGTTGTAGCGGGGAGAGATGACACCGGTCTTGTTGATGCGGCCGTTGAGCTGGATGACAATCTTGCCGTTACGGTGGTCGTCGACCTCCTCGAACTCGCCGATGTAGCCTGAAGAAACAATATTAGTGTATGTTGCGGCGAAATAAACATCAGACGTCATGAAAGGGATCCGAAGACGTGTAAGTTCTCCGCAGTTAATATATCGGACACTTAAAGCTCATTGATCGTGGGGAGTCGAGATCAGTGAGTAGTTATCAGCCCGAAGAGGTGATGGAGGTTTACTAGCGGAGAACGTTGGGCAACATTTACACGTCTTCAGGGGGGACTACGCGTGCGACGAGTGCAAGGAAGGGCAATTGACATACCGTGACGCTGCATGACAGTGAGGAACTTGACGATGACCTTGGAAGAAGGACGGATCAGGACTTGGCGCTTGCCAGCCTTCTCGGCGTTGTTGATGGCGTTGAGCGCATCGTTGAGGACGGAAGTCTTGACCATATTGACGGTGTTATCGGGAGATTCTCTGTGGCGGAGGCGACTGAGGTATCTGCGCGTGGGTGGTTAGCCTCCAGATGCCAGAGCATGGAGAGTGCCCTTGCATGAGGGTTCTTCAGCTCTTGTCGAAGAGGAGAGGCAGTGTCGCCTTCATCCTTGTGGACGAAGGCGAGTGCATCCCCTGGCTCTGAAGGGCACTCGTGTCAAAGACATACCTCGTGTGGTTGCGGTGGACGGTAAGGAAGGATGGTGTTTGCGAAAAGTTCGAGTTTGGGCTGCGCAAATTCGTGTGGGCCCGTGTCCTCGCTAACGGGCATGGACTTGGCAGCAGCGACGGACCCTGGCACGCTCCACGCTCCCAGGCTGCCAAACTTCAACACCTAACCGTCCTAACATGACTCTGCAGTCGCTATATAGACTGTTTATGCCTTCTCCCTAGAGGAGAGCTCATGTTTTGAGTATATGGTTTGATCCTAGCCTAACATTACAGTACTATCGCGCCTTCACGTGCACTCGCGATCGCTAACCGTCTTAGTCATGACGTAGCGGCGGTCACTTTGCCTCTGGCCATCTCATACGAACCCAAGTCTAGAATCTCTCTACTAACACCAAAGTCTACTATACTACTTCACCATGTCGGAGGCATGCTGTACCTGCGCTGCCCTCTTATCGTCCATTCCCCCAACATACGATGAGAAGACCGAGAAGCCGTCACAGTTCGAGCGTAGACTTGACTGCTGTGACCGCGCCATATGCGCCAGATGTCTGACGGACAATCCAAGGTTCCAGAACTACTGCCCCTACTGCCAGATATCGACGGGACCATCAGCATTACCACCACATGGTCTACGCGACCCTCCTACATATTCGCCACCAGACGAGCAGCAAACCGACGACGAACTACCACCATACTCAGCACACAACGCGCTACAACCGCCACCCGAGAAGGCGAAATCAGATGCTGAGAATGCACCTGATGTCCTACACTTTGTCGATCAGAACAACGACTCCATCTTATCGTTATCGCTTCGATACGGTGTATCCGCAGATGCTTTACGTCGAACGAATAACCTATATGCAGACCATCTGCTCGCGGCGCGTAGAACAGTGCTTATACCGGGCGAGTTCTACAAGGGGGGAGTCAGTCTTAGCCCGAGGCCACTAGAGGGCGAGGAAGAAGAGATTAAAAAGACTAAGCTACGGAAGTTCATGGTTAGGTGCAAGGTCGCCGAGTAAGCGCCACAACCTTTGAGTTAATCCTGGAGATACAAAAACTGACGTTCCGTGACAGATACGATGTTGCACTTCTTTACCTTGAACAAGCCGATTATAATCTCGAGCACGCAATCACTGCGTACAAGGCCGATGAAGATTGGGAGAAGGAACACTCCCTAGAGGCTGCGAAGAAGGGCAAGGCGAAAAACACACAAAGTCCTGGGCGGCGGAAGTGGGGCTTTGGAGGTCTCACAGGTCAACTATGAGAGCGCGTACGAGCCGTTTCTCCGGTCATGGCATTTTGCAACGCTCTGACACACTTTGGCTTGGTTAAAACTGCTCTGGCCAGCGGGTATATATGTATAATATTACGATTGATAGTGTCATAATTGTTAGAAGGTGAGGTTCGTAAACCCCATCACTCCAACAGTACTATCAAAGTCCATATGACAAAGTACGCCTCTCAACCATTATTGCTGTATCCAAGTGCACCGAGCCATTTACCATTCCCATCTGCCTATCCAAATATGCACTAAGCTTACTGTCTGAAGTCAACTACTATTTTCGTTGGTCGTGAAATTCCATGTTCTTTCCCACATAGAAGTTGACAGCCAATCATAGTGCAGAAGGACCATAGACTTGTAAGCGCCCATACATTTCGCGAATCAACGTCTGCACCTCAACTCTCGAAGCGCCCGCACCTCATCCGCGTTTCACACTCTAGTGACCCTGCATTTAGGCCCTTCTGTACCCTTATTCGACGGCATGAAAGCGCACTACAGCCGCTCATGCCCTGACTTTGCCATACTTCGCTGCCAGCGAAACCACAGGCAAGCCACAGAACCTGACGCACGGTACGATCGGCAACCTCATTGATTGAGTGGAGATGCCACCGACCACAGTGAACGGTGTGGGTTGCTAAATGTACATATGCGGTAATGCGGCAAGACAACATGCTGGTTAATATCACTATTCTAGGACTGGTCTGCAGCTTACGCGCTGCGAATAACAATACACCACCACGAACCCAGTAATTCGGCGCTGCTAACCCAGGTCCCACTGATGGTCGCAGCGGCAAGACAGATTAACGTTCTTTCTTTGCTCTTGTTCGTCTATTTCGAGAGGCGAACTGAAGATGGCTGCAGGGGGTTGCACGATGTGTTCTGTACGCGTGAAACCCCAGTTGCGACCAAGTCGTTTTAAAGGCATGTGCCACCCCCAGAGTTGTTTCCTATCATCCCAGGCAAACGTTCTCTCGAAGCCTCAGGTTATATCAAGCCTTCTTTGCTTGCTTATTATTTCGTTGTCTCGTTATCCGTCCTTCATTTCAAGAAAAAGAGGTGCTCCTGGTTGACGCCAATCTAACGACTCGGTCCTTATACCCTCGTACCTTACGCTTCTCATATAATACAACAAAGAATATCTTGAAAACAAGACTACTGTCAAGATGAAGATCAACCCCGCTCCGTTCCATTTGGCACAGGCCATCATCACCGGCCTCGTCGTCCTCTTCAGCATATGCATTCTCGGCACTTCAGCACACACCCTAAATGTCTTCAACAAGCAACATCTCACAAACCCTTGGTGGGCACCGATGTGGCCTCAGCACTTTGATGTGCAAGGAACCAAAGCGCTTATCGCATCGTCCGTCGTGACCTTGGTTCTCTGTGGTGCTTTCTTGATCGCATCATTTATGCCTCAGGTGAGCAACAGTCCTACCATTATTGTGTGGAGACGTGCATATTGACAATCATCAGCTCGCCCTTCGTCAGAAATACACTCTCCGCGCTCTCCTCTCTCTCGCCACCCTCCTTCCTACTCTTCTCCTTACTCTAATCACAACGATCTGGGCACACATGCTCAACAACAACGCCCCGGAAGTTGATACCATCCAAACCTGGACCTGCAAGATGCAGAACTCACAACCACTTACTCAGGATTTGCCAGGCGACATCGCTATGCCGGCTGGCATGGGTAATGGAGACTTCAAGACCCTTTGCGGAGCAAGCAAGTTTGCGCTTGCCGGCACGCTGATCGTATTTCTGCTCGTAGGTGCAAGCATGGGTGTTACGATCATTACTTGGATGGCGGACAAGTGGGCAGCCAGGCAACAGAGGAAGGAAGTTGAGATGGGCAACATTCCTGTGCCTACATCGTAGAGGCGAGGTCAATGTGAGACAGGATGACCAAAGAAACAAGCAAGCGCTTGACAGGACGTATCAAGTTGAGAAATTTGGTGCATTTGGGTTATGGATCTCTATCAGCAAGCGTGTCCTAAGAAGGAAGGCGTACCGGTGTAATGGCGTCCATACGTGACTAGGAACAAGGGTGTTCCTATCGATGTACTATTAGGCAAATGAAGGCCTTTTCTGCATCCAATTCGCATCTTGGTTATGCTTCGGACTGGAATGATGCATTGCGCACCGATATTGCGGGGGATGGGGCCCAGATCAGGATCGGCAGGTCCAATAGACGATCACCCTAGAGTTGAGCAGAGGATGTGTAAGCGTGCGTGAACGGGAATAAGGCACGCCGATGTCCAGAACGTAATCACGCTCAGCCGTACACATGGCCCTGTTTGGTTTCGGGTGGATAGAAATGCTTGCTGGAAAAGGTTGTCTACAAAGTTGGGCGAGACAGCAAGCAGGTATTGTCGCGCAGCAACGACCGCAAGCGCGACAAGCAAATGTCTTTGTACCACCCAGACATTGACCATGAGACACTATATGTAGCGGTTTCAGCGCAGTGTTGAGACGACCTTGAATCTCAGACAATCGAAAGCTTACATAGTGAGCGATGCGCAGTGGGGGACGCGTGAATAAGCCGGTCAACGATCATCGTTTGGTTCCCTTGGTTCCCTTGGTTCGGCCTGTCGCGTCACGACTCCTCATCTACATCAACTGCCGTCATCCGGCCAGGCCTTCGAACATTTCCGTCGCTCTTGCTTTTTCTCGCCCTCTGTTTTCCCATCGGCGTTGAATCAAAAAACGAAATCTACCCGCCGTTCCTCGTTAAGCAACTAAATTGATCACCCGTCCTGTCATCCCGGATCCTTGTCCATCTTCAGCCCCCAAAGGCTCGAGCGTGCATCGAAGCGGCATCAGAAAGATCCCCTCTCCACCGCAGCGAGACTGCATAATTCTGCCTTACTCGGCCGGCCAACCTTCTCCCCTCTCTCACACATACGTTTCACACCCGCTATGCAAACTCGTCACGCGCCGACAGAAGAACACCGCAGCAAGAGGAAGTTCCAACCCAGTATCACAAGCTATTTTGAGGTGCGGGACGATTTCGAGCATAACGACGATCTGCGGGGCCTAGATCCGATTATCCGACCGCGACACCAAGATACGAGAGGCGTTGCACAACAGCAGCAACAGCAAAGAGAGAGACTTGCTCCAGACGTTCCAGGACAAGTACAAGCAGACTTGCTGAGCGTCGGAATGAGAGTCAGAAAGAGCGTGCCGGAAGGCTACAAGACGCACAAGATATCCGGACTGCCCATGTCGAGACCCACGTTGGCCGTCAAGCCACCCCGAGAAGCTGTACCAGACGAAGTTCAACACCAGCGAGAATTACTGCCCTTCTGCGGTCTGCATAAGATTGGGGGATTTGCTGAACAACCTACAACGAACCCACATCTCTACCATGCGGACGGCACTCCATCGCCACCAAATTACTTCCCTCTCCCTGCCGAAACCTTTACGCAGCCATTCTCCTCGTCATCCTCCACCGATAGCGGCTGCTCCACCACATCGCAACGCCCACACAACCCCTCGAAACGCTCATGGCAAGACGAAGACGAGGTCAGGCAGTTGGACACAAGCTTCTTCTTCGGTTCATCGTCCACGAAGGGCATGGGCATGGGTGTTGAGGTCGACGAGGTGCCTGTTAGTCCTTTGAGCGAGACGCCGCCTCAAGGGCTAAACACGCTGCCACCGGTGAGGCAGTTCGCGCAACCCAAGTCAAGAAGAACCACTCAGAGGACGATCAGCGATGATGACATCGATATGGATTTCGAGAATGCGTCGCACATAGAGGGACGAGTTGGCGCAGGCTGTGGAAGTGATTTTGAGGAGGCGGATTTCTTGTCCAAAGAGGTGGATATGGGTGGTATATGAAATCTGGCCATTTCCTTCTCCGTCGTCGTTTTAGCGTTGTTGACCCCTTCGTTTTTCCTTTCTTGTCTATAACTTCTAGTTGGTTGTTTGTCTTCGCGCTCGGCGCACTTATTACAGATGGCGTTTTATGGTGTTTACGAGAAAAGGTTGTAATGTCGGTGCGCATACCCGGGTTCATTTTGTCTTTAAGAGGGTTTCAATTAGCTCTTCCTGAGCTGTGTACTGCATAATCTTCAATTGACTTGTTTGTCACATGTTACCACATGGTTGTTGTGTCTAGCTTTCCCTCGCCTGGGAACTTAGCACTCCAAGTTCGATTATCGCCTTTGCTTGAGATCAGTTCCATACCTTGTTCTCAGCTCAACAATGAGTTTTGATGGGTTTGCTTGTAGCAAGGCTTGTCTGGTCCGTGGTCGTGGTACCTGCAGCCGCCCACCCCCTGGAACCACTCCTTTGAGGTGACATTCTGGATACCCTTTTCGAGGTCAGGGCCAAATAGCCTTCAAGGCGTCGTGCAGAAACTCTGGTGAGTCGTTGAAGTCCTCTCTCTGAAAGTTCACTCGATCCTAGATGTTGGCGAAAGCATCGACTGCCATACGTCGGTACGGTGACTCTTGCTTTGTATGATGATAGACGACACTGGAAAGTCGCAGTGGGTATCTTTCCATCGTGACCATCCAGTCGATCATGGCTTCAATCAAGGCGTCCCGAAAATCACTGTCTCTTAAGAAGTCACCAAGAGCGTACAGAGGTTTTCATATGGCAATCTCTCTAGAGGACGTCCGCTTCTTCTCAGATTTATTGTCGGCTTTCTCTTCTCTCAAATACACCCGATTAATGTAGAGAAACTTGACCCAACCCCTAAAGTGCTCTGGCTTCGCATCTGACGAGTCGACAGCAGCCTCTTGTCCTTCCTTCCATTCTTTCTTAAGCGCCATGTCAAAGAACTCAGAGCTTGCGCGGAGCAGCCTCTCGTGGACAAAGAATTCTTGCTTGGCATGCCCAACGCGCACAACGATTGGTTTCGATTCAATGCTGTTATAGTTAGGGCAGAACGTTGAACACATCACTATGTTTGTTACCTGGCTCAGGCACGCCAAGGGTGGGCCCGACCAGAAGTGAATGGGAACCAGTGATGACACGGTGAGCTGCTAGTTCGGAACACCTTACACCTGAAATCAGTGAGAAGTGAAAGTGGGCCAGTGCAGTCACGCGTCAATACCAACATGTTACTTCTTTCTTAAATTACCATATCTAGACCGAGGACGTCATTTCTAGATGGACGCTTTGGACAACAGAAACCTTGTAGCATGAATTCTCGGTTCAAAGGCGCATACTCTCTCCATTCCAAGAGAACAGAAGCTTCATCTACCACTGGCTTGGACTATCTTTAGGGAATCCTTCATTCACTCTCTACCTGCATTTTGTAGTCGAGCGTTCAATGTACTCTTATTCTCTTTTCGTGCGTACAGCCTAGGCCACAGTACGAAGGAAGCCATCTCCTCGATGAAGACGAAACAGCAAACAATTACCCACCAAGTGGATCATAGTGTTAGAGCAGAGAAAGACATACCCTATACCTTTTGCTTTGATATGTAGGAACCTCTAGCCGACTCTAAGATTGACTGACAGCTCCTCACTTATTATGATACGAAAACTCTCGGGGGCCAGGGGTACTGAGTACCCCTAGCCATGCTACTTTGAATTAAAACTCCGACGCTATGCATGTCTATAAAAAATGCTTGAACCCTTCTTTCTCTCATACGACGCATAGGATGCACTTAAGACGTCGACTTCGTTAGTAGGAAGCCGACGTTACACTCCGATTCTTTCAGGACATCGAAGAATACATCATCATCCACAGCCACCGCCATGTCGTCTAGAACCTCTTCCTCTTCATTCTCGTCTCCTTTATTCTTCGTCGTCCCCCTGAGGATCTTGGTGTCAATATGTCGGTACTCCATCAACATCCTGAGCTTAGGAAGCTTCGCCGCGCGCCTAGCCTTGATCTTCGCTTCCTGCTCCTCAATGTTGACCTGGCTTGCTTTCATAAGGGTAGGGTAACGATCTTCCTCGGAGTCTTCAATATCGTCTTCGGAAGCTACATCCTCTTCTTCGGCTTTGATTTCCGGTGAGCCCTTGCAATCACATGTACAGCCGAGTATGTCATGTGTCTGGCAACCTTCACGTTCATCGAGACGGAAGAGGTCACGCAGTTCTTCTTGCGAGAAAGATGATGCAGAGGCTTTGTTGTCCACGACGGCATTTGCGAGACCCATCTTCATGACCTGGCGCTGATAGATCTTCTCATCTAGACCACCTTGAATGAGAAACCTGTATACCTTGCATGGCAGTTTCTGGCCATCACGGTGAATACGTGCCATAGCTTGTAAATCTGTAGCGGGGTTCCAGTCGATATCGAAGAGCACGATACGCGATGCACCGATAAGATTGAGGCCTACGCCACCAGATTTCGCAGATAAAAGAAAGGCAAAGGATGTAGTCTTTGGAGTCTTGTTGAACTTCTCCACAAGTGCCTGTCGTTTGGAAGCCGGTGTACTACCGTCAAGGCGGAGGTAAGTGTATGACAACGAGACAAGAAGCCGCTCGATCATGTCCAATGTTGTAGTGTAGTTCGAAACAATGACGATCTTCTCTTCTGTGGTGGTATAGATTCGGTGAACCAGGCTGTCGAGCAGTCGCAGCTTCGCGCTCGAAGCACTTGAGCTGAGGATCTTACTCGGTATGAGTGGGAGAAGCGATTGCAGCATCTCCGATGGTGTGTCATCATTATCCTTTGACGATTTGAGTAAAGACGGGCTGTTGCAGACCTTCTTTAGTACATTGATGAGCTGTAGTGCGATATCTGTACTTCCTAGCGCAAGTCTAAACGTCGGCGAACCTAGTATTGCACGATACGCCTCGGCCTGTCCTTTGGTCGGCCTGCAAAAGACGATGTGCTCAGTCTTGGGTGGGAGATACTTGGAAAGCACCTCTGCTGTTCGGCGGATCATGAATTGACTGGTGAGAGATACGAGCTCCTTCCATCGTGCCTCTCCTTTTTCCAGCTCTGATTCGCTCGCGTCTGGCTGACGGCTACGCATGATGGGCACTTCGAACGACCGCTTGAATGCTGATCGTTGCCCAAGCAGACCAGGGTTGACAAAGTCAATTGCGGTGAAGAACTCGCCGAGATCGTTCTGCAAAGGTGTACCTGATAGGATGATCCGCCGCTCAGTGTTAAGAGACTGAATGGCAAGCATTGCTTTGTTGTTGGCCGTTTTTAACCTGTGGCCTTCGTCTGCAATAACAATGTCGACACCACTGCCCTTCTTCAACTCCTCTTGTACCACACGCAGCATCTCGTATCCGACGATCATGATGTTATAGGCTTTGCCCATTGTGAAGTTGGTAATCTTCTTGTTCTTGCCGTCTAGCACGAACACACCAACTCTCTCATTGCCTAGCCATTTTCGGAACTCTCGCTTCCAGTTGTCGACAAGGCCAGCAGGGCACACAATAAGAGCCTTGGTGATGACCGGCGAGGTATCGTGTATCGGGTTTTGTTTCATCAACGTCCAGAGCAACGTGATGGTCTGCAGTGTCTTGCCCAAACCCATCTCGTCAGCCATGATGGCTCCCTCGCCCTCGCATCGCATGCCCATCACGCATTCGTATAGAAACTGCACACCCTCGCGTTGATGTTCGCGGAGATGCTTGCTGAGGACCGGATCGACAACAACGTCAACAATCTGCTTTCCGCTCGGACAAGATTTGGGTCGCTTCATGACCAGGGCATTCGGCGCGTGAGGGTCGTGGCGTGGCTGCGGGATCGACGGGTTTCGTTGAGGCATGACGGTGTTTGACAACAGAGGGGCCTTGAATGGCTGCTTGCGCTGGGCTGATGGCTTGTAGTCTGGTACTTTCCCCCCATCATCAGCAGCGTTGTTTTTCTTGTTCGCTTTGGACTTGGCCGATGAAAGAGGCTTGTATCCCAGTTCGGCGCGCTTCGACTGATCTGAAGGCGCAGCTGCAGCAGTTCCGAGGGACGTGCGTCCAGCGAGGTAATCCGCCTTGTCAATGGAGCCTTCAATCTCAAGCTCCTTGCCACCAATGGATAGCGCCGAACCTGGAAGTAGCGGTCGATTGCATACTCCTTTGCCCAGCTCTTTTCCCGTATCGCTATCCGTGAGCGTAGCATAACCACCTGTCACAGCGAGCACCCCATCGCCATCCCACGTCTTGTTCTTTTTAGTTGTGTATTTCCGCCACAACACCGTGTAATAGTTTCCATCGAGACCCGGAGGCAGGAATTGCGCGGGCGCGGGGTTATTTAGCGTGTTGATAGGTTGACGATTGCTCGAGGAAAGCGCGTTGGACGAGATTCTCCGTTTCTTGTTTGGTGGCTCGCCAGTCTCTGGGCGAGGGCGAGCTAGAGTAAGAGGCCGAAAGGGCTTCATATTTGGGGTATTAGGTGTAAACTGGCATGCCGTAGAGTAGGATGGATGTGTGGGGATGTCCAGGTGGCGTTGAGGATGTGCGACGCGCCGGAAGACGGAACGCGGTCTTGCGTTGTCACGTGACGTTCAGATTACCGCAGCTTTCGAGGTCATAGGTACATTTCAAATGCTTATAAGTATAAGTTGCCTATTTAACGCGTCCGAGGAGAAGGTGTTCCAGTCTCTCGTCATGATGGCATTATTAGGTCTTCACTGAGATATATAGCACTCATATACTCAAGGTTCTCCATGAAGAAGCCTATCTTTCATGAGTTGTACCCATATACCAAACCCTTTTCTCAATGTATACACTGTTGCTCCACAAGTTCCTTCGTGAGGGCTTTAAATTCAGTCTAACAGTGGGACAGCAGCATAACAGACGCTTCCTCTAGGATTGAAGGACTTAGTTACAGCTGCTAAAAAGTCCTCTTTTACTGATATAGGTGCTCCCCCAGGATGCCTACTTCAACATCCATTCCCTCTCAACTCACACCAAGCATCTTGAACTCTTGAATGCCATGGTAATCGAGCAGATGCTCGACATCCTTTATAAAACCTAATATTCTTCTGTCATGTAAAGAGGAATGGCCGTAGCCAGAGCGATCAACAGTGATGATGCGAACGCCTTGATTCTCAGCATATTTTGGTTTAGCTTTACCACCTAATCGACTGCCAGAAGTGCCATGAAAATAGACCCAGTGTTGCCCCACCTCTTTCAGACGGCCAAGTCTTGCGTAACTCATCTGAGCCCCTGATGGCAAACCGATGATCTGACTATCCTTGGGCCAAATTGCGTCTTCTAGCATCGTATGTCGGAAACCGTCCTGGCGGCAATACGTCGTGTTATCCTGGAGCAGGCGGCTGGAGGCAGCTGGTCGAACTACAAGGTCGTTCTTGTTCGTCGCGGGTGACACAATACGAGGATGTGCTGCTGTGACAGGAAACTTGTTTGCACTCTTCGTCCCCGGTCGAGACTTGTAGACCAGCTTTGACAAACGCGCAGGAATGAATTCGAGTGTAGAGTTGGTACCTGGCTTTTTGCTTAGATTCGATGCACGTTGAAGCCGTGCGTAGCCTGCTCGATATATATCCTGGACAGATTGAACCGAGATCGCGTAGACAATGCCTGCCCTGCGCCGGCGACAGCATTCCCAAAGCTCATCTCGACGGTGCTAGTCGTTGGGTTGACCCGCCTATATACTACTTGATCAATGGGTCCATAATGAAAGCACCGATTTGAAGGACGTGTAGAGGTAAAGGATCTTGAAGTTCAAGTTGAGTACGACGGCCTATACAAGGAGCTGTGCCGCATGTCGGGCTATTCTCGATGCGGCAAACGTACATACACAGATATCTTGACTTCCGCGGAGTGGTGTTGCGAACCGATCGTACCTCCAGGCGTAGCAAGTATTCACAGTTGTAATACGCTCATTAGCCGACAATAGAAACTGGAGGTAGAGCAGACACATTCAGCGAACAGGAAGGGGCGCCAATGTCATCTTCCGCACTTGACAACTAATAAACGCCATTGTCATCACCAAGGCTTCCGAGACGCGTCAGTAGGGCGGTATCGGCGATTAAAATAGAATGAAGAGACCATGTGCGGTCTGTGAAGTGTCTTCATCACTCTTAAAGATTCTGCGTAAACCCATGACATTCAGGCGTAAATCTGGGTGAATCGAAAGCTATGGCACATCGTGTTCAATCTTGAGCCGCACTTGAGAATTCTGCCTCATAATACTAAACAACTGTCAGCTCATAGTCCGCAATCTAGACAAGTGTTTGGCGCCAGACTTTTAAGAAGGCCAGACTTACCTCCGTTACGTTCTTGGCCAACTTGGTATTCCTCAACTTGGACTTTGCGTTTGGTATCGACCAGTTGTTAACTCCCCACCACCATCTCCGTATCCGCGCGCCGACGCCATGTCCACTGAACTTGGCCGACCGGTTCCAGTGTCGCCAGCCGTTGAGTACAAGAGTCCACAGCACGCCTTGCGCGAAGCACATGATAACCTATGCTACTGATTAGCTCAGGCTTGGCCAGCTTTTGTCCTTGTTGCAGCTGTACCTGATCGCGCAGTGTGATCCATAACACGCCCTGCCACCCTTCTGCTTGCTCGATACTCTTCAGATAACTTTGTTCGAACCGCAGGTCTGGCAGCGGAGGCATCGTCTTCTGTCGCGGTACTGGATCCAACACGCTGACGGGAATCTCATCTTCGCCGACCTCTGAGCTGTCGGGATCCGGGTGTTCATTGAGAGTAACGGGCTGCTTCTCGGATGCCGCCGTCGATGGGTTCGCGTCGTGTCGTACGGATGGGTGTCGGTTTATGGATGCGCCTTGAAGGATGGAGCCAATTTCTGTGGGGATGTCCGAGTCCATTGTTTCTACCGTGTACCGTGTACCGTGCCGTGAAGCTCAGTGGGAGCGTTGAATGCAGATGCACGGAAGTGAATGCACAGTCTTGGCGGTTGACGTCGGGGAGCGGTGCCTGCCTCTAGCGTAGCTGGACCCTAGCGGCAGCGACCAAGCAGCCCCACGACCTTGAGCCACGCCAACATCCTCCACCACCCAATTCTTGCCCCAGACAAACCGCCAACATGGGTAACCAACAGTCCGGGCTGCTCGACAACATAGCCTCCGGGTCCAACTGTACGTAGGCGGCCAAAGCGGAGGGCCTGCTCGGGAGGGCACTGGCGGGGCTGAGAATTGCTTGCTAACAGCATATAGTTGACCGCGAGGAGGTTGACCGCCTAAGGAAGCGGTTTATGAAGCTGGACAAGGTGCGCGACCAAGACTGTATAGAGACTTTGGGAAGCTTGGCTAATTTCAGTCCAGGACAACTCCGGTACCATTGAGCGCGACGAATTCCTAGCCCTCCCTCAGATCTCTTCGAACCCTCTCGCAACACGCATGATCGCCATCTTCGACGAGGACGGTGGCGGCGACGTCGACTTTCAGGAATTCGTTTCCGGTCTCTCGGCTTTCAGCAGCAAGGGCAACAAGGAGGAGAAGCTGCGTTTCGCATTCCGCGTATACGACATTGATCGCGACGGTTACATCAGCAACGGCGAGCTCTTCATAGTACTGAAGATGATGGTTGGAAGCAACCTGAAGGACCAGCAGCTGCAACAGGTACGTACAATCTATATCAGTAGCTACACAGCGAACGAGTCTAACGTCTATGTAGATCGTCGACAAGACCATTATGGAGGCCGACCTGGACCGCGACGGCAAGATTAGCTTCGAGGAGTTCACCAAGATGGTTGAGAACACCGACGTCTCTATGAGCATGACCCTTGATCAATTCTAAGCGCTTTTTTCATTACGAATGCAACGGCATCTCCAGGCACGAGGATTTCCTTGGCGAGGCGTTCATGGTGTTGCGGGCACACTCGAGAACGGGCTCGACAGTATTCGATATTCTCCAATTCAAAACCCGACATCTTCGGTTACTCCTGTTTCACAATTTGGATACTAATGCGAACTACGGACCAATATACTACTGATTGCGTACACAGGACACCAATCTTGCGATAACAGCACGCATCTCTGTACTTTTGCACAGAAGGTCATCTCTTATTCAGTTCTACAAAAACCTTTTTCCAATATACCCCCCACCAAAACCCAGACTAAATCCAGGCATTCCACATGCTGCGTAAATCACAATGAAAAAGTGGATACCAGCCGCAATACAGAGTCCAGCCCCCTCCCAACTCCCAGCTTGAATCATCACCTCGCCCTCTCCACCATCAACCGCATGATGTCCCAGCAAGATCCCTATCTCATGCAACGCCTTCGCACTAGACATGGCACACAATGCTCCCGCAACGCCCAGCGCTGCACTGACCCCTAAAAGGAACTTTGAAATCTTTTCGTTACGGCCGCCTCGTTCCCGGAAGATGAAGTAATATATCAGAGACACAAGGTAGAGGGATGAGGCAAGTGCAGGGAGAGGGTATAGAGCAGACTTCTGGAGTGTCAGGGCAGAGGAAAGGACGGGGTGCGTCATTGGTATACTCGAAAGGCCCGGCGGTGTATCACCTGGGAAGCATTCCAATGGCGCGGGAATCGGGTTGTCGCTGGGCGTTGTGGTATTTGGTGGGAAGGACGCGCAGAGACCTACGGTATATCAGTCACTTTCGGACCTATGTTGACAGTGATGTCCACATCCAGAGCGCTGAATCAAGGCAAAGACGTACCGAAATACCCTATTCTCACTTCAACTGGTGGCTGCTCAGCAGTCCCGTTCTGTGAGATCATGACCCAATATAGATTCTCGATTCCTACCCCTTTGCTTATGCAGCCGAGGAGGACAAAGAGATAGATGATGAGGGACACGAAGGTCAAGAGGCAGACGAAGAAGGTTTTATTGAGGATCCTGTCCTTCAAGAACGCTGTCAAGAGGAAGGGTAGCATGTTGACTGTGGTAAAGATTCGTCGTTGCTGAAATGAGGTATCAGGACTCAATAGTCTTCTGGGCCTAAAGACACTGAACGGTGGATATGTGGCAAACTGTGAGAGTTGACTGATGAGAGGGTGGAAGATGATGCTGTTGATTGGTATTTATAGGTAACGCAGACCCGGGGTTTTCAATGAAGGGTTGGCTTCAAGAGATGAGAGTGAACCCTTGGTTGTGACAGCGTCGCTTTGAATGGTATGTAGAAAGTGACATTGGAGCAACGTATGGCTCGCATATTCTGATTGCTGACCTGCTTCTCGAAGCTACTTGATGAATTTCTCGCGGTGCAGATGCACTTATCCAAGCGATTAAGCACACGAATAGCAATGCTTTCGTCCGGTATACGATGTCGCGTGCGTGCACTCCAGAGATTGTTCTTCGTCCTCACTTTTGCATCTACCGCATTTAGTATATCCTGATCGTGTAATCCCAGATTATCCACGCTCAGCCCATAAGGAACGACTGGTGACATCCTTCAGCAGCTTTAAGGCCAGTAAGAGAGTCTCTGTAATACGGGGGGGTTTGTTCCGGATATGGCATATCCACTTGGTCTCGAGGAGACTTGTATGTGCCATGAGCATTGTGGGTGTGGAAGATCGTGCTGCATGAAGTATGGTTGTTTGTCATCGATACTGCGTAGTTAGGATGTAATCGAATTAAAACCAAATCAGGCTGAGTAATTGAGGAACACTCGTCGTCCCAGTCGATGTCAATGGTGCAAATGTCGGCTATCCGCGGACTCCGGGTTTAGGCTATGCCCACATAGAGCTAGCTAAGTGTATGGGATGCCTCCTGGTACGCTGATTCTCCTACTTTACGCACTTTCGAAATGTCCGTATGTCCGCCACGGTACCGCGATCCAATCATTGGTGCTTGCGTCGACCATTCTATGGTTTGTGGATCTCATGTCACGTATTTTCGATGAGGCGCCAAGTCCTTAGGCCCTCCTTTCTACACGACGCTGACAAGTGGCGTAGCTTCCATCAATGTCTAGGAGCAACTTCGCGCCGCTGTGCCAAGATACAGGGGGACAGATTTGCAATACACGTAGTACAGCGATGAAGCTTTCGACCGGATTTTGTCCACCAGCTGGTCATATAAGCCTAGCTGTGATGTCAATAGACGACCAGAAATTACTTCGCTTTTGCTCAGTGGCATCTTCAATCACCGCTTCTTCCAATAGCCTATAACAAGTCACTTCTATTACCTATCTCTAATCGATTTTCAGACATGGTTACAGTAGCAGTTGCCGGAGGCACCGGTGGCATGGGCCGCACAATTGTTGAAGAACTTGTTCGTCAAGGCAAACACCAAGTCTTGATCCTCAGCCGAAAGGTATGACACGGAATTCTGCCGTTCGCACGGAAGAGTCTTTAACAATTATCTAGGCCAACAAAATACCAGGCTTTGAGTCCGTACAAGTAATCGAAGCAGACTACGAGGACGTAGCGTCTATCAAAGAGTCTTTCAAGAAACACAATGTCGAGGTTGTCGTATCTGCGCTGGCTCTTTACACTGAAGCAAATGCGAAAGCTCAGATGAACCTCATCCAAGCAGCAATCGATTCTGGTTCAGTAAGGCGCTTTATGCCTAGCGAGTACGGAATCAACTACTCTCACCCCGGACTCCCTGAATTTCACCCTGCAGCGAAATGGTGGCTGGATGCTGTTGATCTACTCCGCACTTCTCATCTCGACTTCACGCGTGTCATGTTCGGCTGGCTCTCAGATTATTTTGGCATGCCCTATTGCAAGAGTAACGTGAAGCCCTTTAAATATGCCTTGGACTTTGACAATCGGAAAGCGGCACTCCCGGGCGACGGCGAGGCGTCGGTTACGTTCTTACATTCGACGGATGTTGCAAAGTACATCGCTGCTTTACTGGACGAGGAGAAGAGATGGCCCGAGTTCAGCGCTTTTGCTAGCGATAAGTTGACGTGGAATGAAGTCGTGGGGATTGCGGAGAGGATTACCGGTAAGTCATCTCTGGCAATTGTATTGTGAGTAATACTGATGGTCGGAATGATAGGTGCCAAATGGGAAGTCACCTATGACCCCATTGACAAGCTAGAGCAGGGTCAAGCGACGCTATTGGAGCAACCGGAGGACTCTTACGAGCTTCCTGAAGACGTCACTCGCGCTATGGTGGCTGAGTGGGGTGTCATGGCTGTAAAAGGAGTTATGGACATCACAAGAGAGGGCTTGAGAAACGATGTCTTCCCTGACGTACATCCCATCACGGTAGAGGCGTTGATGCAAAAGGCCTGGGGAAGCAGATGATAATAGTGCTGTGGTACAATGGGAGCTGATGTTGAGTTAATTTAGAAAGGGGGACGCCTAAAGAATCAATGGTATCGCCTGGTGCATGACTCGAAACCTAAGCATCAACAAGAACTTTGACGAAGCTTGCGACGACTTGTATACGCACATCTTCGCAACTACTTTGGCGGCAACCAATGGCATACTTTTGATTACAGCTAGTTCGGATCTCTGCCGACGCTAACTTCGGCGCTTCCCGCCCGACTGTGGTCCTTGTACATAATTGTCCGCTCGCTCGTTTCAACACTATCAGGCATACGTACGCAGCCAGGCCAACTTCACATGGGTATGACCGCGTTGCACAGTATGACAGATGCCACTAGTATGATTGAATCTTTGATTCCGCGCTCCAGACCCGTCAGCCTGGTGACGAAGCTACACCATATGGGTTAGTTCTTTCCACACCTTCACGCCGAGAAAGCTCGAAAAGTGTTCGTGGGCTATGGCGAGGCTTAGGTTCATTGAGCGCCACGTCATGTATCGTGACGAAGCCTTTGTACTTGCGACGATACGTTCATTGCGATTGTCTCCAACAGGATACGACAGCATAACTAAAGGACGGAATGTATAAAGGCAGTGAGGTTCGAAGCGATACCTTGCTTTTCATCACTACCATTTGGCATCTTCCATTGATTGCATCAGATCCTCAAAATTCGCATTCGTTCTTTTGCCGTATCCAACTGATCTTTTCCTCGAATTGACATTCCAGAATGGTCAACCTCACTTCTATCCTCACCAGTGCTGCTGCAGCCACCTCCCTCATCAGCACTGTAGTCGCTCACCCTGGCGAGAAGCATGATCATGTGAAGATCAAGCGTGAGATCGACGCTCGCGGTCTGCGTGCAGCAGCAGCAAAACGTTCCTTGGCCGGATGTCAAGACACTCTCAAGCACCGTAGTTTGATGCGCCGTGCAGAGGCACGTCGCGCAAACACCTTGGATGCGCTTCGTGAGAAGCGTGGGATCACTGCAAGTACGTTCTCCAACAGTACCCTCACATACCCGTAGATGTGACTGACATCAACCCACAGAGTCCAAAAAGTACCGTCGCGATCTGGCCCTTCTCCAGGAATTCGAGACCGTCAACCACAATATGACAGGTGTGATGGATTACACGCCCAACACTTTCGCCAGTGAGATCTTCGCTGCAAACACCTCCTGCATCCTCTCCCCAGAAGTCACCGACGGCCCGTATTATGTCACTAGCGAGATGATCCGTAAGAACGTTGTCGAGAACCAAAAGGGCATCGACCTTTACCTAGAAGTCCAATACGTCGACGTAAGCACCTGTGAACCCGTCCCACAGCTTTACGTGGATGTGTGGAACTGCAACTCCACCGGCTACTACAGCGGCGTCGAGTCCGGCCAAGGCGGCCTTAACACTACTTTCCTACGCGGAGTCCAAGAGACCGATGCCGACGGTGTCGTAGCCTTCGATACCCTGTTCCCAGGTCACTACGAAGGCCGCGCGACACACACGCACCTCCTCGTCAAGACCAATGTGACTGTTCGCTCCAATGGTACCACGGGCTCTGATGGTGCCGTAACACATATTGGCCAACTCTTCTGGCCGGAAGACCTGAAGTCCGCTGTCGAAGCTACGGAGCCTTACGCCTCCAACACTCAGGCTTATACCACCAATGATGAGGATATGTGGTCTATCGTCCAGACCGATAATGACTTCGATCCCTTCCCAGAGTACGTGTATCTTGGGGACAATGTAGAAGATGGCTTGATGGCTTGGATCCAGATTGGCATAAACTCTACAGCTGATTATACCGACGATGAGTACTATGCTGTTGCCGCGGACTATCAGGCAGGTGGTGGAGTTGCGAATGAGAATGCCATGGGTGCGGGTGGTGAAGGTGGTGAGGGAGGTAACGGGACTATGCCGAGCGGAGCTATGCCTTCAGGCGCTGTTCCCTCTGGCGCTGCTCCAACGGATGCCTAGGTCCTCCTATACGATAGATCATGGCTGATGAGAATTTCCTCCTCATCGTAGAAAGCATGTGCAACAGTTAGTGCGCTACTTAAAGGTTACTTTTTGTAATCAATTCAACTCTGTCGTATCTCTCTGTTACTCGTGCTCTCTCATCGCTTGTTTCGAGTTATTTATCTCTAGCGAGGCTTTCTTGCAAACGTAGCGTTGGCTCTTACTTCCGCCGGAAGGCAAGCCCCAGACCGCCAAAAGATAGTGAGAGACCAGTGAATATAATAAGGGGACCGTAAGTCGTCCCATATCCAAAGTGCCCTACCGACGTCGTACTTCCAGCCTGAATGAGGGGCACACTGACAAGCCCACCTGCTACATACCCGATTCCCCTGGCACCATTAAGCAAGCCATATATCACTCCGCCGTCGACGGCTTCGTTCCTTTGCGCTGCATCGTGTTCTATGTCGTTCATAATTCCGCCCCAGGTTGCACTGTAGCCACTAGCGAAAAAGCCAAAAGTGATGGCAAATAACACTAATAAGGGTATACTCCCTTGCGCGGCTAAGCCCCAGAGCAAAAATGCAGACAGTGCGGAGCTGACAGCAGAAATTACGGTAACAGTTGGAGCAGAAAGGTGGAAGTATTTGTTGTCGCTCAAAAAGCCAAAGAAAGTGGAGGAGCAAATGCCAGGTATATTGATCAGAGTGATAAGGAGCGTCGAAAAGGTATGAGAAAGGTTGGATACATTGCGTGCATATTCGCTGATGTATGTTTGCGGGATACCATAACCAGCGCTTTGAAGCAGAGTTGCGATACTGTAGACCCAGAATGTCTGATGTCTGAGGAAGTGCCACGGAATCTTTCGCCCTCGAGTAGTAGCGCTTATGTTGAGGCTTGGACGAGGTGTTTGTATCATCAAGATGGAGAGAACAGCGGTTCCAACTGTAACAGCGGCCCATACGAGTAAGGTGGTTTGATAACCGTAGCGGTCGAGAAGACGTCGGAATATGAACGGACAAACTGATCCCACGATGTTTTTCGTGGACAGGCAGATGCCATAGGCTACAGCTCGGTTGCAGATACGATTTTTGGTATTGAACCTGGATGTTGGTGTATGAAGTCAGTAGACGTCTCATATATAGTTCGTGCAAAAGCGTTACTAACCATTCACCAAGGGATAGTGTGATCGGGCTGTAAACGAGTGCACATCCCAATGCTGCCAGTACTCCCTGTGTCGCGACAAGATGCCAAACATGTTTACTAAACGACGACAAGATAAAGCCGGTGCATGCTAGTAGAGCACCGAAAATTGCTGCTTTTTGGCGATTACGGGCCCAGCGTTTGGTGAACAAAGCAAACAACAAAGGCATAGATACGTACATGACGCCGTTGGATGTTGTGCCAATGATTCCAGTAATTTTGCGACTACCTTCCAGCGCCCAATTGTCAAAGTAGTATTCTTGAAGAACGCCGTAGCTCATGGCAAAGCCTATAATTGTGAGATAGTTTTACTTGAACGTAGATATTCTAGCTATCATACCCCATATTGGTAGCTGCGATAACGCGGAACCAATTAGAACGATCGCTCTCTTCCTGTCTAAATCCCGCTGCCTAGCAGCTTGCCCGGCATCGTCGATCGTGTTGCGCTCTTGCTCGCCGTGATTCAAATGCTGTGGCTCGCGAAGAGATATGCTATCAGCTCCTTCATGACTTGTCATCACTAATTGCTGGGCAGAATTCGATGAATAGATTCTTGTTATGTTTGGCCGATAGTGTGTTTCGATAGGTAATTGAGTTGGGGCGTGACGACGCCCAATATAACACAAGTGCCTTACAAGGGCAAGCGGCACGGGAATCAAATAGGTATGGTGGAGCGGATGATGGACGGCGATCGGTACTCGAAGAGCGTAGCCTATGATGTCATTCATACGCCACACCGCAAGCTGACTTGCACCTACAGTAAAGAAAACTCGAAGTTAAGGAGCAAGTTGCAGAGACAGCAGTCACTTAGAATTATGCCCCTAACTGATCAGGTATTTTCCTTCCTTATTGAGACTTTTTTGTAATGGCGTAAGTAAGCATAGGCAAGTGGTTTTGGGAAAGGTACCTAATGCTATGGAAGAATCTCCGAATTTCAATTCCCCCCCTCGCCCACTAGTCACTATCAGAATCATCCTCGTCGTCCTCACTCTCGCTATCTGAACTCGAATCGCTGTGCTTCTTCGACTTGGACTGTTTCTTCTTTTTCTTCTTCTTTGCTTTCTCCTTCTGCTCCTTCTGCTGCTTCCTCAATCCATCTTTCGATGCTTTGAAATCGAAACTTGTACCCATTGTCTCGGTCATGTACACATCGAATTCCCTAGCAGTGTTGGCAATCTTCTCAAACTCCGCTTTCCCCACGTTGATCTTCACATCTTTGTGGTCATTGTAGCCTGCTTCAGCCTTCTGGTTTCGTGCGCCAAATTCGGCCATAGCCACCGCAGTATGGAAAGCGTTTCGGATTTGACGTCCGTTCCAGCGTGCTTGCTTGTTTTCCTTCCAGTGCTTCCGAGCGAACTTTTCGATAGCTTCTGCATCGATAGTCACGTTACTACGTCCGCTGCTTTCCAGTACATGTTGCGTCTGATCAATGAAAGTCTTCCACACTTTGAGTGTGGTGTCTCTGTCGAAGTTGGGGTCTGATGTACTAGTATTAGTGCCACCTGGGCATTATGGGAGCGGGATCAACGACCACTTACAGAACAGCGAGATGTGCACTCGAGATGTAAAAGCCTCGTCAAAAGTGCCCACGCGATTAGTGGTCAGAAACAGTAGACCTTTGTAGTACTCTAGCATGCGAAGGAACACCGATACGATGCTGTTGCGCTGAAGATCTTCAAGCTTCCTCTTGGCAAGGAAAACATCCGCTTCGTCTAGCAGCATCACGCAATCCCAGCGACTGGCAAGTGTGAAGTGTTTCTTCAGGTTCTTCTCGACATCTTCGGCGGAGCTTCCTAGGTCACCGCATGTGATGGGATAAAGCGGCTTGTCCACCAGATCAGCGATGCATTCCGCAGTGCATGTTTTGCCGACTCCTGGCGCCCCTAAGGTTCGTCAGTCGTGTCCTCTAACACTTAATGAAGAATTCTGTACCATGGAGAAGTATGATAAGCCCTTGTCCTTTACCCCGGACCAGGTCCATGTCATTCTCCGTGCTTCCGTCAACAGCTTGCGATCCTCTCTTACGAAAGTGCTCTCGGACTTGGGACTCGAGGATATGTTTGTGGTCCGGCGACAAGACCAGCTTCTCGAAGCCTCTGCCCTTCTCAGTCTCTTTTAGTAATTCGAGATCCTTGACGTTCACTTGTACTGCCCACTATAAGCACAGATCTGACATTTTGAGGGCGTTGAAGACTCACCCCATTCACGCGAACGAAGTTTGTAAGCAAACACGCGATAATAGCAGATACTAAAATCAGGAAGCTCCCTTGGACCAGCGTTCTGCGTGCCCGACAGCGGATGGAAAACAGGTTTGTCCTCGACGTACTCCCGATAGGCTGCGAGATCGAACATTTGATCATGTACAATTTCAGAGCGGTGATAGCAGGAAAAACTCCCATAATCACAGTCTGCTCCTTTATAGCAATCGCTGGTCTCTGATATGTCCAGCTCTTCTGGCTCCTGGAACGTCGGCATGTCGCCAGGGTTACTACCGAGATACCCTTTCATATCCACGATAACTTTATCGTTGAGCTCCTCTCGGGTGCATAACTCGAGGCCTTTGCAGTCCACGTATGGTGCGATGAGAGACGTGACGAATTTGATGAATTTCTCGCCCCGTGTTCTCAGCATTTCAGCCGTGTCACTAGCATAATTGACTGGGACAACGTCAAGATCCATAATATTTCGCTCTCCGGAGTATGGTGCAATCACGATCCGTCTTCGTACAGGTACCAGTCTAGAACCGTTAAAGTCCAAGTAATATGCATAAATGCAAAACGGATTGATTCCGTTTATAGGTTCAATCGTGTCCTCCGGGATGAGCAGTTTCACAGGAGTTGGAAATACTGGAGCAGGAAGTTTGGGCATGATGGCTCTCCTGCCACCTGCTGTCATAAGAATTCTCATGCCCAATCGATCCTGTGTTTCTGTTTCATCCAAAGTTGTCAATGGCTTCGTAGCCACAAGATCTCCAGTTTGAAAAAGGTGCCATAGATCACAGAATCGCACCTTCGTGGTCTTACGTTCCCGGAGTTCCGTATGTCCAGGCAGCAAATAATTGTCAAGCAAGTCGTTGACACATTGGAAAGACTTTTTGACCTCGGTGAGGGTTGACCATGCGCTCATGTTTCGTCCACAACACGAGGTCTCCTGGAAAAGCTCGAGCTGTTTCAATACAGTGTCCCATTCGTCTGCCGTAATGGCGTCAGGAGCACTGGACTCATCGTTAGGTACAGCATTGCAGCTCTTCTTGGGTGGCATATCTGTCACTTCAATCGCCTCTTGAGATTGATGTGTGGTGGTTTCGTTGTCTAGTTCCCCAGGATCTTTGATCGCCCCCACATCTTTATAGGCACGTTGCTCAATAATTGTAGTGAAAGATGCGACCACGTCCAACATGATGTTGCGTAACTCTTCCTTGTTGTGAAGTAGGGGTTTGAAAGGCCGCAGCACCACGTTGTCTATGATATCATCCACGTCATTGTACGCAAGGTACTTCCGAAATAGGTGATATATGGCTGGTTCGTTTAATCGAATCCGAGTCGGGAAGTGCTTGCTCTTGACTTTAGCCATTTCTTCAATCAGCCTTCTCTCATCGCTGGAATCGGAGACTTGTGCCAATTTTGGATCGGATAACACGATCTGGTTGCCCATACTGTCATCTTCGAAAGCCTCTGACTCCGTCTTTCGTCTCCGAAACTTCCCGGTCTTCTGTGCTTTTGGCTCCCCAACAAAGACATCGATCTGATGAGTGGCGGGTTGTATTCCTGTACCTAGGCGATTCAAATCTCTCAAGAGTTGAAACTTCAGTTCGGGCTTCAGCTGCAGCCGGTCGGTTTGAGGGGGTGGGGGTGGTGCTGGAGGGACTTCATCCACGCCGTCTGTTATCCTGCGCAGCTTCTTGTCAAACGCGGTGGCTCTTTCCTCTAGAAGTGAAAGTCTCTCTTCCAAGATTCTGGTGTATTGGTAGGACTGCTTCACACGCTTTGGTGCTAGATTAATTCGTGGCTCCATGTCCTCGTATCTCCTCCTGTATTGTTCTAGGTACTCGTCGACATCAGAACCCTCACTGAGGTCTTTATCATCTGCTTCTGAGTCAAGATTTTCGAGATCTTCGGATCCATTTAACAACTTCTCTTCGTTATCCGCGCGATTCACCACAGGCTTGGCATCGGTACATCCTAGTTCTACGTCTTCCGTTCCCGTCTCAGGCAACGGTGGATCTTCAGCGGCCTTGGCAGGAGTTTCGTCGCCCTTGAAGTCAATTGTATCGTCTGGAAGTATGACAGTGGTGGGTTTTTCCAATTTGTTCTCTCCATCTGTTACGTTTTCAGCAAACCATCAAGACACTAGGGACTATGCGATATACTGGATATGCCCTGCTTGTTGCACGTAGATAGCGCCACTCCCGAATCTTCAGTGTAAGACATCGCAGCGTCGGTCTCTCGCTCAGACTCTGCGAATGCCTCTTGCCTATCAACAAAGTCAAAATCTCTTCGTGTCTCCTGATCTCCATTACATAAGAATGCACATTGCGACCGCATCGAAATCCAATATACCTTTTTGTGGACGGCCTTGCCCCCAGCTGTTTTGTGAGCTTTCTCTGAATGTAAAAGACCAAGGATCGATGGAGGCTGAACACCCGTGCAAAAATTGTGAAGGGAATCTCTTCGCCTATGTCGGGTCACTCACCTTCATACCAGCACTCGCAATGTTAACCACCTATTGATAAGATGATATTTCGAGTGGCGCTACAACCTGCATCGGTGTGCTCGAGAGATAGGAGCTGAGGTCTAGAAAACGCCTTGTAGTTGCAACTTCCAATGACATTCCCTCATTTAGTCTAATCACCAGTAGCGCCTACTTATCTAGCTCAATCCCCAACGGCTACTCCTCAAATGATCAGCTGTGTGATTCTAACTGTGGTTGCAGATGTCTTGGAAAAAGCGAGAGTGGCGTCAATCGAGCATATGCTGACACGGCTCAGATTGATGGTCAGTGCGAGACGCCTTGAGGCATTTGGGCAAAACACCGGCCTTCTTTCCCGCCCCATGGTGGTCAGCTAATCTTGATGCAAGAGGTAGCCAATTGCGAGCCGTCAGTATCAATCTCACTACCTGGCCAGATAGGGCCAGGCCAGCAGCGGTAAAGCCTCCAACGACGATAACACAGCTAGCTATATGGCCCCCAAACAAATGCTGCGTCGGTATCATGAGATGATTGCAGTCGCCGGAAAATGGTGAGTGGTGCGAGCCGCAAGGCTGTGGGTGTAGTGTCCTCCTATCTTACTGGCAATGCGCACACATGTACGTCTCAGCCTTCAAGCTTTCAGCCTCGTCCGAAAAATCCAGGTATCCGCCAGTGCCCACTTCTCGATGTTGAAACATGGTTGCCATCTTCATCCCATAATTGTATGAACAACCCATCTTGCGCTTCCGCCACCCATACGTTGTATAGTCCGATTCTGCAAGTTCCCTGCTGCTAAGGACCATGCCGCCACACCAACGAACCGATGACCGCTTTCCCCGCCCATCAACGCAGCCTATATCAGTTGACTTCATTGAAAACCGACAGACAGAGTTCCGCAATGCCCAAGGCGAGCTACCATGCGAGTTTGACGCAAGCCGTCAAAAATTTGTACCTCGTCCGATGGCCTGGGGCACAGCGCTGGAAGACTATGAACAAGAATTGAAGGAAAGCAAACTAAGAGTAGTGGCGACGAAAGAGAGCTTTGCGAACGCTCTCTCAGCCCTAAAGAAGAAGAAGTCCAAAGACAAGAAAATAGCAAGCTTCGATCCGGATTCGTGTCACGACTGGAACGAGATCACTGAGCTCATACATGTTGTGGTAAAGGAGTACCATAGGGATGATACAGCATGGGGACAGATACGCGTCGCGTTCAGATGCGTTGGGGCTAACGCGAAGTCCATACAGTCTTTTGTGGGCCTCTTACCTGATGGAGAGTACAAGACTCTCTGCGGAGGGCTGACATTAATCTTAACGGTTGGTAATTTCCAATCAATCATTACAGATATTGGGAACTGACAGCTGCGGGAGGCTATGACAGAACACTCTGAAGTCCGTGAAAGGATGGCTGATCTGCTGCGAGAAGTCCCCGAAATCGTGAATCAGTGCGAGCAGTACCAGACGCTCTATCCAGGACGTAACACCATACAACTGTGCGTGAATGACATCTACATTAATCTCCTCATAGCTCTCGAGGCGATCCTCGAGTGGTACAAACAATCTTCCTGGAGTAAGTCGGCTCTACCCGTACCACAAACTTCATGGAACTTTATAGTCAGAGTATGGATCTATACTGACATTGTAGAACACGTCAAGGATAGTTTGTTGAAGAACAATAATTATGGATATAAAATTGACCAGTGCCTTAAAAACATCCGCGAGTCTAAGAGTCGCTTCATGGAAGAGACCCAGTTGTACCAGGCTTGGTCTCAGCAAGCTATACTTTCTACTACACTCGCAAACAATACCCAATCCCGAGAGATCAACTCGAACGTTCTCGGCCTTGGTGGACGCATTGGTGAAGTCCAATCGACTCTTCAAGAGGTGAAAGCGTATGGGAGAGGGCTGAACGCGCTTAAAGACTCTCTCGATGACGCGATCAAGAATGCTGCATGTGAGCCCGCAGTCTCTCTAGACGAATCTCAATCCGTGACGCTAATCTAACAAAGGGAATGGCGATATAAAGAGATTTGCTGAAGACTGGATGCAGGAACGCTTGGATGCCGCAAATGACAGTAAGTCCAGAGTCTTCTAAGGTATGCCGGAAGCTGACTTGCGCTTAGAGCAAAGAATACTCGAACTCGAAGAGCAGGTTGCCAAGGCAACTATCACACCAGTGCAACTTATGAAGGAGCTAAAACTGAACCAGGCTAAACATACACATGTACCGGAAGTTTCTATAGTACTCAAGCATGGACTGAACAGCCCTGCGAAATTTCAGAATCGCGCTGGCTGGGTGGGCAAAACCACCGAATTTCGGAATTGGCTGGGAGGGCCAGACAAATCCCAGATGCTGTGTATCCAAGGCCACGATGAGTTCGAAAAGACGTCGCCATTGAGCTTCCTCATATCACTTCTCTACGAAAAACTGGAAACGGCGCCCCGCACGCTGGTCCTCCCTTTCTTTTGTGGACGAAGTACTGTGAGTTCCGGACCAGCGCTCATGGTAAGAGCATTGTTCGTCCAACTTCTTGCGCTGTGTGATAAGCATGGACACACTGGCGAAAGAGGGCGCCCTCTGCTCTCTTTTCTTGGGTTGGACGACATGGCAAGAATGAAGGATCTTTGCTACGAGACATACGCAGAAGCGGTCGCACAACTGCTCAGAGGGCTGCGGAAGGCTTATAGCGCGATGTTCATCCTTATCGATGCCGTTGAGTTTTACGACTTTGAGTGGGAGGATGAAATGGATGATTTTGTGAAGAACATGAGGAAGTTGGTGAGATGGTTCAACAAGTCCGAGGATGGAACGTCTGGTAGCGTTTTAAGGGTACTTGTAACGGCATCCTCATGGTCGAAGCGCTTTTCGTCTCCTCCGAGATCGCTAGTCGTGCTTGATGTGCCTGAATATATAGATGGGTCTCTAGACGGGTTCGAGAGATTTACATAGATGTACGAGTCATCCCTTCATATCTAGTTCAGTTGGTAGCCTTACGCCTGTGCTACGGTTTCATTATTTCTTTCTGTTCCTCGTTAATTGTCGCACAGCCCTGCTCCGACTCGAGTGTGATACTGACATTATTTCCGGCGACCACAATACGTGTGAGAATACACGTCGTCGTCCAATACATCAACGATAATGAGATCCCTGATAGCTTCTTTTGGAACGCTCGTTCTTTCAAGTGACACTCGGTGTGGGTGTTGTCGCATGAATTTTGGAATTAAAAGCCAAGAGCGAAGGGTACACCTTCACCCCTCTTCAATTTCCACCACTCCATAAATATGAGGCGATTTGTCTCTTTTATTCACCTCCAGACATTCGACAGTTGTCTCCCAGTCTGCTTCCAAATCGTCTTCATCAAGAGAAAGGGGGTAAGCTGCCTCATCTGGTACGGTCCTGTCTTTCTTCAATTGTATTGTGATTGTGGTCCGATCGAGTATGTTCTTGCGCTGCTTTACAGCCTGTTGCTGGAAGGCCTTATAAAAAGCTTCACCATGTGCGTTCAAATCTAACCAAATATTCAAAGTAGTCGCGTCCCATAAGAGGCTCAATCTCATTCTATCGGCAGCTTGATTGGGATCGGAATCATGGACATGGGTTGTCGGAGCGTTGTTTGATCGGAGAGGCTGTGGATGCTCGATATGTGCATCCAGGACTGTAGGGGCTGGTGAAGGCTGGTGACTTCCCATAGCTCTTACGTACGACTGCTGCCGGGCTATGAAGGGCTCTACCAAGTGATGTGGATGGTGTTGCTCCTCTCGACGGTGAACAGGACTTGCGCGGGTGGATCCGTCATAAGTCATTGCCGAACGGTGGAAGGATACTGAAGGTGGTGTTGGCGCGTGAGGGCGCAGCTCTTGCTTGTATTCTTGGAAACTTGGAGATTGTCGAGCGCGCGGCTGCGGGACAATGGTAGGCTGATATGCTGGCACAAGTATGCATCTAATCAGCCAAAGGGCATAGCTTGGTCATGGCTGCAATTTGTATACATACTTGGACTGTCTTCACCTGAATCCTCGTAACCAAGATACATGTCTATGTCGAGCACTTCCTTAGGCACCACGTAAAACATGGTGCTGTGTGTCGAGTTCGAATGGGGTCGGCGCCATGTTAGATCAATAGAACAGGAGACAGGCACCAGTTGAATTCCCCCTGATGCGTGATGTGGCACTTCGACCTGGGGCACTTCGCCCGAGCTCAAGTTGAAGGAGTCATCTAGGTTCCGCTTGCCAACGTCGTCTCGTATCAGGCTGTACTTGATCGGTGCGGACTTCATTCGGAATTTTTGGTCTACAACTTTAGTTCCAATGAGTGTAGGAAGCAGAATGTATTCTCCCGATGCACTTTCTTCCCTAGTGGAGTGCGATGTCACCGACGATGCTGTTCCAGGAGGGCTGAATGGATACGTTGTTGAAGAAAGGCTTCGCGTCGGTCTTTGGCGGGGTTTCAGTGTAATGCGAGCCATGTGAAGGTGACGAAACAAGCGGTGGACATATGATATTCAATCTGTTGGCAGGAGGACTAAGAGCCTCAGACTGCTTCGGTCTTGATTGTAAAATATATGAAGTTACTTCTTGGAGGACCTTCTCCTGTTCTACGCAGCACCTAGTAAGAATGTCCGCGGCCTGTTTTGGGCTATCGTCGACCAGCTCCGTGACTAGTTGATGTATACGATAGCGATCCATGATGCGGAGTCAAAGTGATCGTACTGCATGTGAGTGGGGCTTACTCACGTCGCACGAACGGGGTTTGGACGGCTGCGGAGGGCAGCGCTAGCCAAGGCGCATTCGAGCAATGTAGCTCATGTTGGCCGTGGCGTGAGGAGGTAAAGAGGGGGCGATCCTACAGAGCGCATAGCATGTATCACGAGCTTGACGGCAAGGCAGACGGTGATGGGGGCGCAGGCCGAAGATTTGCGCATAAACCAAGAAGCGCTTATCCATCTATCAACGTTCACGGTAGTTTTTCGCTTGGCGATACGCTTTGCCCTTCCGAGTTGACCGGAGCTACATGTCGATACAGGGCTGTAAGAACATCACTCAGCAAACCTAGGGCAGCCATATGCAGCCCGCAGCACACCGGTCGTGGCGTCTTCCTACCCCGCCCGGCTGATCAGATGCTTGTCCCAATCACGGCTTCACAGCCTCCTTTCATCGTAAGTGCTGAGTACGGTCAACTCCATAGGTAGACTCGTCCCAGTCGATGTTATCCAAAGGGATGTTTGACGCACCATCAGACATGTCGTCAATGACTACTCTTAGCAGTATCTCGAAGACAAGTCAAGTCATGGCGGTAGCCAGCCGAAACGTCTCCAGCGGCAACTCCGTTCAAATCAACGGCCCGGTGGCAGACAAAATCTATAATGTTAACATGTAAGTCGAACCCCACTGCGACTGACTGAACACACCCCTAACGTATACATATACAAGCCATAACCTAGTTATAGAATGTCACCACGGCTGGGATACAAACATTGTTCCATCTAGGAACGAATCAGCATTACCGACTATGTACACAGGAAAGACGCTGAACGTACGCAAAGTGCCGAAGACTCCATCTTTGTCGAAAGTGTCCGCGAGATTTGCTGCACAAATGCCAGTATGCAGCAACCGGCGCGACTTGGTGCAGGGTGGCGGCTGATAACAATCAGAAAAGCGCTTTGGATCGATCTGTCTTGCGAGGACAAAACTTGACTTTGAACTCCAGTACGAGTGACAGCCGTCGCGTGGTTCGCGCCATATTTCGACTCGATGTTCCGAACAACTTTATCGCACAAAGAATTGTCCACAAGCTGGGCCTTGTAGTATGCAAAGATCCCCGGTTCACGATGGAGGTCAGCTCAGCTGATATCCACCTTCTGCCCACGGATGACTACGTGGATCTTGCTTGTTACTCGCTTGAACGGAAAAGCGACTTTATCATATATCGCTTCTACGTTGTGAAGCATGATCGATTCGATCTTCTCTTCGGTGCTGGCTCAATCATATCTGGCGAAGGGAAGTAGGACGGCAACTCGATCTGCGCGCGACCAATATCTTCTTCCCATCCCGGATCCTAGTAGGATGTGGCGTCGAGCGCAAGTACTGTCAGCCTAGGACCACACCTTTCAAAAAGGTGTTTTCCCTATTGGACGCCAGTAGCAGCGTGAACTTGTGTTTTTCTAAGGTGCATTTACGGCTGCAGGTCGCTTCGCGATGGCGAATCAGTGGCTGCGATCTCGCATGCATGCTGCGAACTTGTCACCGGACCAACCGCAATCACAGTCGATTCATAGTCGACGCTGCGCCCCAAAAGACGCTTCGGGTCAGTCCAGCTGGGGATAAGTGTGGTCTCACGCCCTTCAAGCTGTCAGCGCAACCTCTGACACTTGTTCCCGCATTCAACAACATCACAATTCATACGCTTGAACCATGGTAAGTCCCCCTTCTTCTTGATGTGCAGCTAAGCTGAATTACAGCAATAGGCTGAAGTGTTGGCTGTCTTCGCTGCGATCCAAGCTACCACTCAACTCGTGGAGCAAGCCTTCCGAATTGTTGATCGGCTCCGCAAGGCGCATAGTCGCCAGAAAGCTCTTGCTGATGTCTTGAATCGACACCGTGGCGAACTAGAGAGTATCAAGGCCATCATCGGTATCATAGACGATGAGGAAGATCTGCAAATCCCGACTGTCGCTACAGAGCTAGTCCGACTGCAAGGCGTTCAAAACAAGCTGGCTGCATTGCTTGAGACCCTGGATCCGAAGATGACAAGCAAAATGAACCAGATTGCACGCCAGCTCGTGTATGGCTCCGCAGATGAGAAGAAGCTGAGTGCCATCATGGATGAGCTAGTCCAAGTGAAGACCATGCTTGTATTGCGGATCCAAGTCGCCCACGTTGGAGTGATACGCACCATAGGGAAAGAAGCCGTGGTCAATGCGGAAGCTATACAGCGAATCGATGAGTATCTGAGGGAACACGTCCATAACTGTGAGGGCCTCCGGATTGCGAGATTACTGAAAGGTCGACGTCCGTCAAGTAAGTCCTCAGCTGACAGTATCTCGCTGACGCCAACTGACTATGGTAGATGATGGCACTGTGCCGTTGACCCTTGCGGACCTTAAAGCTCTCAACAACGAAGGCAATGGCGAGGGCGAAGATAGCGGAGACGAGACGCTCGTTGATGATTCTGAGACGTCGCCACGAGATTTCCCGGTCAGGACCGAGCGCATCATCACACGCAACGTAGTGCGCAATCAGGCTCTTCAGATCAATGCTGCGCTCGAAAAGGACATGTGGAAAGACGTGAATCGTCTCAAGATCCAGGATAATTTAGCTGAGGACCAGAGTCTGCAGGTCAACTACGCCATCTCACAAGAGATACTATCCATGTTTCTCGAGCGACAGGATAAGAACATAGCAGCGCCGCAACAAAAACAAGTAAGCGCGCGCGTCAAGAGCGCGTCGTAAGGGTATAGGTCGAGCGAAAAGCTCAAACTAGGTGGCTGCACGCTCTTACCGATGATGGTACGGCGAAACTTGTTTCTGATGAGCTCTACCATAAACGCCAAAGCCTGCTCCGACAGTATACAGTAAGTTATGATCTATAGTGTGTTAATGCAAAGTACACCGTATACCTTCAGGATCTCTCCTGGGCGAAGGTGCATGTTGGAAGAAGCGAACTTCTCCGTAGAATGCAACATGTCAGTAATCAATAAATTTTTTCTCCACACGTTGCCATGTCAGAATGCAGTCAGTTGATCTCTGACTGTGGATAGTCGACGTGCGCGCGAAAGAACGTATGGAATCGTGGTGGCCAGATGGTGACGCGACTTGTGAGAGCGTGCGGCTCTGTGGCTCTGTGGCTCCTTCCTCCGGTGTATCGGTCTAACCTTAATCCGAGAAGCTTCCAGTGCCCGTCACCACCCAGGTGTAACACCAAAGCTAACGCCTACGCCATCACTATCTCGCCCACAACCCTTCGCCTGTCGTCTCTGTTGCCGCTTACTACACAACCCCAGAAGATTCAACTTCTGCCCTAATCACCCGCACCATCCCAAACACCGCCGCCGGCGCCCGCCACAGCCATGGCGCTCGATACCTTCTTCCACAACAAGATCGAGACGATGAAGCTCGAGATTATACAGGGACAGGCCAAGCTACGACGACTCGAAGCCCAGCGCAACGATTACAACTCAAGAGTACGGTTATTGCGAGAAGAGCTCGGCCTTCTGCAGCAGCCGGGATCCTATGTCGGTGAAGTAGTAAAGGTCATGGGTACCAAGAAGGTGCTCGTAAAGGTTCACCCTGAAGGCAAATACGGTACGTATTGCTCTACCCAGAGGCAGAACCACGACTAATCAAGACAGTCGTCGATGTCGCGGACAGCGTCGATATCAGCAAACTCACCGCCGGCAAGCGCGTCACCCTACTCAGCGACTCGTACAAGCTTGAGAAGCTACTTCCCTCGTCTGTCGATCCCCTCGTCTCCCTAATGATGGTCGAGAAGGTGCCCGACAGCACATACGACATGATTGGTGGTTTGGACCAGCAGATCAAGGAGATCAAGGAAGTCATCGAGTTAGGTCTACAACATCCCGAGCTTTTCGAATCCCTCGGTATCGCTCAGCCCAAGGGTGTTTTGCTATACGGTCCGCCTGGTACAGGAAAGACACTGCTAGCGCGTGCCGTCGCACATCACGCTGACTGCAAGTTCATTCGGGTGTCTGGTAGCGAGTTGGTGCAAAAGTACATTGGTGAAGGTAGTCGCATGGTCCGAGAGCTCTTCGTTATGGCACGAGAACACGCACCCAGCATCATCTTCATGGACGAAATCGACAGCATTGGGTCAAGTCGAGTGGAGGGAAGCTCAGGTGGTGATTCTGAAGTGCAGCGAACCATGTTGGAGCTGCTGAACCAGCTGGACGGTTTCGAGCCGACCAAGAACATCAAGATTATCATGGCGACCAACCGACTGGACATTTTAGACCCCGCCCTTCTACGACCCGGACGTATCGACCGAAAGATCGAGTTCCCACCGCCAACCGTCGAGGCGCGTGCCGACATTCTGCGCATTCACTCTAGAAGCATGAACTTGACGCGTGGTATCAACCTGACAAAGGTTGCGGAGAAGATGAACGGATGTTCAGGAGCTGAGTTGAAGGGTGTGTGCACCGAGGCCGGCATGTACGCGCTCAGAGAGAGGAGAGTGCACGTAACACAGGAGGACTTTGACCTGGCCACTGCAAAGGTGCTGAACAAGCACGACGACAAGGCAACCAGTTTGAGCAAGCTGTGGAAGTAGACCATGGTTTGCCGTCTTGCTATTGCACTGGCTTGCATTACGCATTGCTGGTACTTACACAGAGATTATGTACACCAGATATAGGGTCATAGACTCTTGGTATAAACAAATAATGACTACCAAATTTCAAGCTTCTCCCTCTTGGTAAACGTGGATCCCACATAGTCATCTTAGGCTTGACGGCACGTCATACTAGCGCCGCGGGACTCCGTTACCGAACTTAGGTCTCCCACTCCCACACCATCTCGCATGCACTGCAGATCTTGACCATCTGGATGTTGCTTATCGCATAGCATAACGTATCAGACCCCGGTATAGGCTTCGACAACGGCTTGTGTTTTCTTATCGCCAACGTGAAATTAGAAACAGGAATATAGTACAGCCATGGCGCCCCCCAGAATGTACCCCGCGCGTGGTCACAGTACCGCCCGCATGCATGGTATTGCGTGAGCGGGAAGGCCGATTGCGCGACAAGGAACAATGAAAGTCGTCACACTAAACATGCAGTTTCCAAACCACTGGCTCAAGCATATACCATTTCCGTTGAAGATCTCCCATTCACTAGGTTTCTTAGCGTCGCTAATGCTCACTGCACTCGCCACCAGTTCGCTTGTATTAACCTAGTCGTCTGTGTTGACTTTGATCTAGTTTGACCTGCGCTCTCACTCACTTGTTACTCTCAGGATCGGTTCCACAAAACAAATAGGAACCATGACCGCCTCAGCAAGGAAGATCGATGAACCTTACGGTACCAAGGAGCCTTCAGCACAAACTGTTGCAAGAGATGGGGAAGCGCCTGTGAGCGTCCTGGAAGATGGGTCCCTGGATCCTGTGTACGAAGCTAAGGCGAAGATACTGAACAAGGCAATTCAGGATATTGGTATGGGAAGGTATCAGTGGCAGGTAAGCGTTAATTCCAGCAGTGCTCGATTATGTTGGATCGACACACTATACATCGGAAACATCCAGTCGACACCCACAAGTTGTTTATATCTAGTGTTGTCCAATCGACTAATGACTCCTAGCTCTTCATCGTCATCGGCTTCGGATGGGCAATGGACAACCTCTGGCCCATTGTAACATCATTGATCTTCACACCCGTGGCCAACGAGTTCAGTCCTACAAGGCCACCCCTCCTCTCTTTGTCCCAAAACATTGGGCTTCTCTTCGGCGCAGTATTTTGGGGCTTCGGATGTGACATCTTCGGCAGGAGATGGGCTTTCAACCTCACCATCGGTATCACGGCTGTCTTCGGTATGATAGCGGCAAGCAGTCCGAACTTTGCTGCCATTGGCACTTTCGCTGCTTTGTGGTCTGTTGGCGTAGGCGGAAACTTGCCCGTGGACTCCGCTATCTTTCTGGAATTTCTCCCTGGATCCCACCAGTACCTGTTGACGATCCTTTCGATCCACTGGGCTCTTGCGCAGGTTTTTGCTACTCTTGTGGCATGGCCACTGCTTGGAAACCTCACCTGTCAGCAAACGGACACTAACTGTACGAGGAGACAGAACATGGGATGGCGATACTTTATGATTGTCAGTATTATTCCACATGCTCTCAGCGGTAATCGCTAACTCACTTTCAAGGTCATGGGAGGTGTTGCGCTGATGATGTTCATTGGACGCTTCGTCTTCTTCACGATCTTCGAGTCGCCCAAGTTCCTCATGGGCAAAGGCAACGACTCAGAAGCCGTCCGTATTGTTCATGAAGTTGCCCGCCGCAACGGCAAAGCTTCATCTCTAACTCTTGAGGAGCTGGAAGCTTGCAACAACTACGCGCTGCCTGGTACTGCCCAGCAAAACAGCACTGCCACCGCAGCGGTCAAGCGCAACCTTCAGAAGCTGGACAGCTCCCACGTCAGGGCTCTTTTCGCTACAAAGAAATTAGCTTTCTCAACTAGCACAATCACTTTAGTCTGGGCGTTCATCGGGCTCGGTTACCCACTTTATAACGCATACCTACCCTATATTCAAGCCACACGTGGCGTTGACTTTGGCGATGGCTCAACTTACATAACCTATCGCAACAGTCTCATCATCGCCGTCCTCGGAGTCCCAGGATGTATCCTTGGTGGTCTGCTCGTCGAGGCGCCTTATATTGGTCGCAAAGGCACCCTATCCCTATCCACAGTGCTGACCGGTGTATTCCTCCTATGCTCTACAACGGCACTAAATTCCAACAGCCTCCTTGGATGGAACTGTGCTTACAACTTCATGAGCAATATCATGTACGCAGTCTTGTACGCATACACTCCCGAAATCTTCCCAACAAAGGATCGCGGTACAGGAAATGCTATCACAGCGAGCGCGAACAGAGTCTTTGGTATCATGGCGCCTATTGTTGCCATGTTTGCGGATTTGGAAACCAGTGCGCCGGTTTACGTGAGTGGGGCATTGTTCATCGCTGCGGGATTGTTAGTGCTTATATTACCTTTTGAGAGTAGAGGGAAGGCGAGTATGTAGACGAGAGTTTCTATAAAGAGTTCGGAACGTGTAGGGTGCGTCGAATGAACTAATTCCTTCGGTTTGTATGAACCGAGAAGTGACGCGATGATTGGGTGTCATCTTGCGGTACCACGAAAGCATCCAAAAAATGAACCAGGTTTGGACAGCAAGCCAATATTTCAAGTCTTCCACTGCTCGTGTCTATCTAGAGTAGCATTCTGATGAATTGACGTGCATTTTCTGCTATAGTTAATGACCCCCAAGTTGCTCTCTAGCAACCTATGGACTGCTCGAATGGTAAGAAGCTGACTAATATGACGTATACCCCTCCAACGTGAGCATAACTTTTCAAATGCCCAGCTCACATTTCCAAACATCCAATCAACAATCAAAATGAGCCAATCAAAAGAGATGGTTGTTATACTTACGGGTGCTTCCAGAGGTACGTGTGTGCGTGTAACAAACTCAAAGCATCTATTCCCATCCTAGTCGAAGCATTACAATTCGAGTTTCCTTCTTGTCTTTTAGATCACGGAAGCAGTACAAAAACCAGCACGTTGCAACGAGTTCTCCGTATATATTAGAAGGAAGCTATTGTGACAGTTTGTGAGTCATCTCCTACTAACCCGTGCATGCAGGAATCGGTCAAGCAATCGCCCACCACCTCCTCTCCCGCAACCACAAGTTAGTCCTTGTCTCACGAACCCAGTCAGCCCTCGACGCCCTGCGCTCGCAATATAGATCCGACAAAGTTGCAGTACTTGCTGGCGACATGTCCGACGCTTCACTACCTGAAAAGGCTGTGGCTTTGGCAAATGAGAAATGGGGACGTCTTGACTCATTGATCATCAATCACGGGAGCTTGGATCCGGTGAAGAAGGTGGTCGATAGTACTGCTGAGGAGTGGAGGAAGGCATTCGATGTCAATGTTTTTAGCGCTGTGGGGTTGGTGAGTATTCCCCCTAGATTCCTCAGATTATCTCGTTCATTTTTTTTTTCCTTCGTCTTATCTCCCGAAATGGAAGATGGGAGTATACGTGGAGACAGACCACTTCCTAACTTCCATGCCCCCTCCATCTATTTCCACACTTCAACTAACCACCCGAATCCCCGCTAGATCCAAGCAGCCCTCCCTTCTCTGCGCAAAACTCAGGGCCGTATCCTCCTGACCTCGAGTGGCGCGGCAACCTCTGCATACCAAGGCTGGGGCTGCTACGGCGCCGGAAAGGCCGTCTTGAACCACCTAGCCCTCACCCTCTCAGTCGAAGAGCCTTCTGTAACAACAATTTCCATCCGACCAGGCGTTGTAGACACGGAGATGCAGCGGGAGATCCGAGAAGTTCATCACGAGCGGATGAGCGAGAATGATAGGGAGAAGTTCAGTGGACTGAAGAGTAGTGGAGGGCTTTTGAAGCCGGAGCAACCGGGTTATGTTATTGCGAGACTGGCGGTTGGAGGTGAAGAGGTCAAGGGTTTCAACGGCAAATTTTTGAGCTGGAATGATGAGAGTCTAGACAAGTTTCAAGAGGACTAAGATAAGATGAGTATTAGTCATGTCATTTCATGGTCGTTATCATAGGAAAGCATCTATCTACATGTACGCCGTGATCATGATGGCCAAAGGCCCTTTCTAGCAAGTTCTCCAAACTCAAACATACGCCCGCACACTTTCATGAGCTCAAAAGTCCCATACTCGTTTATTTCGCTGGTCGTCCAGCCAGTGTGTCGATGTCGGCAGGCTTAGCCGGAGCCTGAGGTCTGCCAGAAAGCGTGTCTACTGTCTCCTTGAGAGCCATCCAGAACTCATGCTTGGGGCGGCGGCGGTGCCACTCGGTCTCCCTCTTCTCTACAGTCTCCATCGGAGAGAACATTAACTTGCTGCCCTTGATTCCAATAACACTGATTGACATGGAGTCGTCCTCGATCTCATCTGTGTCCAGACCAGCAAAGCTCTCAAGATGTTGCATAGCCTTGATGGCGAATCTGACAGCCCTGACACGGTCCATGGGTGACGGGATTGTACCTTGCTGGAAGTGACCAGGTACACCGTGACGAGACTCGAACTTGCCCTTGCCGGCCTCCGCGATCATTTGAGCGATCATCTGGACGGAGTAGGTTTTGGACGCCTTCTCGTTGACCAAGATCACCTTACCAGACCTGCTGATACCCTTGTCCTTGGTAAAGACGTCGCGGAGGTGGTCGATATCGCGGTCGAGCATCTTGAGGTTGATGCCGTCTTCGGGAGTGTATACGGCTAATGCTCCGATACTGAGACCGGCGACAGTTGCGATGTAGCCCGACTCACCACCTTGAGTCTCGATGACGAAGACACGGCGACGCGACGCTGATGCTGATTGGCGGCAGGCATCGGAGTATTGGATAAGCGCGTTCAGGCAAGTATCCGAACCGATAGAGTACTCTGTTCCTGGGACATTGTTCGAGATGGTGGCAGGGAGGATGACCATGGGAATCTTGAACGACTTGTAGTACTCCCGTGCTTTCCTCAGTTCCGAAACAGCTGTGAATGCTTCGAAGCCACCAACAACGAACAACGCCTGAATGTTGTACTTCTTGAAGACGAACGCAACAGTCTCGAGATCCTCACTAGGGAGTCCACGGTTCGTTCCGATCTCGGATCCACCCTTAGATGCCCAGGTCTCAGCATCAATCCACTTGATGTCTCGCACCGCACCTACGGGCTCATCAGAGTGGTGGCGGATTATGCCAGGGAAACCGTTGTGGAGCGCAACTGGTGTGTGGCCACGAGCAAGGCAGTGCGCAACAGCAGCTCGGGTCGCTGCGTTCATGCCTCCGGCTGGAGCACCGACGTGGATAATACCGACACGCATGCGCTTGTTCTCTGGTAATAGAAGATCTGGCTGGTCTTGTGCTGTAGTAATCTGATACGCTTGATATTGTTGCTCGAACTCGGTATCGCGGAGCTGCATGGCCCTGTGGAAGTCCTTGTTCTCGATAGCTACAGCGACCTCCTTGGTCTGCGCGACAGCTTCAAGGAGTGGTCGTCGGACGATCTTATTCTCTTGCATGCAGATAACCGGGCTGGGGGTGTCGGGAGTGGCTTCCAACACTGCCTTGACAGCTTCAGCGCCCTGGAGTGTCGCAAGCATACGGTCGTAAGCGCATGGTGTACCTCCACGCTGAACGTGCCCAAGGGTCGTCACTCGTGTGTCAAGTCCTGCTTCATTTGCAAGAATATCCTTAACTTGTTGTGAAGTGACCTTGTTTAAGTTGCGATCGATGGCTCCCTCGGCAACAACGACGATAGTCTTTCTCTTGCCCATTTCTCTCTGCTTCTTGATCTGTTTGCACATCTGTTCCGGCCAACCTTCGCTTGGTGGGTTCTCAGGTGTAAAAACAAAGTCGGCGCCTGTTGCGACACCAGCGCTGAGTGCGAGCCAGCCACAGTGTCGGCCCATAACTTCGATGACGAAAGCACGCTGGTGGCTGACAGCAGTGGTGTCGACCGAGTCGATAGCTTCGCAGATACGGCCGAGCGAGGTGTAGCAGCCGATGGTAGCGTCGGTCATGGAAAGGTCGTTGTCAATAGAGCCAACCAGTCCGACAATGTTTAGGTGCCTGAAGGGCTCGACCTGCTCGTGTGTGAGCTGCTTCTCTTGCACCAGCTCAGTCAGCAGTTCCGGCCACTCAGCACGGAACTTGTCGGCACCTGTGAGGGAACCGTCACCACCACAGATTATCAGAGCATCGATACCCTTGATGATCATGTTCTTCGCAGCCGTCCTGCGGCCTTCTCGCTTCATGAATTCCATGCATCGTGCTGTGCCAATGAGCGTGCCGCCCTCAGATAGGAAGCCTCTGACGTCTTCCCAGTGCATCTCCTTGATCATGTCTCCGCCCTTGACCAGGCCGTCGTAACCCTCATATATAGCGAAGGCCTCGCAGTTGTTGTGAATGGCCATGCGCACTACAGCGCGTACTGCTCCGTTCATGCCGGGCGCATCTCCTCCGCTCGTCATGACTCCAATGCGCCTCTTCTTGCCCTCGAGGGGCGGTGGGATCTCGGTGGGCGCCATAATATAAAATCGGATGTTCTTGGATAGGGTATCAGGCGGGATGGAAGGTGTAGGTTAATGTTGAGCTGGTGAATGTGGAGGCTGGAGTTATTCGCAGCTGAATGCGAAGGTCCGAAAAGATATTTGGCCGTGGGTCAGTATGAGGTCAATGTGGATTCACCTGTCTAGTTTGAAAGTTAAGACGCCGAGAAGAAGCGGGTCCCTGTGTGTTGGGAAGTTTCAATGGTCGATGGTGGTTGGAGGGGTAGCTTTGCCGAGTCCTGAGTGTTCGTTTGTGAGTCTCAGAAGTAATGCGATTTAGTTGATTATTAGTTGGATCTTGCGGGGTGTTTCTGTATCAAAGGCGACAGTTGTACGTATTACTCAAACTGGAGATAAGGTGATGAGGTCGGGACCATTGGGTCGCCCATATGACGTGGGAGCTCCAAAAGAAAAGAGCTCCCCGGCCCGCCAAGTGGGGTCACACCACTCGCCGATCCTCAACGCGAGCCTGAAAGGATCGCCTACCACGGCCGCCGGCACGTTCCTAGAATCGAACGACTTCCAAGGTTCTTTGTTGCCTCAATCTGCAAGAGATGCATGCCAACAACAGTCAAGATGACGAGACATAGTCTGCGCCACGGTTACTGTACGGTTACTGTATATTGTTTGCCTTGGCTATCACCCCACGCGGCCTCTTGGGGTACAGATGATCCGGGATTACAATGATTTATTCGTGTCACTCCATGTCAAACCAAACATGTCCAGTCGCTGCGCAAATGCTCAATCGCCTTGTGCTCGCAAACTCAAGCATTTCCCAGCCCATGTCGAGACTATAATGTCAAATCCAAAGACTCCAACATATGAACATCTATCGTTACTACTCAAACTCTAGAAAGCACCGACTTCCTGACCCTCCCGCGCCAGCGTCTCGAACACCCTCGGTGGCAACTTGTACTTGATCAACCCGGCAAAGACCATGAGGTCCTTCGCCTTCTGCAGCAGCTGATCCGCAAGTACCTTGCGCATTCTGTCTTCGAACTGTCCGGACAGAAGACGCTCACGATGTCGCGAGCAGCAACCAATGCACCAGAGAAGTACGTTGCCGATATTGCGTGAGATCTCTTGTGGGTAAGAGTTGAAGCTGTTGGCGGTAGCGCGAATATCGCTGACGTTGCCTCCAGCAGATAGAGGAAGGATACGAAGGTTTTCGATTTGCTGCATGATTTGTTAGTGCATGATCGTGAAAGACAGAGATAGAAAAACTTACGCCGAGTGCTGCCATATAGTCGCCGGCCTCGATGACCTTCTTTGCGTTGTTGAGTTGGAACAGTATGCCAACTGTATCACGGTTCATTTGCGATACCCTCCTCCACCACAGACTGTTCTGATCGTACAATGCAAGAACCTTTTGGGCGAGCTCGACGGGATCATCTGTTCCAAGCATGCTCAAGCTCGACGAGGTCAGGTCAGTTCGTTGCTGCTGCTGCTGCTGCTGTTGTTGTGACTCTGCGGGCGTCAGCCGTGGCTTCAACGGCTCCAGACGAAGTGGCTCTTGACCGAGCTCTACAGAGAGTGCTTCGGCAAGTGCGCGGTTTAGGATCGTTACGACGCTGTCATACTCGCCGGCAAGGTGGCAGAGTAAGATGGCATCGTTGATGCGTCCATTGTCGTCTGCCATCCTCGCAGCTTCGCTAGTGATGGTATTCAACAAGCCCATCTCGCCGTCCAGTCTGAGCAACGGCGCACGTTCCTGGATGAGACCGGGCGTCGTCTCGCCATTTGACTTGACATCACCCAGTAATGTAGAGAACTCTCGCGTCTCAAGGACAAGTTCACGAAGCGCTTCATGGCAAAGCTCTGCCTGTTGTCGGCCTGCTTCACCTGGTAGATCCGCATTCATGCAGATCAGAACCAAGTAGTCAGCTGCAGCATCAGCTCGTGCGGCACGGAAGTCACTGGTGTAGTGGCCGATCACGCGCCCGAAGTTGAGCTGTGGTTGCTGTCGCGTAGTGAAGGTCATAATCTCTCCACCTGCAGTCGTCCAATCTGACACACGCAGCAAGCCGTAGTAGTCTAGAGCGACAGCAAAATGAACTGCAGAAACATAGTTGTGGGTGTAGAGGTAGTTGATGGCTGGCTCGAATAGACCAGCAAGCGTGGCGAGATAGAAGTAGATTCCATAGCCGCCTGCAGACTCAGCTTCGTCGTTCATGAAATGGCGCTGACCAATATCCTTGATGGTCGTTCGCAATTCTTCCAGGCCGAAGATTTCGCCGGCGTTCTCTTCGGCGCGGTTACCTTCACGGGCCAGATTAAACTGCAGCCATACCCAGTCGTCCATGTTCTCTTTGATTGGCGCCAGATTGCGTTGGCTCATGTCACATCGACCAACGATCTTGTAGCAGGCCATTCGGTAAGGGTCCTCCGGCGTCTTCAAGCGAGTTCTCTGGGCATGCGTATGGGCGACCTTCTGTTGCGTATCTGGGTTCAGCCTTCGCTCCGGATCGGTGGCATACTGAGTTATCGCTGCCTGGAAGTTTCTATCGGTGTTCTGGAAGAAGTTTCTCTTCTCTCGTACATATTCAGCAGCCTCAGTAAGGAGACCACCTCTGAGGAGGAAGAATATGATAATCCAGGGGAACTCATCGCCGGCTTCACCTATCCTCTGGAACAGCTCACTGTCGGCACCGAGCTCCTTGAATGCAGACTTCGCTCGTACGAAGCCTCGGATCTTGTTGAGCATGGAGGGAACTCCACCAACAAGCGCCTCTGCAGGGTTTCTCCGCAGAACATCTTCCACTTGTTCCAGGAACTTGCTTTCCAAGAACTTTCGAGAACCATCAAGTATACGTTTGCGCATGCGTACGCTGGCAGCAGAGTTTGGTTGTTCGTCCAGGTAGTCTTTGGCGAAACTACGCTCCTTCGGCTGGTTAGAGCTGGGGTTGGAAGCCTCCAGTTCGATCTTCTCGCCAGTAATGGATATAAGCGCTCCGTATGCGTTTGTGAAGTGGTCTGAGTACTCGGTGCCCGCAGCCTTCTCCACATCTGAGAATGCATGAAGTACTGAGAATGAGCTCTCACGTAGCCTGGACTCGTTGAGCTTCTTGACCTCGTCCATGAATTTCTCTTGCTTGTCACGAGCGTATCGATCCTGAGGAGCAGCTTGTCCGCCCATGACAGATTTGTCGGTGGAATCGCGCCCACCAAGAACACTTTGAGAGGCGCCGAGGACAGGCGGTCCAGCAGCAGATGCTCCAAAGGTCGATCTTCCATTGACAGATGCACCGCCGTTAGGGCCCATAGAACGACCCTTGCGCCCTGTTGCGCGTCCAAAAGCTCCGCGAGCTGTGCTGCCAAATGCACCGCTTTGGGATGCCGCCATGTCTTCGCTCTGTCGGCCAAGTCCGAAATGTTCGTAGATCCTCTGCCTCTGCTTGTCCCATTCGATCTGAACGTTGTCCTCGAGGAAGGTATCAAAGTCGCGTTTGGATTGCTCCAGTCCTTCTTGGATAAGTGCCAGGGTTGATTGTGAATGCAGATTCGAGATGTAGCCGTCCACGTCGTTATCAAAGAGGTTCTGTGCCTGGCCGGGTGCAGCGAGACCGGCCTGCGAGGAGAATTGGGTGAGGTCGCGGAGGGTGCTGCCCATCTTCACGCCAGAGGCAGAAAGCAGGTAGTGTCTAGAAGCAATCAGCACAAAGAAACATATCACGTTCAAGGCCAACTTACGCAGCGCGATCCTGGGAGCGGTCCTGGACCTGGTCTGCTGAGGGACCACCAGCACCCAGGTTGCGCACTTTCCGTGCGATGTCTCCCAGTCCCAACTGCAAGGACGGTAGTTCGTCGAAATTGTTCCCGCCATTTTCGCCAGCATTGCGCTTGCGCCCTCGCTCGAGCAGATGGTCGAAGTGGGCTGAGCGACCAGTGCCAGCGTTTGTCTGAGACAAAGACACGCCCTGTTGTTGTTGTTGTTGTTGTTGTTGTTGTTGTTGCTGCTGCTGCTGCTGCTGTTGTTGTTGGGGTTGCTGCTGGATTGAGGTAGCGCCAAAGAGGGAGGATTGGCCAAGGCCGCTCGTTTGTTGCGTATTGTTGGTCGTCGATTGCGATGCCGGATTGTTGAACAGTCCGCCGAAGCTGCTCGGTTGCGCTTGCGTTTGCGGCTGTGAGGTCGATCCGGCGCCAGCGAACAGTGAGGGTGTCGTGGTCGCTGTCGACTTTGCTCCACCCAAGCCACTGAAAAGTCCGCCTCCTAAGCCTCCAGTGCTTGGTGCTTGTGTCGTACCGGGTTGCGCATTCGAAGTACCTCCACCCACGTTGCCAAACAAGCTCGATGTGGTACCGCCTGATCCGCCTGTTGCTGTTCCAAACAGTCCTCCACCGGATGCGCCAGTAGAGGCGGGCTGAGAGCCTCCAAGATTGCCGAAAAGCGACATGGTGGTTGTACTGGGCGGTGTTGTTGATGGTGCCGAAAACAAACCTGGAGAAACGAGATCGCGTTGTTCAAGCTTGAGAGCTCGGACCGCTGTAATCCCTGTCTTTCAGGTACGCGTCGACGTGAAAGAACTGGTACAATTTGATATTCGCCCAGGCAGTTCCCCAATGTGACTGGGTCGAAACTCGTTTCTCGTTGTTTGCAAACTTGGATCTCAAAAGCATAAAGATGGAGTTTATCGTTTGACGAGAGGGTGGCACAACCGGCGAATCTAACTATTCAACAATGAGCCCAACGGGAATGGGTGCATGGCCGAATGATATTAAAACTTGTGTGCTAGATGATAGCGACACGACAAACGACAACAATGATGCTCAGACTTCGTCATGCGGTGTAAACCAGATCCCTTCTCACGATCTACTAGCAAACGACTCACGGAATGTAGTCTTCAAAAGCGAACATTTATCGCAGTAACCTCAAGACACTTCCTTCACATTCAGGCGTGATACTAATTCAGAGATATGGCCGAACCTCTACCTTACCAACCAATATTCGTTCCCACTACAGAGCCGTGGAGACATCCACCAGCCCAATACATTCGCGGACATGCCCTTCTACCCAATGGATGGTATCAAGACAATCGAAAATTGCGACATCCAAAAACGTTTAAAGCTTTCGTCTGGCCGAAAGACGGTAGGAATGGTTCCAAGTTGGGCCGAATGAAAGACATTCTCAAAGGCGAAGGCCCCGACATCTTCGTCGGCTGTGCGGCTGATGCAAGAGATTTTATGGCCAAGCGTCCATCGCGATCCCAGTGGTCCAAGCATGTCCATCTGGACGAAGGCCCCTTCAAGCTCGCCTTCAATCCTACCAAGTTCGCGCCTTGGACAGAGGGAGGTATACTGTCAGATGGGCGTTCACGCGATATGGCCTACGACTTCCGCACGAGAAAGCACGTGAAGTGGCATGCCGGTATGTGGTCGGACGCGGTTTGGCAGCCAGATCCATACACGAACAGAAAATGGAACATCTTCCCCGAAGCTCTACGAACGGCGCATGGTGGCTGGTGGCAGGACAATCAACACCGACCACATGTTCTGGGCGGTCCATTTGACAATGAGTTCGGCGCTGGTGTCTCCTTAACCTAGCCTTGTGGAGAAGCCTTTTCACATGCAGCCTTCGTGGAACGCTTCCCATATAGTTTGAAAAGATTCAGTCGTATCAACGACCTGTTTACTTCGTCTTGCAGCAGGCGTCAGTGCCGAGTTATCGAGGAGTTTTCCGCATCTGGCACACGATGTTCCTTTCACAGTCCTGTACGCAGCAATCATATCCTGTTGAAATTAGCACACAGTCCAACCATTCCTATAACACGAGAAGTCATGTACGTACCAACAGATACCTCAAATCATCAGCATTTGGCCGTGATGCCATACATCTTGTAATGGCCAGAAAGGGCTCCGTTGTCCCCAAGCACTCGACGTTGAGTTTGTGCTGTCCGTTTGCTTCGCGCTCGATGCCAATGCGGAATTTCAGCATGAGAGAACCGGATACGAACCGCGTCTGTCATGTTTGTGAGCAAAGCAATTCTCCAGACGATGCGATTGCCATACAGATATGCTCCGATTATCATCGTGTGCCTCCACTTTTAGATTTGGGTGCGCCTTGCAAAACTCTACCACGATTCGAGATATATCCTCATCGGTGAGGGTGGCACCGACAGCCTCTGAACTCTCACCACCTTTGCTCTCTGACGACTCCTTCGCTTTCCGCGCTCTTTCTACCCATCCATGAGACGGTATTGAGACGCTCTCCGACAAATCCGCATTTGCGCCGAAGCTTTCCTTGACGTGTTCCAACGTGCTCTGCATTTCGGAGTCCTTCCATTGCTTTGTAAGCCCATCTAGGTTGTTCTGAGAACCCTTCACACCCTCGACATATAGTTTAAAAGTCGTGGAACTTGGAGGGCGGTGGAAAGGCTCGATGATGCGTGGGATAGCTAAGCGCATGTCGTTGATCTGTGGCACATCAGTATAAACCCAGGGAAGGCGTCACATAACCCTCACCTGCGCCTGAAGCTGCTCCAGCTGTGCGAGTGCTGCTGTGCATTGCGCTTCGTCCCAGCCGGCGCCGGGTTGCGCTGCGGCTTCAGGAGCACCCATAAGATGATGTCAATGAAAACAAACAAACAAAAAACTACAAGCGATAATGCGAAGACGATCCAAGAACAAGAGCTGTATAGTAATATGATGTGGTAATGTGAATGTTCGAGGCCTGCTGTGAGTGAAGTTGGAAGAGCGACCCATAGACGCTTGACGATCGGAGGGTCCACCCAGCGCTCCTTCCCCACTCGCCGAACGCGCTTTCGCGTGATCACGGTCTGAACAAAGCCCACCATACCTGAGCACTTCACAGTGCAAGATGGTGAATCATAGCACATGCAAACGTGGTCATGAACTCTAGGCAGATTGATTAAATCTCTTATCAAGGAAAGGCTGTATGTTGCGAAGATATATAACATTTGACTATGCTTGAATAAATCCGTTGCGCCTAAGGTTGATATACAATACAATCACAGGCTCCTCTACAACTTAGCCTTCTCCTTGACGACGCTCTCTTGAGGGCCGATGAGCGGGTCATACACATTCATTCCCAGAGTGTCGTGGGGTACAGTAGCAGTGTGCATGCTGAGTCCTCGTGTGTCAAGCATAGAAGGGTTCAGGTCTGCAATGCTTGAGGCACCAATCAGGCGCATGTTCATCTCCATCTCATCCTTCAACAGCTGCATAGCCCGGTCGACACCTGGGAGACCGTATGCAGACATGGCGTAAAGGAACGGCCTGCCAATACCTACACCTTTGGCGCCCAGTGCGACGGCCTTGATGATATCTGTAGCACGTCTGACACCGCCATCGATGTAAACTTCGATGCGGTCTTGCCAGCCGCGCGCGCGAAGAACAGGCATAACCTCTGCGAGCACTTCGACACCTGAGCGAGCGAAATCGAGCTGACGACCACCATGGTTCGAAAGAACAACACCTTCGACGCCAACTTCAACGGCACGAATGACATCCTCAACACACTGCACACCCTTGAGAATAATGGGCATCTTGGTGATGCTCCTGAACCACGGGATATCTTTCCAGCTAAGGCTCGGGTCAATGAAGGACGAGATGGCTCGTGCGGCGCCTTGACTACGGTCAACATTGTCTCCACCGGTGCTCTGGACGTTGCTGCCGACATCGTCGAACTTGCTCCGCATGTCTTTCTCGCGACGACCGAGCTGTGGTGCATCAACGGTAATGAAGAGACCCTTGCAGCCGCGTTTCTCGGCGTGCTGCACGATTCGCTTTGTGACCTCACGATCCTTGTTGACGTACAGCTGCAGCCATTGGACCTGACCGTCTTTTGCCTCATCCATGATCTCGTCGAATGAGCAGGATGCCAGTGTTGGTATCATTTGGATAACATTGTGCTTGTGTGCGCCGCGCGTGAGCACGACCTCGCCCTCTGGATTGCCGAGCTTGCCTAACGCTGTCGCGGTGACATAGAAGGGTATATCGCATTTGCTGCCGAGCATCGTGGTGGACATGTCAACTTTCTCGACGTCGATGAGTACGCGTGGCCGAAACCAGATCTTGTGGAATGCGCTGTGGTTTTCTCGTAACGTCTAGCAAAAGTCAGCTCAAGTTAGGGGCGGTGATTCTAGGAGTAGACGCACAATCTCATCGTCTGCACCACTGGAGTAGTATGCCCATGCCGTCTTCTTCATGACCTTGCGCGCGACCGCTTCAAAGTCCATCAAGTTGTAGCATTGCTCCAGGATGGGCATGCGCTCAATGCGCTTCTGCCTCTCTTCCTCATCGGGATCGATCTCCTTGGCCTCTTCCTTGACTGTGTTCATGTCCACCTCACCCAGGTGCTTGGATTTGTCGAGGTACTTGTCGAGGGTGTCGGGCGGGTGGATGGGCTCGAATGCCTCAGTACTGTCCTTGCCAGCATACTTGAGGATAATCTTTTGACCTCCGGGATGTTCAGGCAGAAATTCGGTAACATCGTAGGCGCGGCCGTGGACAATGACCCAGCATGATTCGGCGTTGTTGTGCTCAGCGACCTGCTCACCGGTGAGCTTCACCTTTTGGGTATCGTTGCTGTCGTGGTTCATCGTCGCGGTGTTGTACTGGGCGCAGAATGTTGAAGGGTCGGTAATCAAGTCGCGAAGATAGGCCAGGAAATATATGGAGCCGATCTAGGTTATTTCCAGGCACTAAGAGCTTGGGCGGGCGGAAGGGCCAGGTTGGTGACGGCAGCGAGTTTGGGGTGATAGCTCGGTACATTCATCCCCGCGGGCATCGGATGCTGGTCGCGGAGCGGCATTTGAGAGCTAGCACCACAGAGCTCGGGGCGAGCTGGATATCGGACCTGTCGCATTCGGTATCCCGCATCGATGCTCGATAGTCGACATTTTCCTAGAGATATATCGTCGACCCCAAGGAACGTTAGGGTTTGCTTCAGGGCAGGTAACGAAGTTTTCGTCGCTACCTATCAGTCGCGTGGAAGACTCCGCGCTGCTCCGAAACGCGGGGAAGGGACGACACCTGTCTGGGCATGACGTGCATTGTTGACCTACCCAACACACATCAACATGGCGCGTCGAACCCTGGATGGCAATCAGCCTCGAGGAATGCCATCACGATGGGCGTCCACCTTTCCATCTTCGATGCGTACCTCCCGCATCTGATTCACATTGGCTTAAGGCGTCTGTCACATGGCCTCCCTTAGCCAAGAGAATCGGTGCAAGCGCCAAACACGCTGGACTGTCATTCGGTCACTCATCTCCTGCCTAATATTCTCAGACACGCTCTACGTCAATCCTCTGCGTCTTCCCACAGTTGCCGGCGACACGTCTTGACTGCACGCCATGCAACTTGTCCTACGTCCGCCTACCACGCATTCCCTTTCTTCCTGGCCCCGAGGCACCGCGCATACCTGAGCCGACCCCACAACATCCGTCTCCCGCCCCACCCCTGCACCGCCGACCATCGACGTATACAGACACCCTTGACGTGTGACGGAAATTCGCCGCCATGTCCAACAGCCTGGAAGCAAAGATCGTGGTCCTCGGCAGCCAAGGCGTTGGCAAGACTTCACTCGTCCACCGATATGTGAAGAACGCCTTTACACCTCCTACAACACAGTCGACCGTCGGCGCATCCTTCTTGACCAAGAGGGTTGTGGACATCGACACTTCTACCGTGGTTCGGTTACAGATATGGGATACAGCAGGTCAAGAACGCTTCCGGTCTATTTCGAAGCTATACTACAGAGGTATGCCAATATCTTCCTCACTTCTGATACATCCTCGTAGTCTACTATGTTGGTTCTTGCAGTATCCAACTCTTCTGTAGGTGCAAACGCTGCTGTACTATGTTACGACATCACCGATCCGTATTCGTTCGACGAGATGGGCCGCTGGTTCAAGGAACTCAAAACGAACCTCGGAGAAGACGTGATTCTCCATGTTGTGGGAACAAAGTCAGATGTCGTAGCCGAAGACCCTACCAAGCGAAAAGTACCCTTTGAGCGCTGCATCGAATACGTCGCCGAGAATCTCTACCCTACGCAGAACGGACAGTCACACAGTACTCAGACGAGCGGCTGGGGCTCTGTGCCGGCCGCTTTCCACACCGGTGGCATGGCATCACCACAGAGTAATCGATCGAGCGGCTTCTGGGGACAAGACTTGGGCTGGGATTGTTGTCATGAGATCAGCGCCAAAGATGGTGAAGGTGTAGACGAAGTCTTCCGTGTCATCACCCGCAAGTTGGTCGAACAGCAACAGAAGAAGCTCGAAGAGGAACAGCGCCAGTATGCTATGGCTGGAGTTACACCGGCCATGGACAACAACGGTAATGTGGCTGGATACTTCGATTACCCCGGTGCTGGCAATGGCAGCTTCCGCTTAGGTACAGGCGACAAGAGGCGGAGTTGGCTAGGTTTTCCCACCACACCCGGCATCCCTGTACACCAGCAAGATTGGGAAGAAGACATCAACCGGGTGCAGAAGAGTAAGAGTGGGAGATGTTGTTAACATCAGCTCTGGACTTGGTCGCCCGTTTGTGTCTCCAATCCTCACGCTCTCCCCAGTTGGCGAGCATTACGACCAGATTTGTCTCAGGATACCCACTCAAATTTCCTTTTGTCTCTTCCTCATGACTTTGTCTCACGGCTATGTATGCTGTCGTACCCTCGTTACTTTCCAGAGACTTAATCGGCTGTTTCCTATTTGTCTTCTGTGGCGAAGCGTTCGAGCAGAGTTTTCTGACTTGCATTTATAGCGATTGAGCATGTTACATCTTTCCTTTCCTGATGTTTTGTCTGACGAATCGTCAGGCAGAAGATATGCGAGCTAGATCCAACCTTCAGCTTTGCATGTAGAACGCAATAGTAACACTGTATGCTTCAGTGGAATCAAGAGAAGCGTGGATATCGAGTGATAATGCAGCCGCGGTAGGTGAGTAAGATAGCTTACCCGATAGGTGGTTAGCCACACTTTCAGGCGACGTCTCCTCGCAGACATGGACACTCCAAGTGAGTAGTCATGAACAGTGTTCCACATGGGTATTTTACTCGAAGTGGTTGGTCACATAATTATTGGTTTGTTAATACGATGATTGTTAGGACACCGGAAGAGGTCATGATGTCGCAATGTTCAGCGAACGTGTAGGTTGTACTGTTTGTGCAATGCTCGAGCAAGGATTCGTATGCAACCAGTAAACATGTTACATTGTTTTGTTGATCTAGCCCTGGTCAATGATATTCTAATATACGTACAGACGGATCGGGCAACCGGTTGGCCACTTCCCAGTGAGCGCGGCATGCTGCCCACATAGATTCAAAGCAAGCTGGTGTAATACGACGATGTTCTGATGAAAACATGTAAGCTCGCCGGAATCCAGCGACCGAGCGAACGCAAACGAGTTCACCTTATCAGATGGGCTTGGCCCCTTTGACAAGTTGCCCGACCGACTCGTCACTGTGGGTGTCACAGTAAGTATACGTATGGAATATAAGACCAGTCGATTGCATTAAGTACTTTGCCAACCCGCGTCTGGAGGGCAAAATATCATGGATACGCTTACGCTACTACCACATCGCTCGAATCTAATGGCTTGCCATCCTGGCGATCATAACTGTCATCTTCCCCCTACTCTCTTCACTCATATCCATCATGTACCGGGTAACTTGGGATCAAGGGCGTTCAAGTACGCTCCTCAATATAGGGCTCTTGATCGTCTCTTCCCTGTTGTTCTCGCTGCCTATGAGTCTCCCGACAAATGCGAAGCAAGTCAAACTCTTTGCAGTGGCTGAGGCATATTGCGCTGTTCTGATAGTATTCATTGAAAACTTCAGTAGCAATGCGACACCGGCGAGCACGTAGGCACTGGTGCATAATGAATCGGCATTCTCATGTCAATGAACCTCCATAACGCCATACCAATGCTCCGATATATCCAATGTGCACAACTTAGACAAGTGTACCGTCTGGCTCGCCCGGCAACCGCTTGACACGCCTCTGCTCCCAGTCCTCAAGATCTTTGGCCTGCAGTCTCTGTGTAGTTGTCAGCCCAGGCCCCTCCAATCACTATATTGCCTATTATACGCACGTAGTACTCGTCCTTCATATTCACCTTCCTCCGCTCTCCTCTCAGGCCCATGGCCTGCTCATGTGTTATTTGCTGGTTCTTGCGATCGTACCGCTCGTATCGCAGCGCCGTGGCAGGCGTCAACATGAAAGACCCCAGAACTATCGTAGAGAGGAATGGCAGGCCGAAGAGTAGGAAGGGATGCTTTTGAAGCGACTTTCGGTATCGAGCGGCGAGCGAGTTGGGGAGTGTGGCGCTGAAAGATTTCGATGTGAATGGGCCGGGCATGGCTGCGGTTTAGAGGGTGCTAGATCTAGCGGGGATGCAAAGTAGGCTTCAGTATGCGTACGGTCCGTGCTCGATGTATACACCGTCCGAGGTTGCGATCACAGGGCTTTTCAATGTTGGGCAAGGGTGGTTCGATGCTTCCATGTCGGATTGCGGAGTAACGCTCCTTCCCGAGATGGAGCTTAGCGGGGTCTCGTGACTACGCGACTTCGCGTACATGTAAGTCTATGCACTTTCTCAGTGGACCCTACACAATCGTCATACATCTGCCTACATCGCGCGTTTTGCGACGACAGCCGGATTCTCGTATCAATAGCGCAAAACAACACTCGTTGAAGGCCCGCGACTACCGCACAGCAAATTGCAGAGAGGGCCCCCACCTGCGTCCAATCAGACGCCACTCCGTTGTCAATACCATCTTGAATCAGTCAAGACTTATACAAACATTCGCTTGAACCCAGAAACTTAGCATCATCGCCAACATCCAGGTGTCCGGCCGTCTTTCAGGAGTACGCTCTTTCCTGCTTTACTCGATATGCCACGCCAGTAACGTGCATCATGGCCCGCAAAGGCGGGAGCTCGACTCAGCGGATGGCACCGCCACCAGTGACTAACGGCAATTCAAACGGCGTTCCGCCCCCTTCTACCATCGCGGCTCAAATTGTGCATAACGCTTCAAATGTCAATGCGCGGCATGGCGAAGTAGCCAAAGTCAGCTTTGGTGAACTAGTAAAAGAGTTTCTCCAGCATCCAAACACCGACGAGCCTGATCAACAACTCGTAGCGCTCATATGCGTCATCGCGGAAGCGGGTCTCGAGGGACTATTCAAAGACGATCCGTTTGCCCAGGACCAGCAGAGGCAGCAGGGCATCGACAGTATTGCCGCGCTCACCTTCATCTTGCAACAAAAGCCACATCTACTGCTGAGCATCCGGGACGGCCAAGATGACAGTATTCCTCGGCCCCCGCTCATTCTCTGGTTGTTCCCTAAGTTGCTGGGCCTCTTGACCCATGCAACACTCAATCCTGTGCACGAACACGTACAGCAACTGCTCCATCTGTGCCTAAGCGTGCTTGCTCGAACATCTGCTCTCTGGCGCCCAGCTACAGCAGTCTCACAACTCTACAGGTCGTGTGTGCAATGTGAGTATTAAGCCAAAATTCATCCTGCATCTGCTTACCCCTTTCAGCTATCTTGACAGAGCTGCAATCTGTGGACGATCCGGCTTCCGCACCTGCGCCGTCTTTCAGTGTTGCCCTGCCATCATCAACCAGCATCGGCGAGTTCTGGCCTGAAAGCCAGCAAATCATTGCCCTACCCCATGATCTGCAACGAACAATCACTTCGCAACTAGGAGCCATCCATATTGGCTTTTGTCTGCTCCTTTCGTTGGCCAATGTCATCCAACCTCAAGGTAGCGTGTCTGTAACGCCTGGTGCCCTAGATCATCATCTACCATGGATCATGGACAGTGCTCAAGCTTTGTGGAAACATTTCAGGCGTTGGACAACAAGTTCGGAGAAGCGCCTTTTCGTCGATGAGATTACGCGTGTATATCTGCAGCTACTAGAAATCCTGTTTCTTCCTGCACTTTCGCCTGAATATCGCTCCTTGGCTTCATTGAAGAATGCACAGGGATTGATTGTCAGCCTCAGCGAGCTTCTTGATGGCCTGTCATCATCGCCAGCATCAGAAATCAGTCAAGTGCGACTGGCTATCCTTTTCACCCACTTACGCAGTATACTTATCTCGTCCCCTACAGATGTCTCGACTACCCAGCGCCGGCAGGACGCGAGCAGATCAATCGTTCTACACGATGTTGAGGAGGTTGTAGCCAGAGCCTGTCAGGACGTGGAGCAATTTTCTAAATTCCATAAAGACTTACAGGTATGAACAGGACACTGTAATGTCCGTCCACGCTAATAGATGCTAGCTTGCCCTCTGTCTCTGGACCTTACCAGGTACATGGCCTATGCATGTTGCAGACATACGTAAAGAGCTCTGCGAGAGTGACACTGGCAGCTTTTCGAACGCTCAACTTACCGACGAATCGACGCAAATCCTAAAGGTATTCCGCGAATTGAACTTAGGGAGCGAAGAAAGGCCTACCAAGCGGCGTAAGACATTACCGGACACTTCGGACATCAACCGTACCACCTATGAGCGGCTCATGATGGTATTGAATGACAGTACCTACGACTCCCCTATCCTCAACTTGTCTAATCTTCATAATATCATGGAGTGAGTTGTTTCAATTGATTTTGATATACCTTACTGACTTTAACAGAGCAAGGTACTCTTCCATGATGGACGATGAACGACAGAACGAGCGTGTACAAGTGCATATTATGACCGCGTTCGCAAAGATTGCATGTGCTGGATCTCGGTGTCTGGAACCATCACAATCCGCCTCACAGCCACTACAATCACTTGCTTGTATATTATGCGATACCAGCTCTCGGCATGAACGAGGCGCCACAACGTTTTGGAATGAACAGGATGATACAGGGAGCTGGAAGGACGCCATTGCTGCCATGCTTGCCGTCACGAAAGAGCCAGCATTCGAAGAGTCATCGCAATCTCGGGTGCTTATGGCTGTGGCCATTGGCCGTGTCTATAATCATATCTCTGACCCTGAGTATCTATCTCTCGAGGTGTGTGAGCTAGGGCAATGGTTACTTGCGTCTATGAGTAGATCCCTACGGGAGCTGAAGCTTGCGGCGACAGGTTCCTTGATGGTTTTTCTACGAGATGACATATCCAAGAACGTTCGCGGGAAAAATCGGCGGTCATTCATAGAGTTTCTGGATGCTCTGGCGAAACGTAACGTTCTGTCCGACCAGGAAACGTTGATCCTTGCGTATGGTCGAACCGCAATGACGTGCGGCGAACTAGAGCTACCCATAATATTACATCACCTCATCGAATACCTAGGCCATCCTAACGCACTGGTGTGCGGTATGGCTTACCGCGAACTTGAGTCGATCGCTAAAGGGTATTCTATGGATACAATGCAGCTCTTGAGCCCTTACTGGAAGGTCATTGGCTTCTCAGTCATAAAAGACGTCATTAACCAGCCTCAGAAGGCGCAGCAGCTGGCAGATCTGACCGAGCAAAGCGTCCGTCAACTATTGGTGCAAACCCAAGCGGATACTCTTCCTCATCTCGTATTGAGCAAACGAAGAGACGTCATCGAGAAGATCGCTCAGGCACGGAAAGCTTCTATCATCGACGTCTTGACGCATCCAAGAGCCAATCTCGCGAAGATACTCGCCTTGCTCTTATCACAGCCCGTCGCTGAAGTCGAACGAACAGCAATGGAGACTCTCGCGGCTGTTGAGCCTACTATACGTGATGGCAGTAACAACCGGCTTGATTCCTGGGTTGCACTGGACATAACCGGCATTGCCATCGAGATACTGAAACTAGCGGCCGACCAAGAAGGTGTCAGGAAAAAACCCTATTACAAGGGATTCAGCACCCTTGCGTCTCTCGCACCGGATACGAAATCAGGTCAGCGCAAATCTTCGTCAAAGACCAAGAATCTGGATGCATTCTGCGAGACACATATTCTAGGCATTATAGCATATTTCTCGAACGTCATCGAGGCCCCTAGCGCCCACGGAAAGGCCGTTCCCCATACAACGCCCGAAAGGAAGAGGTGCATAGCTGCTATAGGTGATCTGATCAACCTCGCACGATTTAGCGTAAATGGGGCGTTGCCCCAGATCCGAGCCTGTCTCCAATCGGCCATGGGAGATCCAGACCTATGTGACGATACATTCACAGTCTGGTCTGCTTTCTTGGCAGCTCTCGACGGAGACGAAACAATGCTAGTCGTTGATCAAACATTCGCACTGATTGTACAACACTGGTCGATTTTCTCCGAAGATACGCAGCTCAAAGCTCAAAAAGCCATTGAGAGCATGATACAGCAGGACAATGCACAACTTCGAGCTAGGGTTGAGTATCTTCCTTCTCTAGCGGGCATATCAATGCTCTCCAAAATTGAAGGAGAACTAGTAAAGTTCAAAGATATGGTCGAGACTATCAAGGTCTTTCATGCCTTCAGCAATCGATGCAAAGACCAGAACTCAGTAGTAGTGCGGCAGGCACTGAGAGAGCTTGTGCCGTTTCTAGATGATAATCAGCAGGAGTTGCACCAGTCTGTAGTCGGCCAGAAACCTCTCCCGGTGTTGGCGGCATTGACGCGGTCTCTCCTTGATGCTAGCGTACGATTTTCTGAAGACCATTCTGATATCACCATTCTTTGTGCTCAATGCCTCGGCATCATCGGCGGTCTTGATCCATATCGAGTGGAAACGGTTCGTGAAAAGAAGCGTGTCTTAATGCTATCCAATTTCTCACGCAGAGACGAGGATATCGATTTCGTGGCATTGCTCCTTGAGCAAGTTCTGGTCAAGGTCTTCTTGTCTACCACAAATGCTAAAGCACAGGGCTGGATCGCCTATGCCATGCAGGAGATGCTCAAGCATTGCGGATTCAGTGCTCTCCGCGGAGCGAAGCCTCGGTCTTCGCAGACTAGTACAGAGGCACTACGTTGGAACGATATTCCAGAGGCTGTCAGAACTGTGTTAACGCCCTTCCTGGATTCCAAATACTCTGTCAACATGAACCCATCAATACAGTACGAGGGTCCGACATATCCGATTTTCAACTCGAAGCTCAGCCATGGAACCTGGCTCCAGACTTTTGTTTACGACCTGTTGCGAAAAGGGCAGGGTGTCAATGTTGAGATGGTCTTCCCCGTTCTAGCTAGAATCATCAGAGGCTACGATCTTTCAATAGCTACCTTCATACTTCCGTTCGCAGCCTTGAACGTTATCGTATCGGACAACGATGAGAACATGGCCAATGTTGGCCGAGAGCTCTTGCAGGTGCTGCAGGCCGACCTGCGTACGGCGGAGCAACATGAAGCTTCCATCATCAAGCAGTGCAGCGAGGCAAGGCTCTACAACTACTACCTTAGACTTGATTTGCTGACCTGTCGCAGAACGTATTCCAAACGCTCGACTACCTGTCATTATGGTTACAAGAAAAGAAGAAGTCCCTGACTGAAGCAAGAACAATGGCAGGCAAAACGGGACGCGGTGTGTCCGAGGACGATGAGATGAACTCCATCAAGCAGGTCAGTCGCGTTGAAGGAATACTCCAGCTCATTCCTGCGGAGATTATATCTCGACGAGCTGTCGAATGCGGTTCGTACGCTCGGGCTTTATTCCACTGGGAACAGTACTTTCGTCAGCAGCGAGACAAGAAGCTGGCGTCGAAGCAGCCTTTCTCCGAGAAGGACGATTTATTGCAACATCTGCAGATGATCTACGCGCATATCGACGAGCCGGACAGTATCGAAGGAATATCGGCCCATCTCAAGGTCCTCAATCCTGAGCAGCAGATTATCGAAGATCGTAAAGCTGGACGGTGGACAGCGGCTCAGAGTTGGTATGAAATTGCTCTCTCCGAAAAACCAAACGATGTCGAGACTCAGATCAATCTTCTCACTTGCCTGAAGGAGTCCGGTCAATATGGTGAGTCCGAACAAGTAAACCACATGAAGAATAGCTAACGCATACTCAAGATTCGATTCTTAATTACGTGGATGGCTTCCATGCGACTAACCCGCTTTCGAGTAGCACATTGCCTTTTGCAGCTGAAGCAGCCTGGTCTGCTGGTAAATGGGAACAACTCGATCGACTGCTTGGTGCAGTCAGTGTCGCAGACCCCAATCTTTTTGTGGATTTCAACGTTGGAGTAGGTCGAGCGCTGTTGGCACTTCGCCATAAGAACCGCGTCGAGTTTCAGAGCGTCATCGCAAAACTGCGAGAATTTCTGGCAAAGAGCATGTCTCCATCTACCACAGCTTCTGTACAGGCATCGCATGAATATCTTGTAAAACTGCATGCACTATACGAGGTTGAAGCTGTAAGTGGTATGGGCAATGGGGTCGCGACAGACCGTGAAACCATCCTTGAGAACCTGGACCGACGGTTGGACGTCATCGGAGCGTACACATCGGACAAGCAATATCTTCTGGGACTACGCCGCGCCGCCATGACATTGTCTCGGTGAGTAACCTGATTTTACGTATGTTGAGTATACTGACAGAAAATAGCATCGAATTCACGAATCTCGACATCGCTTCGGCATGGCTTACGACAGGACGACTGGCTCGTAAGGGAGGCTTCATGACAACGGCTTTCAATTCAGTGCTTCACGCTGAGCGACTCGGAGATAACGCGTCTAAGATTGAGTATTCAAAGCTGCTTTGGAAAGAAGGCCACCATCGCAAGGCCATACAAAACCTACGTGGCGCAATCGACAGTAATGCGTTTCAGCAAGAGGACACAGTACCCATCAACGTCTCCGTGACTACAGTCGGTCGAGGCGAGGAGCACTCAATGAACAAGGTTAAGTGCCATGCTCAACTATTGCTCGCTAAATGGCTAGATCGCGCGGGTCAGACACAGTCGATGTCTTTGAAAGAGGAGTATGTAACAGGTGTGCAAACGTATCCCCGATGGGACAAAGGTCACTACTACCTGGGTCGATGGTATCTGAAGCTTCTCGAGTCGGAGAAGCGACAGCCGATAACAAAACAGAGCTCTGAATACCTCGCAGGCAGCTTGATCAAGCTGGTCATTGAGAACTTTGTCCGCTCTACGGTATACGGGACGAAGTACTACTACCAGACTCTGCCCAAGATACTTACGCTGTGGTTGGACATGGGTATGGAAGTTATGAACAATGTACCCAGATCCGCCAAAGATAAGGAGTTTCATGAGCATCGGCTCAATTACCTTGACCACATCAACAAGTACGTCAAGCGCTACGCCGGAGAGCGGATGCCTGCATTCGCTTGGTATACTGCTTTTCCACAGATCATTACACGCATCAGCCATCCAAACAAGAGCGTTTGGGATGCTCTCCAGACGATCATCATTCGAGTCGCTTCATCGTACCCACAGCAGGCGCTCTGGGCTTTACTCGCTGTCCTTCACTCTACGCAGGATGACCGTAGAGCTCGGGGTGCTGCTGTGTTGCAGAAATTACGCGTAGGTTCTCGATCTGGTCAAGGTCAGAAATCCGCTAACAAGAAGAAGGACACAACCAAACGCAAAGGAGCTTCTGTCGATCTCAAGAACCTCATCATCCAAGGGCAGCGACTCACAGACGCGCTATTGGCAGCTTGCGATGCTCCCATAGAGTCACGAGTAGCACACGTGAGCTTAGCAAGGGAGCTGGGATTCAACCACAAGCTCGCTCCCACACCTCTGGTGGTGCCTATCGAGGCCAATCTGCTTCCGAATCTGCCCGCTGGCAACGACAGCCAAGCTATCCGTCGTCACAACCCATTCTCAGCCGATGCCATCACCATACAGTCATTCGATGACGATGTGTTAGTCTTGTCGTCTTTACAGCGTCCACGGAAGCTGAACGTACGCGGTTCAGACGGACGCTCATACGGCCTACTTTGCAAACCAAAAGACGATTTACGCAAGGACCAGCGGCTCATGGAGTTTAACGCCATGATCAATCGGGCTCTTCAAAAGGACATTGAGTCGAGCAAACGTCGCCTGTATATCAAAACATATGCCGTGACACCTCTCAACGAGGAGTGCGGAGCCATCGAATGGGTCGAAGGCCTCAAACCAATGCGCGACATTATCCTTCGTTTCTACCGCCAACGCAACATCCCAATCGACTATACCGAGATCCGTATGCTGCTCAATGAAGCCTCGTCATCGCCCTCCAAACTCACCATCTTCACTGAACGCATCCTCGGTAAATTCGTGCCTGTGTTGCATGAATGGTTCGTAGAGACATTCCCCGAGCCAGAAGCGTGGTTCGCCGCACGTCTCCGCTACACACGGTCTTGCGCTGTGATGAGTATCGTTGGACACGTATTAGGTCTAGGAGACCGACACGGTGAAAATGTACTCCTAGAACAAGGCGACGGCGGCACCTTCCACGTAGACTTCAACTGCCTCTTCGACAAAGGTCTCACATTCGAGAAACCTGAGCTCGTTCCCTTCCGCCTCACACACAACATGGTCGACGCCATGGGCCCCCAGGGCGTGGAAGGCCCATTCCGCAAAGCCGCTGAACTCACGTACAAACTGCTTCGGCAGCACGAAGACACGCTTATTACCATCTTGGAGACATTTGTGCATGATCCCACGGCGGACTTTCTGGGCGGCAAACGGAGGAAGAAGATTGTGGGTGTGCCGGATACGCCGCAGGAAGTCCTTGATATCACGCGTACGAAAGTGAATGGGTACTTGAAGGGGGAGAGTGTGCCGCTGAGTGTAGAGGGATATGTCGAGGCGCTTATTGCTATGGCCAGGGACCCGCATAACTTGGCGGCTATGTATATCGGGTGGTGTGCTTTCTTTTAGGTGGTCATCTTTTCAAGTAAAAGCACACGGCAAGGTATGTCGAGGGCGTCGCTTCGGTTACACTAGAAAAGTGTTAGCAATCAATATCCCTTCTTTACCTCACATACCACTGCAGTAGGCGCAAGGCTGTTAGTAATCCGATTCCATGCCATGTAAAGAATGACTCTTGCATGTACAAGGTTGGCATTACAATACGTAATTGTATAAAGTAGGTTCTCCCATTCTCTTGAAAACGCCGAAACAAAGACTCGTAAGAAAAGGTGATGCTACCCAAAAGACTCGCTCGAGCGGATATTCGTCGTATAGTCGTTGTGTGATCGTTCCGCTTTAGTACTTTCGAGCCAAGCTGCTCACACTTCACTTTATAGCCAGAACAAGCGCGATACGACCATCCTTCGCATAGCCAGATCGCTCCCTTGTATCCCATAGCAATCTCAGGGCAAAATCTCTGCTCCTGCTCCCCTCGATGCTATTCTCAGCAGCACTTGCCGCCCATACCAGCGTTTCCACCGTCTTGCCCGCTAACGTCTACCTTGGGCGCCGCCGTCTGGTCCGTCCTCGCCGTGTCAATTAGCCTCTTCTTGATATCTCCGGCCAAGCTGTAGAAGGCCTGGTCGACGTTGATGTTGCTCTTGGCTGAAACCTCGAGGAAGGGAATACCGAGTTCGTCGGCGAGGGCCTGGCCCTGTTCTGTGGAGACGGCGCGCTTCTCTTCCCAATCGCACTTGTTTCCAATGAGAATCTTGTTGACGCCCTCGGTAGCGTGTTGCTCGACGTTGGAGAACCATGTGCGAATGTCTGTTGCCCAGTGTTAGCCTTTGCTATCGATGCCCACTTGTTGCTATCCTCCCCAGGATACGCAACGGAAACGTACTATTGAAGCTCCTTTCATCTGTAACGTCGTACACCAGCAGAATACCCATGGCACCTCTGTAGTACGCTGTGGTGATGGTCCGGAAACGCTCCTGACCGGCAGTATCCCATATCTGCAGCTTCACGCGTTTGCCGTCGAGCTCGATGGTGCGGATTTTGAAGTCGATGCCGATGGTGGTGATGAACGAGGGCGTGAATGAGTCCTCGCTGAAGCGCAGCAGACAGCACGATTTTCCTACACCCGAGTCGCCTATGAGGAGCAGTTTGATCTACGCGGGGGAGTGTTAGTGTGGGTCTTGGTATACAAGCGGTGGAGGGGCGTTCAGGGTCCAGCAAGTATGGAAGGGTTGGGAGCGCAAGCCAAGGAAACGGGTAGGGCGAGCTTACGAGAAAGTCGTAATTCCTGGATCCAGCCATGTTGGTATAGGGCCGCGATATGCGTTATCGATCGGAAGTGGTATGCGGAGTTGGCGCCCGCCGGTTTGGGGTATACGGTGAGCTGGCTTCCTTTGAAGGTTGCGGGAGGATGCCGGTGATACGCTCGACTCGACAGTTGAGGGTGTAGGCGATAAAAATCAGTCTTGGGTATATGTCGCTGTGTGGTTAACAGCAGGCAGCGAAGTGAATGGCGTTGGAGTTCACAGGTGCCAGCCAACGTTGGACGTTAGCGCCAATAGTCCGCACGGGCTCACCACCTTCGTCACTGCCCAGGACGTCCGCAGCAAGTGATGAGAGGCGGATTGGTGGCAACTGCGCATTTGACCTGACTCGGCTATCACTGCCGGCATCACGCACCGAAACCACAAGGCATCATCATGCTCTGGTGCGTTGGTGTATGAAGGGGTTGATATCTGGTGTCTCCCTGCACATTGTCGCACCTGGGCCGTCTTCGCTATTTCCTAGTTCAGGACAGCAGGCTGCAATTCTCGTATACTCGGCTTACGCCTTTTGGAAGATACATTTCGTAATGCACGAGCTTCTTGGTATATTTGTATTCAAGTGGGCATGTACGCTGATCACAAATGCGCTGTTACTGGATGATCCCAGTTGCAAAAGACACCCTTGGTCATGTAAACCATTTTGAGTACGCCCACCTAATCCGCTCAACTACTTTTTGCTGTCGCTGCAGCCCACTCCTTACGTCAACAAGCTCATCTATTTCCACCAAGAGATCGTGGAAGATACGTCGTGGTAGAATGCCGCTCGCGGCTTGTCGCAGTAGATGCACTTCGCAGAGAAGGAGACCGTGGTCTTTGTAAGAAATTTCGCCATCCTCAGTAGGAGTCGCGCTGGTGAGGATGCGATCAATGTTGCGTAGGATGAGCAGCATGCGACCTTGCCTGGCCCACATCTGCACGCCTTTGCGGCTGCTGAAGACGCCTCGGAGGTATCGATAGACGCCGATACTGACGAGTACGCCGGGGGTCAGACCGATAAAGCCAAAGAGCAACTCCTGACTTTTGAGGATGCTGTCGATACCACTCATGGCAACTTCCACATCGACCTTGGTCTTCTGCACTTGGATGAGGAGTGCGCTAGCTAGGTTACCGACTATTGCTCCCTTGACCGGGCTTTGAATATCCTTTTCGTATGATCTCAACACCGTTGTTAGGTCACCCTCGCGGACTCTAGCTCTGATGTCGGCGATCTGCGTGTCAGTCAATGCTGGGCCTTCGGGGTTCTTTACGGCAAAGTCAATAACCATGCGCTCAAGGCTTGCGCGGTCAGATTCCAAACTTCGTTTGCTCATGATGGAAACCTCGCTGTCTTCGTTGTGGCGGATGGTACCGATGATCCTCATCGCGGGCTCCACGACCCAGTTCGTCCAGAAGTCGATTACCGTCTGTCCTAATTCGCGTACCCAAGTCAAGATTTCCTCTTTGCGGTTGACGAATATGCGCAGGATAGTGGTTGATGATACGAGGAGCATAGTGGCGGGAAGCCAATACCGGATGATCAGGGATGGACGGCCGTTCTCTTTGACCACAGCGTTGAAGTTTGAGGTGTAGGTAGGCAGTGCATCCCGAAGTAAGTACTGCAGCCGTTCCGCTACCTCTGCCGGCTTGATTGTGCTTGCACTTCGCTCTCCAGTGGGTTCGTGTAGTGAGTAGAATTGATCGTCCTGGGTGATGCTCGCAACAGAGTCGTCAAACTTATCAACGGAAAGCTCTGCGGTGTTTACGCTTTGGATGACGGCATCCATGAGGGCAATGTTTTTAGACATGACGCTCTTCCACCTATGTCCGCCTTGTGTGCCGAGCAGTGTGGGCGACTGTGTGCCATCGTCGTGTACACTGGGACGATTAGCGACGGCACTTGTTCCGCAATTCATTAATGGATGGCATACCTCTCGTTACCCAAGCCTTCGCCTAGCAGTACGCCGAGCGCATTTGCATTGATGAGCCGTATCTTCCTCAAGGCTGCCCGCTTCCTTCTGCCTTCGTTTCTCACAAGCGCCAGTGGGCTCACGACCCTTCGCTGGATATTGGCGATGCTCCGCTCTTGGACTGCATCTTTGACGAGGCCATAGAACTGGCTCCAACCATCGGCGACTTGGCCCCCACGTGACAACACATCATGGTATATCTCCTGCGACCATTTCCACACCCGGACTGGGGATGTCTGTATCGAGTATAACCCAGCGAATCGGTAGGTGGAGAGAATGTCGTCCCAGTACCACAAGTCGTCCTCGAGTGGGATGGTCTGTTCCAGTATCGTGCTCAAGACCTGTCCATAGACCTGTGTCGTCGCCTTGCTAACTAGTAGCCATTCCAACTCATGCTCGTAGCTCGCATCCTCATAACTGCTAGCGATGTTGGCACGTTGTAGCGTCTCCGATATGCGCGCGACAGGGACAAGGCTGTGTTTGGATGATGCGGTTGTAGAGAGGGACTTGATGAGATACTGCAGATGTGCGATTCGTGTCGTCTTGGTGGGGTCGTGGGCTTCCTCGGCGGTGATGGAGAAGGTGCCTGTTCGCGTGGATGACAGCTGCAGCCGATCGAGCTGGCTGTCAATTCGTCGCACCTGGCTGCAATTCTGTTAGCCAGATAAAACGCATCATTCTCGAATGCTTCAACTTACTCAACCACGAAAGACATGGTTACCGGCGCGTGGACGTTCACATAGAGGATGCGGCCGAATTAGTTTGATACGAGGAGATCGGAACCAGGATGACGCGCACCCACCCGCCGCCAATGACGTTCTAGAGCCTGCCACCAAGCACAACCAGTTATACGCAGTTTTCCGCATATGCTCAAGTCTCCAACAAAGGCCAACGCTTCGATCGTAATTGGTAGCGACGCGCTCCGTCTTAAAGCCATGCCCGAATCCAAGCACACAACACTCCCCAAGTTTCTACGACGCAGTATTTCGACACAAATGAAGACGAAGAAGCAAACCGGCCGACAGTTGATGCCTGCGTGTATGTACCAATTGGCATGATATTCCCCTTGTCTGATTTTTGTTGTACATTCTAATACCATGTGCTTCCAACAGGCGGGCACATTGCATCCAACTTCAACCCTACCATCACCTCTACGCTTCTCTACGACCATGCAAAAGCTGTTATATCTCAATGAATATCTGCAAACTATCGGTAGGATAACTGCGACCAAATGTGGCTATCAAACGGTTTCTCCGATATACCGTCGTGCATTGGGACAATCTAAAAGCTCATAGGAAATTCTTTTCTGACCCAGCAACCAGTTAAGGGATTTCCAAAGAGAAAGAAAGAAAATAAACGTCGCAACACAACGGCTTCCTGACAATTTCCACTGCCTGTTCGTTCGAAACGTATGCTGAGGCTACCTGGTGACGCGAGCGCTCATTCGGACCGAGGGTTGATCTGCGATCTCATCCATACTCACGGGATGCAATACACTGGCCTCCTCGTCGGTGATGCGAGCGCTCATTGGTTCCAGGACTGGACTCGCTGAACGAGAGAGATCAAATTGCGGCACAGTCAACCTGATACCGTTCTCTTGGTCAGGGGCTAGCAAGGTACCCTCGTCCATAAGCGAGTCGCGCTTTCTGGGGAGCTTCTGGCGCATTCCCAGTTCGTCTCCTACCATCTCGATGCTCTTGAAGTACTGTAAAGTGTCAGTTTCGCATCAGGTGACGTGTGTGTTGGCAGAAGGTACCTTGACCGTCTTGACCTGCAGCTCCAAGGTAGCGTCTTCGTCAACCACAATCATTGGGTGGGCGTGCATCTGCAGACTGGACAGCGTCCACATGTGGTTCACACCACCTTCGATGCACCTCTGAAGCGCTAGCGCCTTGTGTGCGCCCGTTATTATAATGACTACTTCGCGTGCCTGAGGTCTGTGAGACTTTGCCAAGGTACATGTTGGTGTGACTTACATCCAGCACAGTCTGAACTCCAACTGTCAATGCCATTCTCGGCACTTGATCCAGATTGTTCCCGAAGAACCTCGAGTTCGCCAGAATGGTGTCGTATGCCAGGGTCTTCACGCGAGTCCGAGACTTGAGGCTGGATCCTGGCTCATTGAAGGCAATGTGTCCATCTGGCCCGATACCACCTAGGAACAGCTCGATACCGCCCGCACGTTGTATCTTTTCTTCATAATCATGGCACTCAGCTTCTAGGTCGGGCGCGTTACCGTTGAGAATGTTGATGTTGTCAGGCTTTACGTCGACATGTGAGAAGAAGTGCTTGTACATGAAGCTATGATAGCTTTCGGGATGGTCTCGTGGAATGCCGACATATTCGTCCTGATTGGGTCAGCACCACTCAACATCACGCTGCTGTGCTACATTGGAAACAAGGATACTGGGGCACATGCAGGGCGGTCTTTCGTACCATGTTGAACGTGATCACATTGCGGAAGGAGACTTGGCCCGCTTTGTGGCGCTTGACAAGATGCTCGTAGATCAGGACAGGACTGCTGCCAGTAGGCAACCCTAGGACAAAAGGTCTCTCAGGTGTAGGGTTGAAGGCCTTGATGCGCTCTATGCTGAGGCGTTAGCTGACAATGAAGCATGACAAGGGAACAAGAGATGCACCAATGACATAGTCGGCGATGTATTGCGATGCAGCTTTCGGGTCGTCTCTGATAATTAGCCGCCTAGAAGCGGTAAGCCAAGGGTTAGACGTCGAAGGATTGCATGCTCGTACATAATGTCTGTCTTGTCTGTGCCACTGCGAGTGTTCTGTGCTAAGTGAGGGGTTAGAGGGCAATTCTACAGCGGACTGGCGATGATTATTATGAAAGCTCCAGCAGCTTCACGTCACTCTGGGTCATGGTAGTATCGCAAGCTCGACCATCGTCCAAGGTCTCTTCGTCAACATGGACAACGGTCAGACTTGCCGGGTCTGACCACGTTCTCTGGAATCTTCACCCTATCGGTCCGCATGCTCGTGGTGCGTCATGCGATGGACAGTTGGAGGTGAACGTGGTAGTACAACGTGCCTATCTGCACCAGCTAAAGCGGCTGTATACCCCGTCTGCTACCATGCGCAATGTTACAGGAGCATGGTGGAAGCATGGTTACCACCATCGACCATGATAGCAGTGGAAACTTGCTCGAGCGTGGGTCGGATACTAGCCATCGCGGGCAGCCAGAGACGAACATCACGATAGCAAGCGCGACTGATAAGCCCGATGTACTGATGGAGTCGCAGGAGGACGATGTTACATTTGCGACTCGGGTGGCGGGCGGAGAGCGTTGCACTTGTGGCTGCAGTCCGGCGTCTTCTAGCTCACAGCCTTGTGCCGGGGGGGACGGCGATTCATCAACCAACAGCGTGGTCGCAGACGCATGCAGATCCATGCATGGTCGATAAGCAGGTCTCCAACGCCCCGCTTTGACCCCCGATGGCTGTCCCGAGAACCACTGGCGACCCCGTTCCGGACACCTGTAGCCGTCCCTCTGCTGCTGCTGCTGCTGCTTACTGCATTGTAGTACGGCCTGGGGGTGCGGATACGGCTGATTGCTGGCGTTTGCCTGGGCAGCGCCAATGCCAACGAATCCTTCACCGACGGCTGTCACTTGTGGGCTTGCAGTCGTTTAATTCCTCAGGCCAGAGGGTGTCGCGTGCTATTGCCCGCCTTGCTACCCCGATGCAGGTTGGCTGGGGAGATTTGGTATGGACCGTGTGAAGACCCTAGCTGACAGATGCTTAAAACCAAGTGCCCCTCGCCTTCAACCCACCCAAACCTCGTTTAATTATAGCTTGCCATCATCGTATCCTGCCTGGTCTGAGCGCGAGCATCTAGTATCTTTATTGTATCCTGCCTGCTCGCATCTTCCACACCATCGACGACGTGCCTTTACCGTCTGTCGCAGGGCTCAACTCCGATCCACGCGCTAAACACCGACAACACCCATCATCGCGCGGACATCATCATGGCGACCAATGAGGAAAAACAGCCTCCACACGACATCAACTCTCCGGAGAACTCGTTGACTGACACCAATACGCTTGATCTGCCAGCTTCATGGAAATACAAGCGCTTCACCATCGCCGGTTTCAAGCTGCCATGGTTCGCATCACCACCCGTCCAGCTGGTCATTGTTTCATTCGTTTGCTTCATGTGTCCAGGCATGTTCAATGCTCTGAATGGCATGGGTGGTGGCGGCCAACTTGACCCGACTGCAAACAACCGGGCCAACACGGCTTTGTACTCGACCTTTGCTGTTGTCGGCTTCTTTGCCGGCACCTTTACCAATAAGCTTGGCATCCGCACTGCTCTGTCTTTTGGCGGCGTTGGATACTCCGTCTATGTTGCATCTTACCTATGCTACAACCACACGCAGAATCTGGGCTTCACTACATTCGCTGGTGCACTACTTGGTGTATGCGCTGGTCTGCTTTGGTGCGCCCAGGGCGCCATCATGATGTCGTACCCGCCAGAGGAATCCAAGGGTCGTTACATCTCATGGTTCTGGATGATCTTCAACCTGGGTGCTGTCATTGGTAGTCTGGTACGCGATCCTTTTCCTTGAGAATAGTACGAAATAACTCGTCATCAAGTACTGACTCTCCTAGATCCCATTGGGCCAGAACATCCACACTAAGACTGCCGGTACAGTCAACGACGGTACCTACGTCGGCTTCCTTGTCCTCACCATCCTCGGTGCCGCTCTCGCCTGGACTTTGGTCGACGCGAAGGATGTCATCCGTGATGATGGATCAAAGATCATCGTCATGAAGCACCCCTCCTGGAAGTCGGAGATAGTCGGTCTTTACCAGACCTTCTTCACCGACCCTTACATTATCCTTCTATTCCCCATGTTCCTCGCATCCAACTGGTTTTACACCTACCATTTCACCGAGATCAACGCTGCATACTTCAACGTCCGCACCCGAGCACTCAATGGCGTCGTCTACTACATTATGCAGATTATCGGCGCCTACGTCTTTGGATATGCGCTTGACATCAAGGGCGTCCGTCGCACAACACGTGCTAAGGCTGCATGGGGCGTGCTTTTCGCGACCATCATGATCATCTGGGGTTTCGGTTACATGTTCCAGAAGACCTACGACCGCGCCTGGGCAGAAGACGAGACAAACGAGAAGAAGGATTGGTCTGACCCAGGTTACGCTGGTCCCTTCGTTCTCTACATGTTCTACGGCTTCTCCGATGCCGCTTGGCAAACCTCAGTCTACTGGTAAGTTCGGAATAAGAGTTGAGACATCTTGATCAAAATGCTAATGAAATCAGGTTCATGGGCGCCCTGACAAACAACAGCCGCAAGCTCGCCAACTTCGCCGGATTCTACAAAGGCATTCAGTCTGCTGGAGGTGCCATCACATGGCGTTTGGATGACACCAAGATTGCTTACATGACAATGTTTGCCAGCAACTGGGGATTGCTTGCGGGCAGTCTGCTTGTTGCTCTTCCTGTAATTCTTTGGAAAGTCGAGGATACTGTCGCCATCGAGAAAGATGTCGCTTTCACCGATGAGACAGTTGCGGAAGTCGCCCCCAAGGCGATCATCCACACGGCGCATAACGATACTGAAAAGGTCTAGTCCAATTACCGAAGAGCGCTCGTGGTTGGGACTGCATGGGTAATGACGGGGGTTGGTTTACTTGTATTTGCCTCTTTAGGATACCTCAACTGGAGTTGAATTAGTGGATCAGAGTTAAGGAGTCCGGTTTCTCGACATTTGAGCTTAGGCGGTCATTTACAGGTCTCTACACGACATTGCGGTTCACATTCTCCGTGGCACAGCATGCGGGTTAATTTGACGCAGCCAGTGGTGCTACAGCATGGCGGCTTATCCATATTCCTAATGAAAGAACCTTCTCATAACCACTGTACATGTGTTGGTGCAAGGGCATGTACTATGGCATAGTAACTGCCCGGTACACAGCTGTAGTTTTATTTTGTTAATCTCCAGCAAGAACCAGTAGTCCCGGTAGCCTATTGCCGGAAAACCCCAAGCATCAGTACAATGTGCGGAACATTGTCAGCATCTCACGCCCCGTTCAACCGGTATGAATCGCCACGTATCTGTTACAAGAGACCAAGAGCTCCGAGGAGCAAATGCTTTGCCTTACAGGGTGCATGATAGCAATACGGGATGCCATTCCTGACAGCTGATCGCCCCTTCCAGACTTACCAAATTTCACGATGATCTACGACCGAGCTAGACGGAGGTCAGCAAAAGCGAGTGTTACCATATACTAGTTTCCTAGCCACAATCGTTTGAACACGATGTTTCAGTGGGTTCTTGGAAGGCCTCGGGTCCACATCGGGGATCGACAGTCCGGCCAGGGCCACGAGGAAGGTGGTGGTTACACCAAGGTCGTGCAGCAGCAGGGTCCTTGGCTCCGTGTTGTCAGCTAACTCCACGATTCTCGAGTCCTCGTTATGCAAGAAACCTAGTAGTACGCTAGGTAAGCACCACATGGCAACATCGTCTACAGTGAATTATCAGTATCCACAGGTGAGATTGAATACGATTAGATATGAAGGCGCAAGCTTGCCTAGTCGGATCTGATCTGAGTGAGACTTGGCGCCGGACAGCGGGAGGCACGTGCTTTCCGCTCATTCACGCATCCCGAGGTCTCGTCAACTCAACGGTGTCCAATCCTGCTTGCTGCTTACACCAAAACACCTGTGAAGGGGTGTGCGATGATCGCCACACTGCATAACGCCTACAATCTGGTTGAATCATACCGCGGCGAGTTGTCCACCGAAGTCCCATCGTAAACGCTTACGGCTAGATTTGCGGTCCCAATACGGGCTAGCGGGCGTCGCCGACTGTAACGGTAGCAATGGCCGTCAGGAAACTTCCTACGAAACCCCACCAACGCTCGCCATGACAGTAACGCCATATTTCCGAATACCCATCCAGTGTGCCTGGCGCCAGCGACACGCCGTCGACTGCTGTTCACGGCCAATACACGCTGCCTTCACGACTTCCTCCCCTGCTTCCATTGTCTCCTTGGCCCCCGCGTTCACTCTTACGTGCTTGTCTGCCGTGCCTCAGCAGCGGGTCTCGCACGCCAGTCGCCGGAGCAATACCTGACTACGTCTGCTAGTGGATACAACCTCTTTAATGTTCTGACAAGTCATACAACTATGCTTAAGAGCTATTTGCGACATCGGTTCACTAATGCTACCGGCCCGTGTCTAGCCCCCGTTCACTACGACATTCGCAGGCTTTGAACATTCTTGCTGGTTTTTGCATTTTGATACAATACCTACAAACAACGTTCGTTCTACAATCTGGTACCAGTCGTCATCGTCAACCATACCTACCGTGTCCCTCCATGCCACCTCTCCGGCTGAAACGCTTCAAGAGCGGCCGCGTCACCGTTACCCCAGAGTCGAACAGCTCCCGTGACTTGCATCAAGCAACAAACGACGACAACAATCATTGCTGGTACAAACAGCTCATGTCCGATTTTTGGGAGGGGCTTCTTGCGGCTCTAGAAAGAATCGCCATGCTACCATCGCTTTTGCACTCCGTGCTTCCGTCGTCAACCTCGCGACGTCGCGTACGGGATGGACTTCGGACTTACGACCGGACAATGGACGATCTACTCCATGAAGTCCAACGCCTATTCGAGGCACCATTAGGACCTGGCAAGATGCTAGACATGTCTGCAAAGTTGCAGGATCAATTTGCCCCAAAAATGCAATCGAGCGACATATGCATGTTGCCATCGTACAACCACAAACTACCTTCCGGTTTGGAAAAAGGAACCTATCTGGCTCTCGATGTCGGTGGCTCTACATTCCGTATTGCACTCGTGGAACTGAATGGCAGACAACCTGGTGCCAAGAACATGCGCATTGTCGTCATGAAGAATTACAAGATTGACGAAAAGGTCAGGCAAAGACGAGGCAACGAGTTCTTTGAGTGGATGGCCGAGAAGATACAGCAAGCGCTTGCAGATCCGCAACTGAGAAATTCTACCGACACTGAGAGCTTTCCCATGGGCTTGGCGTGGTCTTTCCCTGTTGAGTACGTATTCTCTGTGCAGTCTACCTTGCAAGACTGACTGTTGCCAGGCAAACTTCTAGTCGAAGTGCGAATTTATTAGATATGGGAAAGGGGTTTCGCGCGACAGAGGGTGTTCTCGGCCAAGATCTGAGCGAGCTGATTATGGCACCGTGCAGAAAGAGGGTAAGTCTTGATGGTAAATAAAGCCTCCTACAACTTCTCACATTTTCAAGGGCCTACCAGTACACATGGACTCCATCGTCAACGACTCATCAGCAACCTTGCTATCACGTGCCTACGAAGACCCTTCTACGCGTTTTGCTGTTATTCTGGGAACCGGATTTAATATATCCGTACACCTGCCTGTATCGTCACTCGCGTCTACCAAGTACAAGGGTTACCCCCAGCAATGGCTGGATGGGGCTACTCATGTGCTCGTCAACACCGAGTGTAGCATGTTCGGCAAAGACGTCTTTCCCACAACTAGATGGGACGAGCAGCTGAACGACGCACACATGCGACCCGATTTCCAGCCTTTTGAGCACATGATCAGTGGTCGGTATATTGGAGAGATCGTTCGATTGATCTTGGTGGAAGCCGTGCAGACAGCAGGCTTGTTCAGCGGAGAGATACCCCATCAATTAGCTGAACCCTACACCCTGGATACCGGAACCATTGCCGCCATGGAGATGGATGATTCCAAGTACTTGACGAGTGCTACAGTCCTCTTCCAATCCAAGCACCCTCTCAGCAAGCCACCCACCTACAACGACATTCAGTTCGTCCGTCAGGTCTCGCAAGTAGTCTCGCATCGTGCAGCAGCTTATCTCGCAACGGGTATCCACGCGCTGTGGGCACTTAGAACAAAATCAGAAGGCCTGACGCCTGCGTCCGCTGGTCGGATGAGCATCGGTTGCAACGGCTCTGTCATCGAAAAGTATCCCTTTTTCAGAGAGCTATGCCAGTCGCACCTCCATGAGCTGACTACTGCTTCGGGAGCGGAACCAGGCTCCGTCTCTTTGGAGATTGCCGTGGAGTCAGCGATTTATGGCGCAGCTGTTGCTGTTTGCTGTCTCGAAGGACAGTAATCATTATGCGATGATACCCACAATGCATCTCGCAAATTCTCTTTATACGCCTTATCCAACTTTATTGTAAATTCATTTCAGCGATATTTATACACGTTTTCTTCAATTTAGAAAGTTTTTTACAGCTCAGCATGGGAAGATTTACGAGAGCATACGGGAGCTTTACCACACTGTTCCCTTTTGGCGTTTTCTGCTACACTACATCGCAATGCTCTTGGGCATTCAGACGACCTAATGAAACATATTCTAATCCGCTCTCTCCTTCTCTCCTTCCTCCATACTTGACACGTGATGGACATGGTTCCCGACGATATCGCACACCAGCGTATAGCAGCGGGAAAGGAAAAGGGGACCAAGCACCACATGCGGACTGTACAGACAAACCCAAGTTCATCCTTCTAGACAGGCAGTACGTAATTTGAACTCCACTGCTATCGCTCAATATAACCATGCCACAGCCACGAAACGTAACGCCTACTACCCACCTGCCCAATATAAGCCCCATGTCAAGGGAACGGAGCATACCAACCCAAACCGGCGCTCTCCGTCCACTGGTAGCGAGAAATAAGATAGGAGATACGATACTCCTGCGCCACGTGGGTCCCAGATGGACATGCTGCAAACTGCAAACTGCAAATTGCGCCATCCATCCTCGGACCCACTTCCCGAGGTATCTTGCAGATGTACCCATTACCCATTTTACACACGGAGCGACTAGACACTCCAACAATAGCGCATGTCACCAAAATGCTACGTTGTGATAGCAGATAGTCTTTTTTTTTTTTTTTTTGCGACTTTCTTAGGGGACATTCGGGAAATCGGCAGTCGTTCGGCGCTTTTTGTTTTGTTTTGTTCGTTGACGGTAGATGATCGGGAGTTTGGTGGTGGTGATTAACGATGCAATGTAATGCTACTGTTACACTCCTTTGCTCCGCACTCCGCACTCCGCACTCCGACTCCAACTCCAACTTGGGTCGGAAACAAGTCCGGTTATCACAATGCAGCACGATACCACGACGCCGAGTGTACGTGCGTTGAAGATACTACGTTGTATATGGAGTTGCACTGCGGGGGTACTGACGCCTCTGTAACTGCCCTTGGCGAGATGGGTGGGTCTGGGGTTGTAGGTGCCATGTGGATGCGGTGATAGTTCCAAAGGACGGTTGCAGTCTTTCATCTCCGCAATCGTCTTGGAGCATTGTCGGCGGTATTCTTGTTACATCTGCGTGTAGTTTGCGTCGGCTGCATTCGCGGCAAGTAGTCTGTCGACTCTGGATAAGGTGTTGGTGCCGAAGATCAACTCTCCTGGATATCATACGTGAGCAATACGAAGGCGACGAGGTTGAATACGATGTGTGCGAGACGTTGCTACTTCAAACGTAGAAAGACGGTCGATCAACACGCAAATATGGACATAGCATGAGCTGGCGCAATATGAGAACAAAGTGGTATAATAATAGCTTGCCAAGAAGGGGAGATGTAGCAATCATATATAGTCGACAAAGACTTCGAAGTAGATTGAAGAAAGTCTTGCTGTCGTAAGAAAAACGCCAAATTCATGCTGCCTACCTCATCCCGCTGAATCTTGAGATATCCAAGCTCAAGAATCTTCTGTACTTGAACTTAACCCTTTATCCGAGTGCGAGGAAAGCGTGAAGGTAGAACTCGGGTAGGCCATGATGCACTCCGACCCACCATCAGTATTCTTTTCATCATAAAAGTATTACAAAGGGGAGTCATATGACTCAACACAAAGGGTATCATAACAAAAACGCAAACCAGCCTGGCTTCCCTTACCAAGCATCCGAAAAATACCGTTTCGACCGACTCCTGCCAGCATCCGCCTTTGATTCTTGCGGGAGAGGAGTAATATGATGAACAACATGTGGTCGGTAGACAGCATCAACAGGCGGCATCCAGTCGTCCAGACCAAGCGGGAAATATTCGTAAAGCATGTCGGCACCTTCATCAGGACTGTTGAGGATGCCTAGAGAGAAGGAAGGGGGCCGCATTGGGGTTGCGCGTTTCTTTGGCTGTTCACTAGGCGAAGGTGCTTTTTGTGGCTCGTCGTCGGTAAGAAACAGGGTGACTGGTGCTATAGATGCCCGTTGTGGAGGAACGCTCCGTGAGATTTCAGGTGTTGAATGTGCATATGGTGTCGCATGTTGTAACTGGGATGAGGGGGGATCTGGCGGTATCGCAGTCATGGCACCTGCTGGCATCTTCCAGGCGAAATCTGGAGATGGCGGCATCTCACTTGTGTTGAACTCAAACGGCATCTGTAGTAGGTCCATCGGCTTTGAGGAGGCTACAGGTAGATTTGATGTTTGTTTCGGCGTGTTCTGATTTGTGTCGCCCGTTGGCGTTCTACTGGGCTGCTGGGGAGTATGCACTTTCCGCGCGGTCGTACCTCCACTAATAGGCAAATCCTTGCGGGCCTGGAAGTTGCGCGGACTCCTTCCTCGTACGATGATTGCACCAGAATGAACTTCGCATATCGGTACTTTGGCCCCATTAGCGAGGGTTGCCATCACCTTCAATCGTACTACGAAGTGTTGTTGAAGCTCCTTCCTTCGCCCGTTGTTTGCAGTTGCTATTCGGAATTGTAGTCGCTTCCAACTGATAGGAAAGCTGACGTAATCCGAGTCCATATCTTGACCGGTCGACAGATCGAGTGGGTATGTCGGTGGCTCCTTCTCGGATTTATCTTCAACAGACGCGCAGCCAGTTGCAGGAGTCTTCCACGGAACCGATATTATCTTTACCGCGTTGCCCTCGAGCGACTCGGTCGCGGATATAGTGAGTTCTTGGCCAAGAATGGGTATTTGGTCGCCTTGGTCAGTCATGAGAAACTGCAGGCTTCGGGGGAGCGTGATGGTACCAGTGATCTGGAAGAGATTCCTCCTATAGCAAGTCAATTCCGAAGGCGCCTGGACGTCAGCTGCCGTTGCCCAGGGAGATTCAGCCAGGAAGAACATGCCATGGAGCTGGGCCGACATGGATATTGAGACTCTTTGCATGGCATACGTGAGGATGGTATATGGGATGACGGGTAGCGAGAAGCTAAGGAGCTTGTTGTTGCTCTCGATGCTTGGACTTTCAGGCATGCCATTGTGCTCGTGTGGGTGTATCGACTGCTCGTAGCCGCTTTGGACGTCGGAGAAGGGATCTTCGTATGTGCTCGGGTAGCGCTTGAGTTGGGGTGGTAGTTGCTGGAGGTGGTATGTCGAGTAGGCGTCCTCACTTCTGCGCAAACAGGTTAGCAGCTGATAAGCATGTGCCACGCACTGTACGTACCCGATGAACGTCTCGGCGTCGAAGTTGGAGCGCTGGTCATACTGGAGGGGTATCGGCATGGCCATCTGCTGGTCGGGGCCTGTGACGGTCTGGAGCGGTATGTACGACATGGTGTTGGTGTTGAAGTGCTCCATGGCTCGGTGCAGCCTGGCCAGGGTGGAGAGAGAGGTCGGTTTCGATTTGGCGCATACGCGCAACGATAGCTAGGACGTGGCGATGAGGAAGGCGCGACCGAGTATGCAGTGGCACGCACGTGGGAGTTGGTGAGTGGTGGTTGTGGTTTGGGAACGCTTGGGGCTCTGGGGTTGAAGGTGGAGAGGTGCGGCAGGCGAGCACGCGGAGAAGATGGGGACGACACAGCTTGGACGCTGGCACGGCGCGCTGAGGAGCGACACTGGGGCTGAAACGCGCAGAAAGGCTCGGAGCTGTGGCTCATACGGAGCGCACCAAGTCAAAGGCTTCGCGGCTGTCTGGTTGAAGTTGTGCGACGACGCATCACATGCGCTTGTGGCCAAGGTCGGATACGTGCGCTGCGCAAAGGGTCCCGCCTGCTGTGGGGCTCGGCAGGGGATTTATGAACGGGAAGGATAGGCTTCGGTTGCCTGAATATAAGTGGAAAAGATGCTCAGGCACACTTTGTATACCGCCTCAATCATCCAAGAGACACAGAGCGCTGGCACGCGGGCTCCTTCGGTAGGGCTTCTCCAAGGGACAAGCCGAACGGTGATCACCCTACGCCATCGCACCAGTGGCGCCTCTTACTCTGGCTATGGACCCGCTCAGCTTCAGGAACAACCTCCATTTCTCCAGGCACCTCTAATCAGACGTCGCTTGTACACGATTAGCGCTATGCGTCGTACATCTACCTATCAAGTTTGCCATGTCTATTGATTCAATAGATGAGAGGCGCAGCAGGGTAAGATGAGCCGAGTGAGCATGTCGGAAGAGGAACTCGTTCGGGTTCATACATGGAACGACATCAGATTATGGTACAAGCGGTAGTAGTAACCAATGGGACGCCAGTCCGTGTCGGAGTGCAAAACGCAATTAGTACACAAGCCCAAAATATTCCCAAAACGCCGACTCAAAAAGCTTTGAACCAAGCAGCCAGCAATGTCGGCATATGATGAGAGAGTCAGACCAATCAAGCGGGTGGGACCATGGTCCATGTTGCAGCATCGCAGCTAACTTCCTCAAAGGTATGCATGACATCGAACCCCATTGCCGAGAAGCCGTCGAAGTTGCCGTCTCCGTCCATCTATCTGTGTTAGTTTGCTGCCATGGCCGAGGAATAGACGGCTACTCACATAGTCGAGCAAGCATGCGTTGCACCCCAACTGCTTGATCTGTCGCATGCCGAGAAGGATCAACCCCTGCAGCAGTGTCGAATACTCTCCTACACCAGGTGATATGACGGGTGAGGAAATACCTCCAGCCGCCTCGTTGAGGTCCTTCAATGGGGGTATGTACTCAGCAAGTCGCGAGTGGTTATTGTAAAGCACAACAGTGCCCACCAACGCGCCATCTTCTGGTCGCTTTGCCCGAATGATCCCACAGGCTGTCGGGTCTGTGAGCGCAAGCTTGTACACCTCTGCCAGACCTTGACGGTTGCTCGTTTTGATGTGGTCGAGAATGGGTGCTGCATAATCCCATCCGTACACAAGGTCGAATTGTGCTCCTGCGCTTGCTAGACTCTTCGCCATGCCAGTAGGTGGGGTCCATGCCTGCAGATTGCGCGCAACCATGCTACAGACTGGACGAGAAAGCGCAGCACCCCAGCCAAGCTGAGCAAACCACGACCGAAGTCGTTTGCGCTCAATTCCATGTCCGGTTGGGATTCCAAGATACATACTTGGGAGGCGTGATCCAAGCTGGAATCTCTTAATACTTCCTTTCTGCAGCAGTGTACGGATAGCTCGGTTGTGCAGCGAATGACCAATCGAGAGCTTTCTCCTCGCTGGATCTACGAACAAGGCTCCAATCACACCAGTGCCAGTAGCCTTGAAAAAGTAGGTCGAGCAGAATCCATACAGTGCTTGTGTGCTGCTGTTCCTAACGACGAAATGTGACTCCTCTACCTCCGGGTGGTGCAGGATGAACGAACTCGAGGTCGCGCTTGACATCTCCGACCGTTGGTTTGAGCCTGTACCCTCGACAACAGCTGCGATCAGTGTATCCAGAGCCTTTTCGTCTCGAGTCTCGTTAAAATTCTCAACGAGCCAATGTTGTCGCGTCATAGGTTGTTTCTTGCTGAGCGTACCCGGGAGGGATCCAGTCGCTTGCAGTTCCCCATATAGCACGCGTACTAACGAGTTGAGAGCGGTCTCAGTTAGGTCATAAGCTAAACAAAAAAAGAATCAGTGTATGTCTCACATGCAACTCGTACAGAGACACTTACTGCATATATAAGTTCCAATGGTATTGTCCATTGCAAAGTCATCTAGATGTAGGCGTACGAAGTTAGTGTATGTCTCACATGCAGTTCGTACAGAGATACTTACACGGCGACGACACGGCGACAACAATAAGAGGCTTCTCACGCCTTTCGCCACCAGTTGTGTATTGCATGTTGCATATCATTGAGACATGCTTGGTGAAGCCATGCTGATACAGATTCCGGTTTGCGTCAGCCGTAAGGACGATGATGGCACTTGCCCGATTGATGAGGTTCTCGTGGACTGGGCGGACACCGTTCGCAGTGTAAGATGTATGAAGCAGTCGTCCGTTGCGTTGCCTGGCGAGAGAACGGCCCAGTTCCCTGAAGACTCGTTCTCCGCTCATAACTGACGAACTCCGATCCCAAGCAGCTGGCTCTGGTGAGTGACTGGCTGCGCCATTAGCAGCGTCGGACATTGCTCGTGATGCAGCTGATGCAGCCAAAGGCTTCACCAACGGTGTCAGCAGAAGAAGCTCCTCCTCGCTTTCGATTATGTTTGTCAGCGGCAGAAGCCTGTTCTTATCTCGCACAACTGTGATGGAGCTGTTGTATGCTTTTGTTGATAGTGCGGTATGCGATGGTTGAAGTTTCTCTAGGTAGTTGATACCCGGCGGGTTCAATGCTTTCTCCCATGATGTGCACTTCTTCTTCATGGCTAGTATGCGTCTGAGGGAGTTGAAGATGCGTTCTCTCGAGACCATTTCACTCTCTATGCCGGTCTTGAGGCCTTTCAGCCCTTCTTGTTGAAGTGAAAACGATCGACATAGAAGTATCACATCGCAGCCAGCGTTGACCGCCATCACTGTGCCGCCACCTACACCGATGTTGTGACTGAGAGCATCCATCTCCAAACACTCCGAGACCACGACACCGTCAAACTTCAGGTCCTTACGAAGGAGATTGTCGACAACTTGCTCAGACAAACAAGCGTGCATCACATTCAGTCCGGCCGATGACATGGCGCAACCACCAACCATCATGGAATCAAGACCTCTTTCAATAGCCTTCTTGAACGGTATCAAAGCGCTTAGGCTCAGTTGCTCTAGGGACTCTGTGATGATCGGCACGTCGAGTGTTGAGCCTAGAAACTCCAGATTACCGTACGAAGGAAAGTGCTTGCCTAGAGTCACCACCCCAGCGTCTTTGTAGCCTGCCATGAAGGCGCATCCAAAGGCAGACACTTCCTGAGGATCATCACCAGCCGTCCTGACTCCCAGAGGCTGGTTACGTGCATTGGTGAGTACATCCAGACACGGACCGAAGATCCAGTTGATACCACACGCAGCAATCTCTTGTGCAGTCGATTTGGCTACTTCGAAAGCTAGCTCGGTAGAACCTGTAGCTGCCATTCCCATGTTACTGGGATATTGACGGATATAGATGTCATCGAAAAGACTGTTGACGCCGCCATTCTCCTGGTCAATGCCAATCGCCAGGGGAACAGGATGGCCAGCATCGTGAGCAATCTTCTGTAGCTCGTAAATAAGCGTCGTAGTATCTTCGGCGGCTGTGACAAATTAGTAAGTGTATAAGACGGCAAATAGCCACAGAAAACGTAAGCTGCTAACATTTGCAGTTCTTGGCAGTAAGTAGTATGCAGCCAACATGATGTTCCTCGATCAGCGTACGAATGTGAGGAGTGACCGAGGTGCCATCGAAGCCCATCATGAACAGTTGGCCCTACAAAGCCTTTGTCAGCGAATCCTGTCGCAGCATAGACGGATGCGACCCACCATAGTCCTGCATCACGGGCAAGTTAGCTTGACCTTTGGTCATATTGCGCATCCTCAGGATGTGAGTGGGCGCGATGCTCACCTATCGAGGTCATCCCAGACAGGGTCCATGTTTTCGACCTTACTCATGATGACAGCGCCGTTGCGTCGCAATGAAGTCCTGAATGCGACGTGGGTTTCCGCGTGGGCACCAAGACGCGAACGTGACTCGCAGATCGGTAATGGTGGATGAAAGATGGGGAGGATGGCACGGTAGCATTCACGCCATTCCGAGCTGGGGTACGTGATTAGCGAGCCGCTATCGCAAGCCCGTCCCATCGTTACACCACCCACTTCCACTATCAATGACATCCACTTCGATGCCACCTCACATGCAACCGTCGTACATCCGGATTGTTCGGTCAAATGTGATCATCACTATGTTACCTTGATCCTACTATCCAGTAGGCCTGTACAATCGGACAGTGTGCTTCATTGCAACGATACAGGCCGTGGAGGGCAAGTCTGCCCGCCGATGATGACTCAATAGCATCATCGCACGAAGACGGACATAGGTGCGTAGTCGCGATAGAAGTAGCAGGTACGCTGCGGGTCCCTTTGTGGCGGGTGTTGAGTTTGCTCGCCCACGCACAACCAGCCGTTCATTCCTTCCAGTTACGGTCAATTCTTGAACTAAACTTCACTTTCTTCACCCTTCAAGCATCTTCCACCTAGTAGGAAGCTAAACCTTTACGATCTGCGATGCCATCGATTATATCAATGTGTCCTGAGGACTCCACAGGTGTGACTAAATTCACCAACTGCTTGCTGGTAAAAGGCAATGCTTTGGTCAACGAGGACTTATGGATAAGCTCCACCACCGGCAAGATTCTGAACGGACAAGAGATACTCTACGAGTATCGTACTGCACCGGAACAAATTGTCGACCTAGGTGGACGTATCCTCTCGCCAGGACTCATTGATACGCAACTCAATGGTGCATACGGGTTCGACTTTTCCGTGATCCCAGATGAAGGCACATCAGCCTACGCCAAAGGAGTGCATCGAGTCAATCGAAGCTTGGTAGCGACGGGTGTTACATCATACCTGCCAACCTTGACCTCACAACTACCCGAGGTCTACCAGAAGGCACTACCATTCCTAGGGCCTTCAGGCGCCGCTCGCAACGCATCATACGGGTCAGAGTCTCTCGGTGCCCATTGCGAAGGGCCATTTCTAAACCCCACCAAGAACGGCATCCACAATATATCCGTCTTACGCGAACCAACAAATAGCATCTCCAACCTAGAAGCATGTTACGGCGTCAATAACCTCCAAAAATCCTCACCTATCAAGCTCATCACCCTCGCACCCGAACTTCCCGGCGCCCTTCCATGCATCCCCCACCTCAACTCCCTTGGCGTAACCGTCTCAATCGGTCACTCAGAAGCAACCTACGAAGAAGCAAAATCCAGCATAAAAGCTGGTGCACAAATGATCACCCACCTCTTCAACGCCATGCGCCCTCTTCACCACCGTAACCCGGGTATCTTCGGTCTCCTCGGCACACCATCGTCGTCTATCCAAAAACCTTACTTTGGTATCATCGCAGACGGCATCCATCTCCATCCGACTTCTATAAAGATAGCATGGAATGCTCACCCAGAGGGCCTCATTCTCGTCACCGATGCCATGCGACTGGCGGGTATGCCCGACGGGACGTATGACTGGACGAATGGGTCGCGTATCGTCAAGCAAGGCCCGCTGCTCACACTCGAGGAGAATGGTAAGATTGCGGGGAGTAGCATTCAGCTTGTCGACTGTGTTAGCAATTTCTTGCATTGGACTGGGGCTAGTGTGCCCGAGGCCCTCAAGGCGGTTACCGAGACACCAGCAAAGATGCTGGGACTGCAGAATGTCAAGGGCACATTGAAAGAGGGCGCGGATGCAGACTTGGTGGTACTAGATCTGCAGGAAACCGAGGGCGGGGAGAAGAAATTGGTTGTGGATGAGGTGTGGAAGTTTGGGGTTAGGGTTTTTGATCGGATGCAGGACGAGTGATTGAAACACATTGTATGTAGATAGCCTCTTGTGTATCAAGACGGGGTTTTATAGATAACGGCATTAGCAGCACAGCATCAGCACCATGTAGTGCATTTGGCATGAATTGATACCCAACTTTGACACGCATCTAGAAACACTCAATGTTGAGGTAGCCCTGGAAGGGTCTTTCCCAGGGGTGTCACACGGTGATATATTTCCTGATTCGGCCAAGAGAGGAAGCGGCGCACAACCAAAAACGTCAAACCTCGTAATGTAAATAATGTTGTTCTTCTATCTAACCATTTTCAATATGAACTCACGCGACGTTTGTACTCGCGGTTCTGAACTCCCACCATCGCAATATATACAAGTTAGCATGACAACAATATACGCAAAACGTGGCCATACAAGGCCTGCTTTCCACCCCCTGAGATGATACGAGAAATGCGGGAAGCTATAAATATAGCATACAGACGTGTTGACTGAGAAGGAAATGAGACGGAAACACCGAAATATGCCAGATATGCGTCGAGACTCGTGAGTCCATGTTAACAAAACGCCGTAGAACACCAAACAGGTGAAATGTATCCAATGCCCGTGAGGAAAGAAGTATTCAAAAATCGTGCTCTAACATCGTTGCAGAAAGAAGGAAATCGCTCTAAACCATGTCCATCGTTCACTTGAACATCCACTGACAGTGACAGGCATCTGGAGGATCCATACGACGCTGAATGTCAGCAGAGCTTTCGCGCTTACTCTTCCTGTCGAATGTGATTGTCTGGGAAGGTTGAGCTGCAAAGTACTCTTCGTAGGTCGGGTCTAATTCTTGTAGCCAGATTCTGATCGGACTGTCATTCGGGCTGGGTGCCGATGTTATCTCGCCGTTGTCGAGTAGAAGCATTTGCTGGCAGTATGCTTGCGGCGAGTCAGGGAGCCGGCGTTCTTCAATCTTGACGATCCGGGGATAAGGTGGCATGCGAGGAGGTGAAGAAGCATCGGAAGCGGAGTCTCTTGCCGCAAGTGATGCTGGTACTGCCAGGTTGACTGGGGAAGGCGTGGCAGACGCCTCAGCAGGCTGTGCAGAGCTTGTAGTACTACTGGCTGACGTTGCTGCTACAGCAACGTTCACGGCACCAGCACCGGTCGGGTCAGGTGTGGGCGTAGGCCATTGAGTAGGAAACGACGTGAAAGCGGCAGCTGTCGAGTTGTCATCAGAGTAGATGTAACCCTCGATGTAGGTATTGTTCCAGTAGCAGTACCAAGGATAGTCGCCAGGTTTGACCTCGAAACGCTGTCGATACTTGTTGTCTTGTCGCTTTGTGAGTCCTGACCCGAAATTGAGCTCGTCGGGCGGCAGGATGACTATTTTGTCGTATCGAGCAGAGAAGTGATAGGCTGGGCCATAGGCTTTGTAGTCGAGGTCGAGCACTAGTTCCATTGGCTTGGTATCGAGTAAAGGAGTCTGAAGGCCGTATAATATGGAACCTTTGGGCACAGAAGGTCCGCTACCTATGGACGCAACTTGCTGAGTCTCACCACCAATGACGGTGTCATTGATAGTTACGACAAGTGGAGCGAAGGTCATCTTGCATGACCATGCAGAATATTGGTTTGCTTGTGTCAAACATCCAGGGTTGCTCTCCTGAGGAATACCCAGAGGAAGTGCGAAAGAGCCGGTTGGCAGTGGTAAGAGCCCAGCGGGTGTTGAGATGGGAACTGCGTCGAAGAGTGATCCATTCTGACCCGTGACTTGAGGTTGACTAGCAGATGTTAGTTGGAAAGATTGTCAAAGAGCCATGAAAACTTACGCTTCCTCATGAGGGTTTTCATTCTCATTTTGGTCGTCGTTGTCGTTGTGTTTCTTGGCAGCAAAGGTACCAATAGCTGCTCCGAGGGCGACAGCAAAGACTAATACGAGAATGAGAACTGCAAGGGCGACACCCATGGGCACCTTTCCCCACAGCTTCCTCTTCCGCCAACTAATCTTGGTCGCGACTGGCTCCGCCTTCTCTGAGAAGTGGTTCTCTGTCGCCAGTAAAGATGAAGAAGACGAGTCAGAGGGTTCCGCTGGAACAGTGCCGCTTTGCACGGAGGTGGAGCTGGCAGGCGCCAAGTTGCCGGTCTGGGTTTCGGGTCTTTGAGGTGGCAAGCGCGCGGGTGTAACCGAAGGTAATAGAGGAGCGGCAGGTAGAGAAGGTGGCGAGAAGGAAGTGGTGCTCAGTGGTGAGACGGGTGATGCGGGGGTGTTGAAAGGATCCTCTGCATCGACCTGGACAGGTGCCGGAATCACACGCGACGATGCGCTTGCCTCAGCTGCCAAAGATGCCTTGGTTGGTCCTTCCTCTGGATATCTCGAGTAGGGGGGAAGCTGCTCAGTGTGACCGTCGGGCCCAATGATGTCCTGCTCCTCGCCATCAGGCCCAAGCACTCTGTGGTAGCCGTTGTTCAGACCCGGAAATCCCACAGGAATAGCTGACTGGACCTGAGGCACGGGTGGCTGGGCTGGCTCGTCTGGTGATTCTTCGTCGGCAATACCGCTTTGCGAGTACATGGCGTAGGGATGTGTCGGGCGTTGCAGTGACATTGATCGATGCGGCTGGCGCTCGGTGGAGCTTGTTGCTACGCTGAGTGGCCGTGCCATTGATAGCTGGGGGTACATGCCATATGGGTGGCTCGGGCCCGTCTCGAACGGGTTCTCCGAGTTGCTGGTCGTTGCGAAGGATCCGGTAGAGCTCACTGAGTCGCGATGTGCGAGGGGCGAGTGGTGGCTGGGTCCACGGTTGAGGGGTGGTCGGCCGTCTTGCGTCATAGAGTCCCGCACTTTGGCCGTGCTGTTTCGCGTTGCCGTCCTTCGCAGGTCCGTCTCGGGGTGTTTCGATGTCGAGGCTTGCCGTTGCGGCGCGTCTGCTATCCGGTCGTGATTCTGGCGGCCGCCCTGCCATGCCTCGCTCGTGTTCGCTGGTCGGAAGCCATCCGAGACCGAGGGCATAAAATCATCCTCGTCCGGATCAACTTCGTAGTCGTCGTCAAAGACATCGGGGTTGCTCGGCCGTCGCGATGGCTCGTCGTTGTTGCTGTTGCGTCGGTCCATGACGCCGAACTGTCCCTGAGCCACAAAGGCCCGTTCCTATCCCCTGGCAGTCCTCCCTGAAAGCGATGCAGTCGTGCCGTCGTATTACTAGCCGATGTAGTGCGCGCTCGGTAGCGATGAATGGCGCGCGTGTAGCGAGTGTGTTGCGAATTGGCGTGTGTGTCGTGTCGTTGAGTTGGTAGCGGAGAGAGGGTGTATCAGGTTTGGCAGAGGTTGTCCTGAGACGCTGGCGCCACTAAAAGACGCACGGGCGAACACCAGCCTTGGAACCTTGGAACCTTGGAAACCTCGATAAGCACCGGTTCGAGAACAGATTCCCTCCACCAGCCTGGACCGACGTTCCAACCTTCCAACTTGCATTTCGCTCATTTCATCATCTCTTCGCACTGCATATCTGTCAACGTTGCTTCGAGTGGTTGCGAGCGCAATTTCGCCCCTCTCCTGTTAATATAGGGCTACTTTGGGCTAACCTGACCTTGCCTCATACGCTCCATCGCCTTTCTATGCCACATTTACACGGACCCAGCGGCCTGCATAACAGCACTGGCTCCCTGATATCCCGCCTATCGTTGTTCTGGCTCTGATGCATCGTCTTTAATACCCGGCTGGGTATTTCTCTACTGTTCGACAGAACATGTTGGACAAAACTATCGGCCACGGCACCCTCCGTTGTCTAAACGATATACAGAGCATATTCCTGCTCCAAGTCGATGCCATTGTGCATAGACAAGTATAGAAGCACATCATACGTGATTGCATAACATACTGTTGCATTGGAAGATGTGGTGATGGTTTCTCTACATTCTTATGTCTCCGCTGAAAGGCCTCGGTGGCAGAATAGACACAATGGTCAGGACCTGAGACGTTTGCAAGATGAAGTTGGTTGGCAGGACAAGACCTGCAGTAGTTGACCTGCAGTACTTATATACTTGTGTACTCTGCATTGGGAAGCACGTGTTGAACATGTCATCTGCAGCGTCATCTACCCAGGATGTCCCAGCCAACTCTTCCAGTTGGATATCAGGTGGTGGCACATGTTCCACTCTACAAAGCGGACAATATTCACCTACTTTGGAAGATGGTAGATGACGCCATGGATTTTGTTGGGTTCTTACGCTATTCTTATATGCTGTGCTAATCATAGGTATCTTCAGGTCGTTCTCAGCTTTCGCAGAAATGGTTCGAGAATGAACAGTCTCGGCCGATCACTACTAATTGTATCTGGTTCTATAAACTTAACTTATAACTCGGGTCTATAGGCAACAGCATTTTGTCCTGTTTCAACGATACCAGATACCCTGCAGTTGCTCAGAGTATCGAAGATTCGCAGCCATCGTGACGCGGCACTATGCACACAGTGGAGGCTGTGTCCTGGTCACGGCGAGTAGTCTTCCTTCAGAGAGTATGAGGTTGCTAGGGGTGACTTGTTGTGATGGGCTGATGGTTCCTGAGTGCCTGACTAGCTAGTAAATCCCTGCATGCCAAGAGCGACGGGGATAGGTGGTCGAGTGTGTACTTGTCCCGCTCGGATGAAAAGGGCCACCTCGCGATATCAGCAGTATGATTGCGTGAAGTCGGGATAAACGCTTAGGAGTATGCGCGTGGTGTCAGAGTGAGGAAAGCGGCATGCATGCTTTTCTTTTTCGTGGCATGAATGCCCCGCTAGCAATACCCACGCCGGTCTTCGCAACGAGACCCTGAATGCACCGAAAAGAATGTACCGAAAATCCCAGGGACTAGCAGACACAACATTCAAGCGCGTGGGCCGCTGTTGGCATTGTTGAGGGCTAACTTCTGCACAAAACCCGTTAATTCTCCCTTTTGAGCCTTGTACCCACGCCGTACTAGCATTGCCACGAAACTGATTGCCGCTACTAAACTGCACCTTGCCATTGTCGCGTAGGATTTACTCGTCAAAGTACTTAAGGCGGTGAACTCCCCTCTCTCGCCAACACACTCCCCTTCTGCTCCCCTCACACCACGCTATACTACTGCAAACATGGCTGCTCGTCCTTCCAACATCGGTATCAAAGCCATCGAGCTTTACTTTCCCAGCCAGGTATGTTGTCTGCGTGGCACGCGCGGTACTCGCCGCCCCCCCCCATAGCCATGCGCCGCTTTGCAACAACGCATGCTAACAAGTCGTCTCCAGTGCGTTGACCAGGCTGAACTCGAGAAGTTCGATGGCGTCTCTCAGGGCAAATACACCATTGGCCTCGGCCAGACCAAGATGTCCTTCTGCGACGACCGTGAGGGTGAGTCTAACATCTTCTGCTCGCGCGACCCTATCCATCCAGAGGCGAGACTGACATGTTCTCCACGCAGACATCTACTCCCTCGCCCTGACCACCGTCACCTCGCTGTTCAAGAAGTACAACGTCGACCCCAAGAGCATTGGTCGTCTCGAAGTCGGTACCGAGACTCTGCTCGACAAGTCCAAGTCTGTCAAGTCTGTTCTCATGCAGCTTTTCGAAGAGTCTGGCAACTACAACATTGAGGGTGTTGACACCGTCAACGCATGCTACGGTGGAACCAACGCTCTCTTCAACTCTGTAAACTGGATGGAGTCGTCGGCCTGGGACGGCCGCGACGCCGTTGTAGTTGCTGGAGACATCGCGCTGTACAAGAAGGGCAATGCTCGCCCGACTGGTGGCGCTGGATGTGTTGCCATGCTCATTGGTCCTAACGCGCCCATTGTCATGGATGCCGGCCAGCGTGGCTCCTACATCAGGCACGCATACGACTTCTACAAGCCCGACTTCACCAGCGAGTACCCTGTCGTCGACGGCCACTTCTCCGTTCGCTGCTACACCGAGGCTGTCGACGCCTGCTACAAGGCCTACAACGAGCGCGAGAAGACTCTCAAGTCGCAGCAAAATGGAAACGGCGTCAACGGCAGCAGCAAGGAGCTCGAGACCGCTCTCGACCGCTTCGACTACATGGCTTTCCACGCCCCTACTTGCAAGCTTGTAGCCAAGTCATACGCACGTCTGCTCTACAACGACTTCCTCGCCAATCCCGAGAACCCCATCTTCGCCGAGGTCCCCGCTGAGCTCCGCGACATGGACTACGCTACCTCCGTCTCAGACAAGACTGTAGAGAAGACCTTCATGGGTCTCGCTAAGAAGCGCTACGCGTCTCGCGTCCAGCCCAGCATCCAGGTCCCCACCCAGTGCGGTAACATGTACTGTGGTAGTGTCTACGGTAGCTTGTGCAGCTTGCTTGCCAACATCAGCAGCCAGGATCTCGAGGGCAAGCGCATCGGTATGTTCAGCTACGGAAGTGGTCTGGCCTCCTCCTTGTTCTCCTTCACTGTCAAGGGCAACACCGAGAACATTGCGAAGCAGCTTGACATTCAGAACCGTCTCGAGAAGAGGCGTGTAGTCGCCCCTGAGGTCTACGACGAGGTAAGTCCATGAAAATCCTTCATTTTTTGCCAAGTGTCCCACTAACGGATCCTTTCAGATGTGCAACCTCCGTGAGCAGGCTCACCTCCAGAAGGACTTCACTCCCAAGGGAAGCGTTGACACCATTGTTCCCGGCACCTACTACCTTACCGGCATCGACAGCATGTTCCGCCGTTCCTACGAGGTCAAGCAGTAGACGACATGTCTGCCACATTATACCCCCACCACAACTTTATTTCTTCCTTCGCTTGCATTCTGAGCATTTGTCGGAGTCATCTCCATGATTCAGCTTAGACTCAAAAGGTTGCATCATTTCACACTCGGCGTATGGGATAGTGGTCCCACTTTGTTGACCGTAGGATAGTGGGAAGACGTGGTATCACGATATTACGATGGACGACAGGGATGGGAAGAGATTTATACAGGTATATTGTCACGATCTGCATGGTGGCATGACAAGAGTTTTGCCGCCTTAATATTGGCTTCTGATCGAAGCATCGACACTGTAGATAGACTAATACGATGTTCAAACTTGTAACATGGTCCCACAGCAAGGCAAAAGACTTATCCAAACCGACATCGGCATTGGCATCCAAGACTCTCCTCATTAAACTTGAATCTCGTTGTATTATACTAATCCTGTTGTGGAATTACTCGACTTGACCAAGTGTGAACGAATCGAACCTCGGCTCAAACTTCAGCTCCGCGATTACCGCCCCGCTGCGAACCTGGAAGCTTAGGACAACAACTCAGCTTCTACTTCTTACCCCAGAGCGACCTATTGTCTTTGTAGTTTCGCAACCTGAATATTATTTGTTTGACATCTGCTATCAACATGGGCAAAGAATTGGGTCCCGGCGTCGGTTTCGAGTTTCCTTCGTATGAGGTGAAATGGCTCAAGCGTGACCTGCTGCTTTTTGCGAACAGCATTGGCGCTACCTACCCAGATGAGCTACACTTCCTCTACGTAAGTACAATCCAGCAGAGTTAACACGCACCTCTAGCACCTTCACGCGTACAATGCGACATACTACGCGATAACTCTAACACGCCCTGCAGGAGCTCCATCCCTCCTTCGCCGCCTTCCCGACCTACCCTATCATCCTCCCGTTCAAGCACACGGACCAAGAAGTCATTGACTTCTACGCGCGCAGCAATGCAGAGCCTATTAAAGGTGTTCCCAAATTCGACACTAAGCACATCCTCGATGGCGAGCGCAAACTTCAAGTCCTCAAACCACTCCCTGTGACGAGCGACGGACGCAAGTTTGAGATTAGGAGCAAGGTGCTTGGTGTTTACGACAAGGGCAAGGCTACCGTTGTGGAGACGGAGCAACGTCTTGTTGATGCTGAGAGTGGAGAGACCTATACCAGGGCTGTAGGCAGTGGCTTCTACGTTGGTCAAGGCGGTTGGGGTGGACCGAAGGGTATGTCTTTCTCCTGAAGTCCTCACGGTGCTCATGGTGTAGAAAACACGGACAACGTTGAACTGACACACCGACAGGACCCAAACAACCCAACTACCCTCCACCCTCACGCAATCCTGACCAGACCCACGTTCACCAGACCACAATGGAAACAGCGCACCTGTACCGTCTGAACGGCGACTACAACCCCCTCCATGCCGATCCCGAGCCAGGCAAGAAAATGGGTTTCGGTGGCCCCATCATCCACGGTCTATTCTCCTGGAACATGTCTGCACACGCCATCTTGAAAGCATTTGGTGGCTCGAAACCCGAGAACCTGAAAGAGTTCCAGGCGAGATTTGCGGCACCTGTCAAGCCGGGAGACAAGCTGATCACTGACATGTGGAGGACTGGAGATAAAGATGCTGATGGGTTCGAGGAGATCAGGTTCATCGTAAAGGTCGAGGGAGGGAAGACTGTTCTCACCAATGGACGCGCGCTTGTCAAGTGTGAGGGTCAGAGCAAGGCGAAGTTGTAGATTGATATGTATTTACTGCGCCGAGTTGTCTAGTCTGTATGAAGGGCATTTAGGCGGCGATATATAGGAATCTTGCCAATTTCTACTCCAAACTCACAGGCTTAAAATTACATACTACATCTGAACAGCACCTCGGCAGAATGTCTGCCATGCATCGAATGCGCCGAGATAGGCTAGATCCTCCGTCATCACACAGCATGCCGCAGACAGATCAATCTGATAAGATGAACGTGCAGCTCACGTGCGCTACAGGGATGCTGTTCTGCCGCGTCAGGGACCGAACTGAAGCACGAAACGCAAGACCATTTCGAGGTCGGTAAGCACGGCAGAAATGGCTCTTCGATATTTGCCTGATGAAGTAGGCCAAACTTGCACGAAGTTTCAACCCCAGCCGCGATGAAACACACTCCGAATTGAGAAGTTTAGTTGGTGGAAGGAGACTTGTTCTATTCACCTCTTCTTCCAAGCTTCGTATACGGCTACTTAGTCTTGCTCGGCGTGAACTCTACTTCTCCTGTGTACAAAACGACACTCGTCTTTCCCGTATTCCGAGTACTTACCTGTCGTCCATTACAGCGATCGGCACGCGCGTGCGACTCTCTACCAGTTGCGCATCTTCGCAACCAACATCGCGATGCTCTTCACCCTCCCATCTACGCTTCTCCCAACGCTCCTCCTCCTCTCCACCCCAACAACCGCCTACAAACCTCTATCAGACACCTTCCTCCGCGCAATACCCTCCCCAGACACTGCGATCGACCCCAAAACCGGCCCTCTCCTCGCTCCTCTCCTCATCCCCCGTGTCCCCGGCACCCCAGGCCAACTTCTCGCCCAACGACACCTAGTCTCCTACTTCCAGACCGAATTACCAGCCTGGAACATATCCTGGCAAAACAGCACATCCACGACCCCAACATCGCGGGGCGCAGAGCTGCCTTTTGCGAATCTAGTCGTCAAACGCGAGCCACCATGGGTCAGCGAAGGGCAAGCCAACCTCCTCACGCTGGTCGCACACTACGATAGTAAATTGCAACCTAGCGGGTTCATCGGTGCGACGGATAGTGCGGCGCCATGCGCCATGTTGATGCATATAGCCAAAGTAATCGACCCATATATCCAGCGCATGTACGATGAGATGTCTGCATTACAAGAGGGAGGAACCGTAGACATGGACATGGGGATCCAGATTCTATTTCTTGACGGGGAAGAAGCGTTTGAGAACTGGAGCGATACGGATTCACTTTACGGGTCGAGGTACGTTTTCCATGTTCATTTTCTCGACTAGAAATATCCCCTTTTTTTTTCCACAAACTTGCATGTACACAGTACTTACTAAACACGAAATCTCTTTTAGATCTCTAGCACAGCAATGGGCCTCGACGTCCAACCCCCCTTCTGCAGCCTCCAAGTTCTACCAAAATCGTACTCCCTTGTCTCAAATCTCCCTCTTCTTGCTCCTCGATCTTCTTGGTAGCGCGGCCCCGACGGTGCCATCCTACTTCCCCACAACGCACTGGGCATACCGCCACCTATCAACAATAGAATCACGACTCCGAGATCTTAAACTCCTCGAATCGCAGCCTGGTTCACCTTTCTTACCAGATGCAAATGGGACCATGGGTGGTGGCGGGATCTCAGATGATCATTTGCCGTTTATGGGTAAAGGCGTGGAGATATTGCATGTTATCCCTAGTCCGTTTCCGAGGGTGTGGCATACCATGGAGGACGATGGGGAGCATCTGGATATGAAGACTGTCAGGGATTGGTGTAAGATCGTAGGAGCATTTGTGTTGGAGTGGTTGGATATGATGGAGGTGTGGGATGAGCCCGGCGAGGAAGCAAATCAGAGAAGGTGGTTAGCGTAGAAGGAGAGCAAAGGCGATATAAAGACAACAAATAATGTTAGAGCCAAATCATAGCGGCATAAATGAACAAATGAACTTGATGTCTCATATCTTTATGTACAAAAAGGCTCGCCCATATCCGTCATACCACCCCGATCCATATCCCTTTCGATAACGATGCGTATGAATTCATGTCGTTAGTATGCCGAACGCGCAGAAAGACGTGCAAACACACGCGCATAATGCACAAAGAATGATAAATAAACAGCCTTGACTTGACAAAGTACCATTAGAACTCCCACATGGAAAAAAACGAAAGCAGTGCACCAGCGCAATGCAAACCCATAGCCCAGCAAAGAAACATCGTGTCTACTGTAGCGTGGGAAACCGCAGCAACTTGAACTCATTCTGTAAAATCTTGTAATCGTAATCAATCGTGCGCTATGTCAGGTCCTCGGCGTTGTCGTCGAAAGACATGAGGCGCACAGGCTGTATCGTTGTGACCATGCGTGAGGTCAAAGACAGCAGCGACCGATGGGGCAAATTAGTGAAGGACTTGAACACAGTCCAAGTCCTGTGTGGTAGGCTCCGGGTATCCAAGAAAAGACTCGTATGAATAGTACCGCCATGTACTGATAAGATAGGACAAAGCAGAAACTTTTTTCAGGTCGTGGAGGAACCTAGGATAGAGAAGAGCAGGCTGCGTATGTGAGCATATGCTCATCATACATCGAATTGGCCATGGTTGAAGACGTCGTGTTCGTTGCTGGGAACGATGCCGGACATTCTGTCTCCGCGCCCCGCAGGCCTGTCCCAGTTGACATCGTCCCCCTCGTCTTCATCCATTCGCTCTAGAGCGTCGTTCCTGTGCCTGTCACTACCGAATTGTTGCTCCATTGTACTCTGGTCGGTGAAGGTAAAGCCGGCAAAGTTTGCTTGCATAGTTGGTGACAGCGGTGTGGAAGCAGGGTTGACGCCTGATGCCAGAGCGGCTGCGCGTGCGTTCAAAGAACCGGGGCCGTTGAGAGCATTGGTAAACTCAGGGTCGAAGTTGGAAACATCCAGCTCTCCCTTGAGCTTGGGCTTGAATGGTGGTACCACGTTCTTCTTACCCAGAGCTTCCCAGTCGATGTCGGCAAAGAAGGGGTGAGCCTTGAGCTCCTCGGCATCGCGTGTTGCGCCAAGCCTGTGCTTGGGGTTCCTGTTGAGAAGTCCCTTGACGAAATTCCTACCTTCAGTGCTGAGGGCGTCCCTAGGAAACCTGACCTTTCCGAATGCGATGTTCTTGTACATTTGCTGTGTATCCTCTGCGTAGAAAGGACTCCAGCCGCAGCACATCTCGAATACTAGTACACCGAGCGACCAGAAATCGACCATCTTTGTGTAACCGTGCTCGTCCAGGAGGACCTCGGGTGCGAGGTACTCTGTGGTTCCACAGAATGTGTTGGTCGTTGCGTTCTCGGTAAGGTTAGCCTTGGACAGACCGAAATCACAAAGGGCGATGTGACCATTGGCGTCCAGGAGGATGTTCTCGGGCTTAAGGTCTCGGTACACGATGTTGTGTTCGTGCAGGTGTTGCAGGGCTAGGATAAGCTCTGCAATGTAGAACTTGGCACGGCCTTCCTGGAAACGGCCTTCTCTTTGAAGATGCCAGAAGAGCTCGCCTCCAGACATGTAATCAGTGACAAAGTATAGATCTGATGGTGTCTGGAAGGAGAACTTGAGTCCAACAATGAATGCAGAGTCAGCCATGGCCGTCCGGACTAGGATGTTACGTTCTCCAAGCGTGTGGGCAACCTCCTTCTTCTGCACGATGACCTTCTTCGACAGAACCTTCATGGCGTAGATGCGGCGAGTGTCCCGCTTGCGTACTTGGAATACTTGGCCGAATGTGCCCTTTCCGATGAGCTTGAGAATCTCGAAATCCTCAGGACCGTAGTGCTTCTTCTCAACTTTTTGGAAGTTTAACTTGAGGTGGATCTCTCCAGTGACAACACCTCCCTCGCCCTCTCGAGGCTCTAGCGGGAACCAGCCGTCGTATGGCTCACTGTATTCGACTAGGTTTGGGCAGAAGCGGACGTGGCCAAGGAAAGCCTCGCCGTTGGCCCGGTCATAAACGGAGACGTCAATTTCGGCATGGTCACCCACAACGTCACTACGATTGTTAGCATCACCATACATTGAAAATAATAACAATAAGCAGTCACTCACAACATGGCCTCGTGCTCCCAATTCGGGTTCGTTACTTCCTCTAGGGACCCATTCTCCCTAGGATCTGAACTGTGCCCGCTGTTGCTGCTCTGTCGGCTCTTCATGGGGATGGCCATTGGACCGCCCATCTGGCTCTCGGTCCGCTTCATCTGCATAGGCGGTCGCTTGGACTCATCGTGCCTAGGTCCATCTGAAATGTACTCGGCCCATTGGAATTGACAGACAACGTAGGGGTCTGTGCTAGGCCGTAGACCCCTTCCTTCGGAAATTGTGACTGCAAGCTTGCCCTTGGGCGCCACGACGGGGGCCGTCTTGGTCTCCTTTGAATCGTCGGATGCGTTTGAGGCGCGTGATAGGTTCGAGGGCTTGGGCTTTGATTCTTGTGAGCGGGTGCGCGGTGTCTGGGGAGGTGTAGCCTGTTGCAACGGCGCAAAGTCGCCTTGCGTTAGCTTCTCCGTTTCACCAGTCAACTGCGAGGTTGAGGGAGTTCGGGAAGAGGCACTGGGGGTGGGGCTGGGCAGCATTTTGGGGTGGGTGGGCGACTCTTGCTCCTTCTCTCGGGGGTCCGACACTTGTTCAGTGACGGGTGCGGGGGAGGGGTTGACCGTGGATGAGGATTTCCGCGAAGGCATAAGAGAATTACGAACCTGGCCAAAGTAACTGTGCAGAATACCCGGCAGTCGCTTGTCCGTCGGGTCGGGCTTGGGTGTCGTGGCACCGGGCGGCGTGGAGCTGGTGGAGCCGATCTGGTCGTGTCCGTCGTCGTTGTTGTCGTTGGTTGCTCTGTGCGGCGTTAGCAGTGATGACGAGGGCACCGAGAATCGAGGCAATCGGGCAATCAAGGCAATCAGAGCAATCGCCAGGCAAAAAGACGTAAAAGTGGCGGTGAGGGCGTGGTGAGGAGACGGGTGATGGGAGGCAGAAATAACGACAGACTTCGCCCAGCTGCATATGACCACGAGCAATGGCCAGCCGGGGCCAAGCTAAGCGATGGGCATGGTGTGGTGTGGTGCGTGGCCAGACGCAAAAGCGCATTCTAGAGGGCATGTTGAGCTTACCGGGTCATTGCTTGCCTCAGCAGGTCGGCAGCGCCAGAGGAGGCGTTGCCTGTCGTGTGTTGGGCCATGGTGTTGGTCTGGCGGGTCGAGGGCGCAGTGCCGACGTTGAGCGTGGAGAGGGTGGGAACAACACTGCTCGACTTGTTGCGTAGGTGATGGCGGGGTCGAATCGTCTTGGTCGAACTCTCCGAGGCGCGAGAGACTAGTCCGGGACGTTGCTGGAGGGCATCGACAGCGGAGCCTTTGGTAGTAGGAATCTTGGTGGTTTCCCGGAGGCTGCGTCGAGACGGGCTACTCGAGTACGTGTCGCTTGTGGGAGATGTCGAGAGCGAGCTGTCTGCCGGGTCCGCAGTTGGGCGTGAAGTCATAATAATCCCTTGGGTCCTGGCCTGCTGCTCCGAGCCGCCTTAGCCCTAAACAAGCGCGTTGCAACGACTGTGCGAAAACTCTGCTCTAGCACTTTAACGGGGCAGGCAGTCCGAGTTCTTCCAGGCTTGAGGCGCGCGGGCGGTGTACAGCGGTACTGGGTAGACGTGTACTCTGGGACCGTGGGATGGCCTGGGGGGTCTCTCGGGAAGTGGAAAATGCTCGAGCGTGCAGTCGATGATAGCAGCGTCACCGGCAAACGAGATAGGCAGGCGCCGTGTAGCTCACTGAACATGAATTCACTCAGGCGGGCCTTGATATCAATATCTATATCTACTACCTGCGTGATTGCATTGCACCATCCGTCCACCTAGGAGCGCCGCCGACGGTCGTCCAGCCCAGTCTCCTGCCGCCCGTCGTCGTCCTCCGGTTTTCACCGCCACTGTCATCTGTCTCGGCGAGCAGCATGCGCAAGTAGTCAACCAGAACCACACTTGAACAGGCCGTCCGTTTGTGTGTGTGCCAAGCATGTGCAACGCGCTGACGTAGTTATCCACTACCTTTGCTTCTGCCGACATGCCACTGGGCCGCCATCTCCCAAACCGGCCGGGAAGAGATACAGTCCCTGGCTAACATGTCGGCCAGGGCCCCTTCACTGCCAATCATCGCCTCCACTGCGCCGTGTCGGGTGGAGCACGACTATCCTCACATCAATGCTCAAGCCATTGCCTGCATCAAGCTCCAAGACTGTCGTTTGAAGAAAAGCCTCAACGCTCCACCCGTGATGCCACTGGCACATTAGCGACATGTGGCCCGATAGCACCAGATAGCGTCTTTGTAGCTAGGCGTCTGATTACTATCTGTAGTACAATGGTAGCATACTCGACTGGTTTACAAACTGCCCAAGCAAGCATGCAGCTATAGCTATAGCAAGGACATGGTACTCTTTTGACGTGCAATCCAAGTCCATCACTTCTGCTACATGTAGAAAGAAAAGCACAAGACTGATAGCCCAAAAGACTGCGACTCCTTCAGCACACGTCTTAGTGCTGCATGTACCTTGCTAGATACGAAGTGCTCCGTACTCGATACTTGACAAGCGTCCTGCATCATGGCTGTGTTTGGGGCCTGTCGTGGCTACACAGTGAGTGGTCCTGCCTAAGCAAAGGGTCCTCACGATTGCCCCAGCTCGGCCAAACAGCCGGCCCGTGCGGCCTATTTGCATTTCTTACTTAGCAGCGCTGCAACCACAGGCACGCGCGATACCGAAGCTCATAGCCAACACCATACCGCTGCCGCGCATCCAACCACCATGTCTGACCGCGAGTTTGGCGGCAACGACGACCTGTCGCTGCCCAAAGGTCGGCATTTTCAAACTTCAGCCGCCTCGTGAATGCTAATGCGCCCCAGCGACCGTCCAAAAGATTGTTCAAGACATCCTCGCCAGCGAACCTGGCATGACGTTTGCCAAAGATTCGCGCGACCTCTTGATCGAGTGCTGTGTCGAGTTCATCACGCTCATCTCATCTGAAGCCAACGAAATCGCCGAAAAAGACGCCAAGAAGACAATAGCCTGCGAACACGTCAAGGCTGCCCTGGAAGAGCTCGACTTTGGCGACTACGTCCCCGCAATCCTCGAGGTGGCTCAAGACTATAAGAAGCAGCAGCAGGTATGTTTGCGAGGGTACAAGTTACGCGACCACTAGCTAACGCGGGGCAGAATCGCGAAAAGAAGCAGACCAAGATTGAGCAGAGTGGCATGACAGAGGAACAGCTCATCGCTGCGCAGGAAGAGCTCTTCAAGAACGCTACGAGCAAGTTCAACGCGCCGCCTGCGCAGTAGCGTTGCTTTCTGTGAACGACTTGTACGAATAATGGCTTCAGTTGCGCGGCGTTTGATGGGCATTGCGAAGGCGCGAGGCAGGCGTTTGGCTTAGATAAGGGATACATCAAGGGCATTTAGGGTGTACGGGCCGGCATGTTTCAAGCATGATAATAGGCGTTGTCCGACGGAGACTCAAGCCTGGGAGGCTACAGCACGAAGCTCGCAGTTGTCGCGACAGCACATAGTTTATTCTATCCGCATTCATCCACCTGTACTCACTTCCTCCTTGGTGAATGCGCGTTCAGAGTAAGACGCGCATGTGTGTCATGGCCAATGACGTCGGGCTTGGGCCCACACCCCGCGTGGCCAGTAGCCGCATCCCACCTACAGCGTTGCCCACTACTGTCTATCTCCCGAACCACTACCCATAGCACAACTCCACAAGCCCCTACCTTTCCCAGCTATACACCATGTCGGGTCTCGAGAATGCGCTTTTTAACCTCAAGGTCAGCTGGCTTGTGTTTACCCTGACAAACTCTAAGCTCACACTCATCAGTTCACGGCCAAGTCGCTGAACAGGCAGGCGCTCAAAGCTGGCAAGGAGGAGCAGGCCGAGAAGACCAAGCTGGAAAAGGTGGACAACGTGTTTCTCACGCGAAAGACGTCGGACTAACAACCATGCCAGGCGATGAAACAAGGCCACAACGACATTGCACGCATATACGCCGGAAACGCCATCCGCAAGCAGAATGAGAAGCTCAACCTTCTACAACTTGCCTCGCGCGTCGATGCCGTCGCAGGCCGCGTGCAAACAGCAGTCACAATGCGACAGATTACAGGCAACATGATGAAGGTCAACCGGAGTCTAGACGTGGCTATGAAGTCTATGAGTCCAGAGAGGGTACGCGACACTCACGACTACTTGCTCCATGACCGCTGACAATACTTAGATTGCCTCCGTCATGGTCGATTTTGAGAAGCAGTTCGAGAACGTAGACTCCGCCACCGAACTCTATCAGGACATCACCTCCTCCGCGACCGCAGTCGGCACACCACAAGAAGACGTCGACCGCCTGATGGCGCAGGCAGCGGACAAGGCCGGCGTAGATCTACAGCAAGATCTCCAAGAAGCCACACCGGCTAAGACCAAAGTTGGGCCCACTGAACAAGAAGAGGAAGCGTTTACCGAGAGGCTGCGCGCTCTAAGGAATTGAGATACAAACAATAGTCTCTTGCGGGGTTCCCAGGGTGTATTGGAGTTTGGGCGCATTACATGCAAGCGAATTGTTGGGAACACTAGGATAGTTTTGAAGCGGAATACTTTGCTCATAACTACCAATTTAGTCAAGGATCAAACCGACCTTCATCCTTACCTGGTTGTTGTTACAGTATATGTCACACCGCCTACACATCACCACCCCATCTCTGCGTATTCGGTATCTCGCCGGTCGCTAGTGAAGGCCGCCAACGAGGCACGCACGCAAGACCGGTTTCTTTCGGAATCTCGGGAGACGGCTTCGGCTAAGTTGCTCGTTGCTCAGCCGCGTTTACCTTTCTACCCGGTTGATATAAACATCATGAGTCGTGAATTGCCCACTCTTGTAGGCATGTCCTAGCTACAGACTTTCAATTTCTCTCATCCCTAATCGGCAAGCTCATGCAGAACTAGATGCGCTGTCGTTTTAACTTTTGGTTTCATCGAGTGGTTTTGCTCTCATCGTAGCAAGATTATAGTAAGAGAGGGGTGCAGTGTCCTAGCTCAACGTGCCCCGGATCGTCAGCAGTGTTCGGGTGCCCCACGATGGACCCTGCATTCAAGTTGGCATGGCATGCAACATACATACACATATCTCAGCCGATGCTACCCATCGCCAACTTGCCTACCAAAGTCCGATGATGCAGGCCTCAAGGATATGGACCAATCAATGGGCGCAGTGCCCACTCGGCTGCTCTTGCTCCGACGTCGGTGTTCATTCGCCGGAGAACTTTCAGCTAAACTCCGATATCTTTCGTCAGCGCCTGGTGAATCAAATCCCTCAACAACAGGTGCTCTTTTGTTGTGAATCTTCGCGGCATATTCGTCGCACTCGAGACGCACGACGGAAGGGAATTTACCAGGAACGACAAGCGTAAAGCGCCCGCGAAAAGAGTAAGATTGGAGAGCTGAAGCATTCACATGCAGCACAGAAAGAGAGAGTTTATCAGTCATCGGAGGAAGCTGCAATGGGGGAAGAACAAGCCAGCGGTGTGAAGACACCTGCAAGCACAGAGCATGGAGAGCAAACTACCGTACCCAAGGTCGCAACACCTTCTATTGCAATTCTCAAACCCAAGCTCCCGCTGCCTGCGATGCGCACACCCACCACCTCGACCGACACACCTCGCGAATGGAACACCTCCAAGCTCGGTCTACGCATCGGCGTTGATGCTCTCTCAGCAGGTGCAGCGGGAGTACTTGTCGCACCCATTATAACCATGATCGATAAAGGCATCATCGAAAACGCAAGTGGCAGGAACACATTAGGTGCTAGTCTGAAGAAGAGTGCCGTGGAGTTGTTGGCGAAACCCCACCGCTTTGTGGCAAGCAAGCCTTTCGTCCTCATCTTCAGCCTATACTTTGGAACATACTTTACGGCGAACAGTATCGATACCGTTTCCGCGACCGTGAAGCCCACACAAGGATTACAGGAACAAACAAGTGGAACAAGCAAGTTTCTAGCTACGAGTACAGCGAATCTGGCGTTGTGTTTGTACAAGGACAATCAGTTTACGCGGCTTTTTGCTGCGCCGGGGTCGTCTCCTCGACCTGTTCCTTTGCCAACTTTTGCGCTCTTTACAATTCGCGATTGTCTTACCATTTTCGCTTCTTTCAACTTGCCGCCGCTGCTTGCGCCCAAGGTGGACGAGCGCATGGGCGAGGAAGTGAAGAAGTATGTTGGTGCGCTGAGCGTCGCGCAGTTTGCTACGCCTGCTGCGGTTCAGATTGTGAGCACGCCATTGCATCTGCTGGGTCTTGATCTGTATAACAGGCCTGATGCTACGGTGGGTGGTGTTGACGGGAGGGCCAGTCGCGTTGTGAGGGATTGGGCCAAGAGTGCTGCGGCGAGGATCTGTCGTATTGTCCCTGCATTTGGTGTTGGCGGTGTGGTCAATACCAAGGTACGGAAGAATATGATGGGAAGGCTTGAAGAGTAGGAAGTTATGAGGATGTGTGGTTGAGGAAGAGGAAGGTCGATGACTTCAACCTACACATCTAACCGCAAGATGACCCCGTTTCCGAATACAAAAACGACAATATCTTAATACCGTAATCTCCCACCGTCATTGCGATTTGTAGGCTCAAGATGGCACGATGTGTACGAATTATGGATAAAGATACGGCAGCAACTCGTCTTGGACATCATATGGCGTCAAAAGTTTCTTCAAGTAATCTCATCTCGGAATATCAACATAGTATGGCGTTATCGGCGTTCCAGCGACGACTGAACACAAGCAATAATAGAGCACACTATCACACTTCACTCCATGTCTTAACCTGACACTTCTCTCTAGACCGGTTTATGCTGCAACGTTCCACTGACATTACGCAGGGTTCCCGTACCATGGACCTGAACAAGAACGATACATTATGCTGTGCTGGTACGAATCTGTGCTTCACGTATTCGCATTCCGCAATGCCTTGCGATTTTACGGTCGTGTTGCAAGGATGTCGCTCCTACCAGCGGTGACATCATCGTTGACTCAATATTTGGAACGGTCTCGACCGTTGTTGCTATTCCTGGGTGTGGCTGCATGGCAAATCTCGGTTCCTACATCTCGCATGTTCGCACGGATGTTCATGTAAAACTACCGTGCGCTCGTTCATGGCATTTTAGCCGTTCACCACAAACTCGCCCGGACCTGGTAGCTGCGGATGATTTATGCGATCGCAGAAGGTACATGGCACAAGAAAGACATAGTCAAAGACGTCTCCTGCTGGTAAGGTTGATGTGATCAGATGTCAAGAGAGAGGAAGTCGTGGGGTGGTTTTATAAAACATTAACATCCCATTTGTAAAAACCTCTACATTAGCGTAATGGTATTCGAGTCTACGCCTTCTCATTCCCAATACTCGCGCTTCCACCCCCTCTAGCTTCAGCAAGAAGTTGCGTGCCAACAACCTCTCCTGTACTCTTGCTCTTAAACACACCTGAGATGGAGTATAGTCCCATAAAAGGCTCATAAACATATTCCTCTTCCCACACCTCTTCGCCCTTGAACGTCACACTCTCGTTGAAGCCATTGAACCTCATGTTCTTGAGGTAATCACCCACGATGGAAGTTGCAGAGATGGTACCGGAATTGTCGAGAGTTTGCTCTACGATATCACCGTTTTGAGCAAGGACGCGGCGCTTGTTTGTGTTGCCTTCAAAGTTGTTGACGGAATAGAGGATGTTGTTGCGGAGGTCCCACTGGTGGAAATCAATGTCACGCTTTGCCTTGGCTTGTGCAGTGTCGTTGCCTCCTCCAGTAAGTCCGCCGGCGACGTCACCAACAAGTCCAGCGGTGTCGTTGATGATGGATCCGAGGCCGTTTCCGAGCTCCGCAATGACGGGGTTGAGGTCAATGCTGTCCAATACGTCGCTGACCATGGATACGAGGTTACCAAGACGTGCTTCGAGGTAGACCTTGGCTGTGACGTTTTGGATAAGGAGTGAGACTTTGTCGACAGAAAGGTCTACTCCGGCGTTGAACTGCAGCAACTGGAGTACCTGTGCGTCGAGGTTGATCTTCGCAGTCAGGTTGTCGACACCAATGAAAATTTCGCCAACGTGAACTGATGCGTTAAGCAAGACGTCCGGTATGGGGTTCAAGGCGGAGATGTTGGACGAAGATGTGTTTTCCGTCTCGTAAAGTACGGCAGTTGGGTCACCGTCATCTCGGACATCGAGCTTGTAGCCACTGTAGCCATCAGAGGCAGATTGACAAACGGCGAGGAATGGCAACGAAAGGAGTGTAATAGTCGGAAGTATCGACAACATCTTGACTGGTGGTGAAAGAGAGACTGGTCGGAGGTCGACGTGCTGCTGAGGGAGCGAAGGGAAGGAAGCAACAACTCGATGGATGTCGTTAATCGACAAGAGACGGGCGAGCAACGGTTAACAGTACCATCGGGTGTAGTAGTGAGTTGCCTGCAAGGATCATTGCATAGAACGATTACCCGTCATCCACCACACCAGCAAAAAAGGAAATTAAGGAGATCATTTTGGCACATGCCATTCGACAGAAAATCTAGAAAACCGGTAGTTCGCACGCGAATCAGGATTTCTAGAGGTTCATGCCTTAGCATTACTCCAGATGGCGCGGTCCAGCCTTGTGGGAATCCTTGCTATGCCTGCATAGGGGGCTTTACCCGAGATTGCCGTTATGGGAACCCTTGTAATACCACATGTGCAGGATTGCCGTCTCCGCTGATTTGCAACGGGATTCCTTCGCTTTAAACATTACCTGGGCCGTGTTTACTGATACTTGTACGGCTGTCTCGCTCGTTACTATCGCTGTCGTTGTTGCTGTCGCCACCCACGCCAACATGTCGTTCTCTATCCGCCTACTGCTCATCAGCATTTTCCTTACCTTTGCAACACTCATTTCTGCGCAAACGACATCGGAAGCACCATCAACCCCACCACCTACCAGCACTATCCCGCCGCGAGGTAATGGAACTTCCACCAGACCACCAGAGGTTGCACCTACAGGATCTTCACCCCCGGATGTGCTTCTCCGTGTCCCTGAACTGCACGTAGGCAGAATCGAACTAGGTGTCGAGAAGCTTCAAGCAGATCTTAACCTGAATGCCAAGGTTGCCGGTCTCGTTCAGATCAACGCTGGTGTCCAAGTCTCAATCGAGAAGGTCAACATCACTATTGCCGATGTAGATGTTGAGCTTGAGTTGATCGTACGATTGGGCAACCTTGTCTCAATCGTTGAGCGCGTTTTCGATTCTTTGGACCTGAACCCTCTCCTAATCGGTTTGATCGGAAACGTTACGAACTTGGTTGGAGAAGTAATCGGCGCTGTAGATGGTCTTGTAAGTGTCCAAATGATTCTACAATATGGAGGAAACTAACAGCAAGTAGCTGGGATCGATTACGCAAAACGGAAAGACGCTGAACTTCTTGGTTGATAACCTCGGTAACATCGTCCAAGAGGTCGTGGGAACCGGTGGAGACGCCCTCCAGCAGATTGTCGGAAATTTCAAGGTAAGCATCATCATACTATTCTATGCAACGATAGCTAACCGGAATTACAGCTCAACATGACCGAGATCACTGGTAGCGCAAAACAAGTTGGTCAGGGACTCACACAAAAGACCTTCTCATACGAGCCTCTCAATGCGCTTGTCGACATCGTGACCAACACTGCCGGCCAAGTTGTATCGGCCGTAGTTCAAAAGAAGAACGGTGGTGGTAGTGGTGGCGGCGCATCATCTACAGCTTCGGCTTCCGGTACCCCAATGCCAGTTAGCTTGCCTGTGAGCTCAGCCACCAGCACTTCGTAGGCGCATATAGCATCGCGATCATGGCTTAATCTAATGCATTCTTGATATCGTTCATGCAGTGGTGAATCTGTGATGCCTTATCTCACCAAAGCATTGATATCTAGGTAAAGCTGGGATGTGCGAACGACAGAATGAAGACGGCGTGAAATGTTACCTAGGTATGATGGTGATTAATACATATAAAACCGACGCATATCTGAGAAGCCATCCACAAACACCTAGGTATACTTGATACATGACTCACATCCAGCTCTGCAGTTCGAAGTAACCCAAGCTTCTATATGCACACTCGATATTGCTCCCGCTTGACCGGTGCTTATTCCACGTTGTCTTCATGTCGGTACTTTCTAGCATGTAATGGAATTTCTGACTGTCTGTCCCAAATCCGGATAACGCTTGATCACCATTTTGAGTCAGAATGCCACTCACTGATGATAGATTCAAGAGGGCACTCGGCTCGAGTGGTGTCAAAGCGCGAGTTAGTCCTTGTATAGCCTCAGAAGATACGGACTTCACCGCCATCAGCTTGGAAAGCATAGTAGAACGGAACAAGAATACGGAATGTCAAGTCTCTTTATTTGAGGTAGATTTGTGACTGTAGCAGGGTAACATGAAGTCTGAAGTAGTTCTTTTTGATGATGCTGCCCTCGAACAGTTGGTCGAGAGGTTCCTCCAGATAATGCTCAGCAATTTCGTCTGGAGCCATACCTTGGAAGACCTCCTGCGTAAGATGCAGGCTCAACGCCCTGAGATGCTCAGCCGGTCGAACGCCGAGCTTGAAAACATCATTTTGCAGCAGAGTGGCAATTTGCCCGGGTAACTGGATCAAGAAGGCATCGCTGCGATCGGCAGAAGAATGGTCGTATACCTCCATGGTCTCCCGAGCCGTGTCCAGGCCGAAGTATGCGGAGTTCATGATGTGTGATCTAGGCCCACGCTGGTGTCAGAAGTATATACCAGCCACTAGATCTGAAGATCTAAAATCAGACACTGGATCGGGAGACATATAGGGCGACGTCAAACCGAGGTAGTCTTCATCGCAGATGTAATGGTAGACCACATCACGCAATTCTCGTGGAAGTTGGGCCTGAATCTTCGTGGCAAAGAGCAGGCAGGAAGTTTGCACATAAGTATGGACAACTTGATCGAAGGGACTGCAATTGAGGGATCAGTACATGAACTGTTTTCAAGTATGCCTTTTGTACACGCGTACCCTCCTTTGCATAACTCTTGGGCACGCATTACCACCCTCTCGCGCCATATCAATTTCCCATATTCGTACTCATACTCCGTCTGTCTGTGTGAACGTTATTCTTTGAGTTGCAGAAGTTGGCGATTGAACAACGGACTCGATTTTCTTTACCTTTGAAACTATCTTGAGTTTGTCCAATCTCATACTGCAAAGCGCATGGAGTTATTATCGCTGCAGAAACATATGGACCCCCCATAATTTGGCATTCGATCGTCCAAATTGACAGTTATGTTAAAAAGTCGATATTAGTATAAGAAAACGTCACTTTTTGCATTACGGACGATTTGTATCCACTATATTGCAGTTCTATAGGGGTAGAAGCCTGTAGGGGTAAAAGCAGAAAGTGTGAGGGTGAAGGAGAGAGAGAGAGAGCACGCAGAAAACATGAGATGATAGCTTTAGACTGACCTATCGGATGAGATGGGAGTAAGATACTTACCGCGTAGGTGATCAAAGACGTCATCAAACCTCCGTAGAAAGACCGGATGGAAGCTCTCTTACTTCTTTCCTTCACCTTCACACTCTCTACAAGCCCCTATACGTCTCATACTCCTATATAATTGCAACAAGAGTGAATAGAAATCCTCTGCAATGCAAAAAGAGGCTTTTTCTCATACTGATATCGACGATTTGACATAACTGTCAATCTGGACGATCGATTAACAAAACAGGGGTGGGGGTCCATATGTTTTCGCAGGCACCGATATTCAGCTATCATCTCGCTTCACATAATGTGCTCAGACAACCGGTTTTCTACGGCAGCAAGTTCCTTATGGAGCTCTGCCGCACATCTTCGCAAGAATCCCGGTTTTTGAGGCATGGTGAAGTTGAGTTTGTGATCGTAATGACAAAGGTAGGAAACGGACGTTCTAAGGACGCAACACCCATGCATATACGTGTGGCACTATGTTCACCGCTAGTTTGTTGCTTAGCAATATGTGCGCGCAAAACGCTCCTCGTCCTTGTGATTTGGTATCAGATCGTCGTATGTTTTCGAGCGGTTGCAGGTTGACATTCGTTTGATTAGTATAGCGCGTCCGAGCAGTTAAGCCCATGGGACATACTCGACTAAGTCTCCAAGATGCGGCATCTTACCATACACCCTTGAATCATCTTTACGCTTGTACTTCGCAGATTGAGATAACGCTTCTCTCGAGATAAGATGGAGAAATTTATTTTGAAATTAAACTATGTAAACTCATTGCTCAGAGCTTGGACTTGGAGACAATGAATGAGTTGCCAATGTTCAGCCACTTGACAGCATCCGTGACGAGCTCGTCAACAATTTCCCTCGCAGACTTCCTTTCGTTGACAACAGCGGCGACCTTGCCCATCAGGAACGGTCGCGCGTTGTCCATGGTCTCGTCGTCGAGGTCATCGCCCATCTTCTCAAGATCATGCTCGACAGGTAATATACCCTTGCTGGTGAGCTCCTTGATCTCGGCTTGTCTGTTCTCCTCCCAGTTTGCGACATATGGGTTGGTGCGGATACGAAGTGGTCGACCAGTGAAGATGATGGTACGGATGTTGTCGTCCCAGCCAGCTGTTCGGACGGCTTCTTGATGTGCCTTGGGTGCACCAGCCTCCTCGGAGAGAATGAAACGCGTTCCTACCCAGACACCGGTAGCACCGAACGTAAGCATCGCAGCGAGGGACTGGCCGTTGAAGATACCGCCAGCAGCCACAATTTGTACTTGCTCGCCGGTCAGGGGCGACTTGTGGCCCTCTACCATCTTGACAGCCGCCGGGATGAAGACGGATGTGGGAACATCTCCAGTGTGTCCACCGCCCTCGCCTCCTTGTGCGCAGATGATGTCAACACCAATGTCGAGGCACTTCTTGATGTGCTTGGGGTGTCCGATCATGTTCATGTATAGGATACCGTGCTTGTGTAGCTTCTCGACAACGGCTTTGGGTGGGACGCCGACGGCAGAGACGAACAGTTTGGCACCGGAATCGATAATGATGTCAACGAGCTCGTTCAGCTTGCCCTTGGTGTAGTCGTAGCTGCATATCGTCAGTCTCATGCCTTTGATGGGGCAAGCTCGCTGGGTACGTACTTGGTCTTACGCGCGCTACCTCCGACTTGGGGGAGTAGCAAGTCGATACCGAACGGCGCGTTCTGGTCATTCAGGTATCCCTTGAGCTCAGCGATTTGTTCACGGAGCATGTCGGGTGTGTATCCGACGCCGCCGATGACACCGAGACCACCAGCGTTTGTGACAGCGGCAGCGAGCTTTGGTCCAGCAGCCACGTTCATGCCAGCAAGCATAACGGGGTGCTGGATCTTCAGCAGGTCGGTAAGCTTGGTGCGGATTTGCTCTGAGATTTGTCAGTTGAGGAACATGTGAATGAACTGTGGATGACATACGTGGAGAAGCCATGGTGATTGAAAATATACGGTTGAATTTTGCTGTATGTGTAAAGAGTGGAAATGCGAATGTATCTCAGCAAGCAGCAAGGAAGGCAACGGGAGTGAGGAGTCGGGCGCTTTCTTATGGAGTGAGGAGTCTTGGTCGACTCTCATCAGGCCGTGAGCCGAGGCACGACGCAACCGTCACGCGGAGAACGCTAGCTGTATCAGTTTTAGCGTGTTCTGGGGAAGGCTGCCGGCATCGCGTGCCAGTCTCTGTCCCACGGCGTCACATGCAAGTATGTTCACTAATGCGTCGAAGTGTTTAGTTACGCAAAGGGCTGCACTCTCATGCTGTCCGCACCGTACGATGCGTGCATTCAGCACCATCAACAGCAAGCTGCCTAGTTCTGCGAATTTTCGCTCGTCGCTCACTCAACGTCGGACATGTGTTTCGTTACTTAACCCTCGCGCTCTACGCTACCCATGCCAATTCCGGAGTTCGTCGCAAATATCGCGGCGCCATATATCCAGTACACCAGATGGCACGAATACTAAAAAGCACCGCGCATTCATCGCCTTGGGGAGCAACATGGGCGATAGAGTGGCCATGATTGAACGTGCATGCAGAGAGCTGGAATCGAATGGGAAGGTGGACATCATACAGACTAGTAGCTTGTGGGAGAGTAAGGCTATGTATGTAGTCGATCAGGACAATTTCGTAAACGGTGCTTGTGAGGTACGCTACGTGTTTACTCTCAATCTATATGTTGAACTGACGCAAGTAGATAGAGACTGCACTGTCACCAATTGAACTCTTAGATGAGCTTCAGAGGGTTGAAAAGAAGATGGATCGCGTTAAGATCATCGACAAGGGACCCAGGAATATTGATCTGGATATTCTACTCCATGGATACACAAGGTACTCCGACGAGAGACTACAAATACCTCATCCGTTGATGTTTGAGAGAGAATTTGTCCTGCGCCCACTTTCCGAGTAAGTCAATTTTGTGTGTATTTAATGAAGCAGTTTTGACCTTCGTTAGGCTTTTGCTGAGAGGACCTGAACATTTCCCATTCAAGGGTCAAATTAGGGATTATCTTAAGAAGTTACCCGCATCAGATGTGCCGCTGGTCCCGATGACGCCACTTGCACCAGATCTATCTCCCATCTCGTCTGCCCAACTAGCGAAGGACACGCGGATCATGTCTATCCTGAACGTTACACCAGACTCATTCTCAGATGGTGGTCAGAATTATGATATCGACGAAGTGACGCTAGCAAACACCATCCGAGCACACATTGCGGCTGGCGCCACGATTATCGATGTAGGTGGACAATCAACTCGGCCCGGTGCCGTTCAGGTTTCCGCCGAGGAAGAGTTAGCACGGATCTTACCTGCTGTCCAGCTGATCCGCTCATTGCCGGAGGCCGACAATGTGGCAATCAGTGTCGACACATACCGTGGACGCGTTGCTGAAGAGGCCATCAACGCTGGCGCAAATATGATCAATGATGTCAGTGCAGGAGCGATGGACGACTCGATGCTTTCAACCATGGCCAAACTTGGCTGCACGGTCTGTCTTATGCATATGCGCGGCACCCCAGAAACCATGACCTGTCCTGAGATGACCTCCTATCCCGACGGCCTCGTAGAGACCGTAGGAAGGGAACTTCTCGAACGCGTCTATGCAGCAGAGAGGGCAGGCGTCAGGCGCTGGCGCATCATCCTTGATCCTGGTATTGGCTTTGCGAAGACACAAGCACAAAACCTAGAGCTACTTCGCCGGCAAGACGAGTTGATGAGATATCCGGGCCTGGAAGGCATGCCTTGGCTTGTCGGAACGAGTCGGAAGAAGTTTATTGGGAATATTACGGGAGTCAAGGAAGCAAAAGACAGGGCCTGGGGGACTGCCGTTGCCATCTCGGCGGCTATCCAAGGCGGTGCGCATATCGTAAGGGTACATGATGTGAAGGAGATGGCGCAGAGTGCGAAGATGGCGGATGCACTCTGGCGAGCATGAGAAGAGAAGCAAAGAGCACAAAATTTAGTCCTCGTTCTCCACGATGCTATCACGGAACTGAGTTTCATGATCGACATATTGACGGGCTGTACGATAAAGACTAGAAATTGAGACACTATTTGAAGATAAGCTCAATAATATAGACACTACATATACACAACAAGGCATCAAGACCCCTTAACGCCTATAAATGGCTCGCTCTCGCAAAAATTCACACTCTACAACTTGCTACCACCACCCATCAACTCAGCACCAGCCCCGCTAATAGCCAGCTTACCCGTCTCCTTAACCTTGGTCTGGAACATGACTGTGTTCCCTACCTTCCACATCTCGGTGATCAATGTCTGACCTGGCAGTACAACACCTGCAAACCTGACCTTGATGTTCTTGAAGGGACCGTAGGTTTGGAGTACGTGCTTACCCGAGATACCAAAGCTGCACAGACCGTGGAGAATGGGTGTGGGGAAGCCGCCGGCTTTGCTGAATGTTGGGTCAATGTGGAGGGGGTTTAGGTCGCCGGAGAGACGGTAGATGGCCGCTTGCTCCTCAGTCGTACGCTCTTCAACAACAGTGTCTGGTGCGCGTTGCGGTGGCTTGTGGACCTTTGTTGCGGCACCACGGTCACCGCCCTTCTTTTGGCCACCAAAGTTACCAGAGCCACGGATAAATACTGTGCTCTCGTTGTAGAAGATCTCCTCGCCGGTCTTTGCGTCCTTGGTGACGCTACCATATACAACCAGTCCAGCAGCGCCCTTGTCCACAACCTCAACGAGCTTGGGCACAGCGACAAGCTTGGCTTCGGTGGGAATGGGGAACTTTCGGATTTCGAGGTACTGCTCGCCGTGCAGGAGCATGCGGGGGTCGAAGTTGGGGACGATCTCGTCAAAGGAAAAGGGCGGCTCGGCGTTGAAAGGTGGTACGACACCGAATGTGGGGATTACTTGGAAGTTCTCGTCGCCTTCATAGACAAAAGGAAGGTCGGTGCGCTTGGCGCCAATTCCGAGGTCTGAAACATGTGTTAGTTACGAAGCTGGTGTCAAGCGATGGACAAAACTTACTGTAAAGGATGACGTCCCTCTCGGTGTACTCGAAAGGCGTGCCCTGGGACTTAGTAGCTAGAGCCTTCTTCTGAGCCTCGAGAACCTCCTCGTTGCTCTTTGTGGGCTTCTTCTCCTTCTTGTTCTTCTTGCTAGTATTCTCCATGTTGGCCATGATGGACTTGAGACCGCTGGCATTGTCGAAGGGGTGGTCAGCACGTCCGTCATCGAAGTTGGTGATGCGTTCCCATTGGGAGAGGACAGCCTCGGGCGTAAGCTTTACGTCCACAGGGAAGCCGTGACCACCAGTGCGTTGCCATCTGGTCGCCGCGAACCATCCGGAACCCATCTCGTATAGACCGCCAGTTGGCTCAGGAGCCTTGTCGGAGACAAGGAGAATGACCAGAGGGGCGTTGTAGTCGGGCTTGAGTGCCTGAACAACCTCCTCGGGCAGGATGCTGCGGGTCATCTGAGTGCCGGCATTAGGAGCAACAGTGTTGACGAAGATGTTGTTCTTCTTGCCCTCAAGCGCAAGAGACTTGGAGAAACCGAGAATACCGCATTTGGCCGAAGCGTAGTTGGCCTGGCCGAAGTTACCGTAGATACCGCTGGTAGAGGTGGTGTTGAGGATACGGCCGTATTTCTGCTTGAGCATGTAAGGCCATGCAGCCTTGGTGCAGGAGTAAGTACCGAACAGGTGAACCTTATGGATGATGTCCCACTGCTCGTCGGTCATGTTGGCGAACGCCTTATCGCGGAGAATTCCGGCATTGTTGATTAGGATATCGATGCGACCGTACTTCTCAATGGCGGTCTTGATGACAGACTCGCCATCCTGAACATCACCCTTGTTGCCAACAGCCTCTCCACCAAGTTTCTGGATCTCCTGAACGGTGTTGTCGGGGTTTACAAGATCGTTGACAACGACCTTGGCACCACGCTTAGCCAGCTGCAAGCAGTAGATGCGACCCAAACCAGCACCTCCACCAGTGACAAGAGCGACCTTGCCCTTGAAGTCAATCGGCTCGCCCTGGGGGTTGGATGGCAGTTGGTTGGCCTTCTCAAGTAGTTCAAGCGCGTTGGCTGGACCTTGTGGGTGCTCAGGCTTGGAGAAGTCGACGACATCCTTCCACTTGGCAGCAACAGCTTCGGGTGTGAGTGAGTCGTCGGCCTTGAGTAGGACACCAGAGGCTCGTTCCCATCGCAGCTTGGCTACGTGGCCTGCGCCCGCCTCAAAGATGGCGCCAGTCTCTGTGGATGATTTGTGTGTGAGGACGGCAACGAGCGGGACGATCCATTCGGGCTTCATCTTCTCGAGGACATCGGGAGGCATGACGGTTTCAGTCATTCGGCTAGCGGCGATTGGGGCGACGACATTGCAGAGGATGTTGTACTTCAAGCCCTCCTTGGCGAGCGTCTCGGTGAAACCAACAAGAGCGAGTTTGGCAGCTGCTGAAGTTAGCACATGCTTGTGTTGATTACAGAACGTGTATGCGTACCAGAGTAGTTTGTCTGCCCAAAAGATCCGAAGAGACCGGCAGCGGACGCGGTGCTGATCAATCTTCCGTACTTCTGTTTCCTGAAGTATGGCCACGCAGCATGCGCGCACTTGTATGCTCCGTAGACATGGACTCGGTAGATTAGATCCCAGTCCGCTTGCTTCATGTTCTTGAAGCTGACATCGCGCAAGATACCGGCGTTGTTGATGAGGATATCAATACGTCCGAATGTGTCGACAGCTGTCTTGATGATGGCCTCTCCGTTCTCGACCGAATCGTAGTTGGCGACCGCCTTGCCGCCAGCAGAGCGAATCTCATCGACGACTTTGTCTGCAGCCTGTCGCCGAGTTAGTAATGGAAGAATCATCGATAGAACCAAAAGACGTACCGCTGAGCCCTGTCCCTCGCCCTTGAAGCTTCCACCGAGGTCGTTTACAACAACGTTCGCGCCGCGACTGCCAAAGAAGATGGCATATTCGCGACCCAGACCACCACCAGCACCCGTTACCACAACGGTCTGGCCATCATATCGCAGCTCTTGCGCAGCCATGATGTGTTTCGTATGCTTTTGAGAAGAGGCAGCCTCTTCGTTGGTTGACGGAGAAAAGTTGCGCTCGAGGAATGTCCAATACAAGCAAGCAACAAGAGTGTTAAATGTTAAATGGGTATCAGCAAAGATCCCACGTTAGGAAAGCGCAGGTTTTGGAAAGTGAAGATGAGAGGATAGGTGGCTTGCAGCGTGACGGATGTTCAAACTAAGGTCATTCTCAATCTGACCCGGACGTGTCTCATGAAAGCAGCCGAGCTGATGATAATGACGATTTACCTCGGCCCCGACGGCAGTTGGTCATGTGTGGGGAGTTGCGCACCGTGCACCTCACGCTTTCACATGCCTCCACCACCCCATCATGTCCTCCTGATGGCAACCTTGGAAAGTCCGGGGTATCATGTGACAATCATGAGCCTCATACCCGGTTACCATGATCGTTGAGCCTTGGTTATAGAGAGTTGATGGATGAACAGTTACTGAGCTGATGTGGGGCTGCCAATAGCACCGCGCGAGGCCCGAAACACGTACCGCACGCGTCCTGGGCACCGCGATGTTGGAGTGCATTGGAGATGGAGCAAGTGCGCTGTCGATGTTTTCTTTTCCCTCCGACATAGCTGAATAGTGCACTGGAAGTGACTGCTTGTTATCTAATACTTGTCACCAGCGAGATGGCCGACACGCGGAGCTCCAAACTATCGGTCTGAAGACACAGCATGTTGCAACTAGTACATGGGGGTCTCCAGCTTTAGACGCTCCCCAGTCTCCGTGAGAAGAATCAGCTAAACTTACTTTTTTTTTTGGAAAATTCGCTGTATTCGGTGATTGAGAGCATTCGTGTTCAGGCTTGAACTTGTCCAGGATCTAGACGTTCCAATGCAGCAAGCCAGCAATGTTAAGTAAACACAACGCCTGGCCCAAAGTCCACTACCCAAATATGCATAGTCGATAGCATCATCGATCCTTTGCAAACACGATACTTCACCAGGATCATTCTAGTTCTATCGATATCTGCGTCATGCCGAAGACAACGCCGACCCAGACCCCCATCGTCACCGCTTCTTGCCTACCATTTGCTCACCCATTATCGAGGACTCCACAGCGCCTTCGTGCGTGAGCGTGCAGGACACCACTCTTGCACGCTGTATACGCTCATCATGCGCGGTTCGGCCCGTTGACGGCTTTGACCGCCTTCAGCATTCGCGTACCTACCTTACCGAGCCTCAAAATCTTCTGTAGTGCGCCTATTGCAGGCTGTATTCTATCACTGCCACTAATTAGAGAGGGAGAGGCATGGAATTAGTGGATGGGGAGAGTCAAAGGTATCGGACGGGGCATAGTGCGCCGGAAGCTACCATGACCGACGTCATGCCGGTCACCACATGACGGACATCTTAGTGAAGTAGAGGTCAGAAGTTCTCCCAGCTTGTGGTAGCTCGTAGAACTTGTGTGTACTGGGTGACGACCCTTCTGGTCAAAGTAGTTGTTCTAGAGCCGCCCTAGCGGGAACAACTCAAGATTCTGTTGGTACAGACCACCAGAGTACAGAAATCATCGCTGTATGGTGCCTAGATATTGTACTATTCTTTGGTTCATCATAGCAGCCGGTAGGTCATAACCCTCGTCTCCAACAGGAATGGGAAAAAATCGTGAGGCGGCATATAATGATCATTATCGTGCTACCAGCACGAAGAATTGTACGGGAGTGGGTTTGTGGATGCACAATTGTGGGTACGGAACGCTTACAGATGCAAGTCGATATAACCCGCACATACTTTGATTACACTCCTTTGATCCGACTCGAGTAAGACTTCTTTTCCTTGTTACAAGACCCATTGTATCTTGGAAGTTCTGGTTAAAATCGCAGTCTAAAGAGCATTGCTATGTTGGTAACGCTTTGTCGTGTACGCTGCTTGG